GTCACCAGATTTCTAATATTTCTCTATAATGATGAATTATTTTTAGAAATAATTTGAGATAATACAACTTTGATATTTTGTGATTTGTTTTTATTTTTTTAGCCTTCTTACTGATGAACCTGTGGTGCATTTTGAACAAGGCAAATTAATGCGAGTAAATTATAATCCACGTCTTGTGCAACTTGACCGAGAAGTGCGTCAACTTGCGGTGCTTGGATATACCATTCCTACTCGCATTATAGATGCTGCTACTTTAGCTAGAAAGTTTATGAGACAAGCAAAGGCCCTGGAACAAGTATGTGCTGTGAAATAAATTATTGTGATTAATTTAATTGAATTTTTATATAATTTTCATCATCCATTTGTAAACTAATGCTAATTTGGAAATAAAATGGCTTTTTATCTCAAAAGTGAGCCCTTAGTTTTTTAGTTAGACATATAGTTTTGGTGAGTCCTTAGTGGTCAAGCTACAAAGACAGCTACTAAAAAAAAATATTGCTCTCAGCATCCATGACGATTAATATTTTGAATGCAGGTTGCCAACTTCCACAACACAATTGGGGATCGTATGATAGCTTCTCAACGACCAATGATGTTGGATGCTGCCCTGGAGTTAGCGAATTTAGTTCAAGAACAAAATGGTGTTACTTGGAGCAATACAGAAGCTGTTGACCACTATATTGAAAGGTTGCAAACAGTTGTGGAACGACTATCTCGAGAAAACAACAAATTAGCAACATATCATATTCAAATTAGGGAGAAAGTAAGTGTGTATTCACAGGACTCTTCGTGTAACGATAAGTAAATGTAATAAATTCATACACTCTTAGCAGTTTTTCTACCATTTGAGTAAAATATTACTTTTATTATGTGTAATATTATATTTGAAAATAAAAGTGCATTGTAATTTTTATTACATCTCATAATTTTAATAAACATTCTTGTTATTGCCCTTTTTTTGTCTGTGTTTGTTATGATGTCTGTCTGTACTACAAATGTTTGCTGTGGGTTTCAGGTCATTCAACTAATGAATACTGACTTATTACGGCACCAACAACAGTGGAAAGAGGGCTTGAAATCTATTCGAGATATAATAGGTCAAGTGGAATCTCAGGTGGGACATTATATTTCTTGGTGTGATGAAGGGAAATTTTGCATTTACTTGTATTATAATAATATTGGATTTCTGTGTATTAAATTGACAGAATTTTGCAAAATTTCCCAAAACTTTTAACTGACTTAGAGAGAAGAAAATGTATATTCATTGTTTATTTTTTATTTTTTTTAACACTCAACTGTAACTTTCAGAGATATCCCCCAATTTAAATGATTTTTCCTTTGATTGCCTGGTCGAATATACCACAGTAAATTAATGATACTCAGATAGTTAGGTCTGAAGATATCGAAATAAATAATGAAGTTGTGTAGCATTTTAATCATGAAAGTGAACCTAGCATTTAAACCATAAGTACAAAAGTTTTTCTTTTTTTGTAATATTTTTTTTAATAGATGTATTAAGAACAATCCGGCACAACTTGAAACCATGTTCTAAGGTATGTTTAAACTTTTAAGTAGAAGCAAGAAGTTGTCAAAAGTCAAAATGTTCTCATTCTGTCGACTATGGTGTGAGAAATGTTTCTTTGTGTCCATTGGTACAGCATCGGCCTCAAAATTTTGTTTTCTTTTGCAATTTCCAACTGTCGCTACTGGATCAAAATTAAGGTGGGAAAATAAATTAATAAAAAAATAGAACACAATTAATATTAGCTGTTTGTAAGAAAGGGATCATTCAAAAAGAGGCATACTAATTGCCCAATGAGTTTCATATAAAGAACTTCGTACTATAGCCCAAGACATTTAAGAAAACTAAAAAAATATTCTTGATTATGTCTATTATTGGTTCTTTTCCCCTCTGTTTCAAATTATGTTCAGTGAAACCTTTCCATAATAGTCGTGCTAAAATCTGAAAAAATGGCTGCCCAAAAAAGTTGTCCACTATAAAAAGATTCTGGAAAAAAAAAAAATCTTTATCAAACTTCTTGAAATGCAGCACACCATGTTTATTTTCTAGTATCTTCTAAACTCCACTTTATCAGTACAACTGACCTCTTTGTAGTATGCATGACCCACAATAGCTCAGCAAAGCTAAATCTATTTTTAAAATGACAGTAAATTGCATTTATTGCCACAGCAACAATGCTCGAAACTTTCTTTAGCATTAAAACTTCTATTCTCCTTGTTAATACATTAATTTCTCTTAATTAACTATCCCTACAGAAAATGTTGTAGAATATAATATTTCAAGATCTCAATTAACAAGGTGTTTTATTTTGCTTTCCTGTAAAACTTGAAAATATAGTTTTATCCAAAAAACACATATTTTGTTTTGCATTTTCTCATTCTTTTCAGACACTTTATAGTTAAATTGAAATTCTTTCTCAGAATATCAAAGAAGATCTTTCCTTATGGAAATTTACAAAGGAAAAATGGAGGCATTTTTGAGCAAATGATATTTTTGGGTGTTTCCGAAAAATGGATCAATGTTTTATGAATGAATAATTTTGAGCTCATTTACAATCAAAAAAGCTTTTGATATTTTGAGAAACTTAATAAGTCATCATTTGAAGCACTTGCGACTACAATTGTATTGAATTTTATGAATACACATTTTATGAATATTACATTATGAACTGCATATGATGTGTTCTAAAAATATTACATATATATAATTTTTTGAAATTCAATTTTATTCAAATGATGCTTATGTTATGTGATTTAGTGCATTATTATCTATTGTACAAAAAATGTAAAGAAGAAATTTCCAGCCATTAGAATCTTATTAGAGAATACGAGAAAATCTTATTATTTGTGGAAAATGGGAATGATTTATTTATTTATTTATGAATTCTCATCCAATATACAAAGTTATTTATGTGAATTGTGTTAAAGTGTGAGTAGGATAGCTAATGAAGTAACAATAATATAATTAATTTTGTAATATCAAATTCAATAATACAATTACATATCAATTAAAAAGTAACATCTTATTTTTTGCATCTCTTATAAAGTTCAGATGGGAAGGTTCCCAGTGATCAATGTGAAGGTTACTTGCTAATTTATCTATCTGTTAAATAGGATTATTTGATGTATAAACAGCAGTGTATAGTTTAAGTGAAAAAATATCATTTTTTCTTAAGGCAGAGGGAACATGAATTGATTTGAGCTCAAACCTTCAAAATTTCACCTGTTTTGAAAAACCTGTATTCATTATTGAAAGTTCCATGAATTAATTACATTAAGAACAAAATCTCCAGCTTCAGTAATAAAGTTTTATGAAAAAGAAAAAAAGGAAATAAAGTTCTGCAAATTTAAAAAAATAAAGAAGTTTTAAAGTAAAATGAACTTTACCATATTTGTAATTGCTCTTTGCTCCTTTCAAAAATGATATTTGGAGAAAACATTTGGAGCTGTTTTGAGATAATTTTGGAAATGTTATAGGGGGTTCATGTGAAGTATCCCAAAAATTATAGTGATTTTTTTCTTTGTTTTATTGAAGGTGCTTAAGTTTGGCCAGATTGATCTAGGAATTATTCTATTCTAATAAATATGATAAAGTCAAAAATATTTAAAATGAAAAAAATAATTTCAAACATTTATTTAGTCTTGTGATTCAGCAATATTTTATTTAACAAAAGTTCCCAAGTACTTATTGTGAAATCAAAAGTCTAAACATATGTACAACATTTTTTAAATAAGCATAAAAATATAGTTGCATTTCAATTTTGCCCATAATACATTGGATAAAATTAAGGTTGAAATCATATTTAACATTTTTTTGAGTTGTAATATCTGAAACAGTTCAGCAACCTGAAATCTTGGAAAGTTCACTGGGACCGTCAACTATACAAGGCACTGGAACATCAATATCAAGTTGGACTTGAAGCCCTCAATGACCATTTGCCAGAGATGAAGGTGGAACTCATATACAGGTAATAGAGGGATGTTTCTTGCGATTATAACACTTACTAAGTGAAAATGCATATAAAGGTATTCCCTACATTACTTACAGATGCTTTAGTTTTGAAGCTGTGATATATTATTACAAAATAAATAGTTTTTAAAAGAAACTTTTGAATTTTACTCTTTTACTCTTCTTAGAGTTTGATCCTCTTCTTAGTTTTCTTTTCTGAGAAATTTCATCTATTACCTGCATAGATAAGAGATTCATTGCATTCTTAATAATAGACTCATCCATCTGAATATATCAAGTTTTGTTGTATGACCATTTTCATTTCCTTAGGCAACAGAAATTGCAGTTCAGACCCCCTATTGAGGAAATTAGAATGAAGTACTATGGTCAACTGAAACGATTTTTAGCAATACCTCACAACTTTAAAGGTGTAGGAGATGGAGCAGAAAATGCACTTTTTCATGTTATTATTGAAAGGCAAGTAAAATAAAAATAAAACATTTCATATTATAATTTCTATAAGCTATATTCTCTCTTTTAATGATTTTATGTACTGCAAAAGAGGTTGACACCAATCAGAATTTGTGATTATTTAAATATTACTTTAACACACTATGCATGACATTCAGTTTCCCATCCTTGTTTTTCATTAGCAAAACAGCTATTTTTGTTATTCTGCATGATGCACGCATGAAAGAAGTTTCACCCATGGTATTAAAAAAATAGTATAAGCAACTCAAGCGCAAGATCAACCTCATTGATTAGGGAATATAACTTTTGGTGGAAATCCTGGTTATGGTGTTCACACACATACGGAGAGACATACAGACATAAATATATCAACTAATTTTTCAGAATCAAGGGTCCACAAAAGATGGATTTTGACTACACAACATGTTAGAGGAGTCATTTAATACATATTTTTTGGAACACTATTAATCCTCTTTTGGTATGAGAGCTCCAAAAATAGGAGTCCCCCCCCAAAAATAAAACACACCATGTTTTGGTGCAGAATAAGAATACTTTCTCTACACTACATTAGTTAGTTAGAAAGTAAAAATTGGACGTAATGAATTTTAATTTATGAGTTGCAGACAGTCATATAAAAATACATAAAATAAATAACTTAATTCCAAAAAATGTAAACTCGGACCTTGAAAGTTTTTACAGACTCCCAGAGTATCTTCACTAGAATGAATGTTTCAAAATTTTTACCAGTTTTTAACAGAATATGTCTTATGTGTTATGCATTGCATTATTTCGTTCTAAATTTATCTTTTGAAATATATTCATCAGATGTACACAATAATCAATGCATTGCAACATTCTCTGACTGTTGTTTTCTAACAAGAAACAAATAAAAACGAATTTCTTGCCAATACATATAGAATCACCTGCTTTTACAATATACAATGCAATAAGGTTACCCAAGGAATAGGAATTGATATTTTTCAAAACAATGAAACATTAAACAAGTAAGAATTTTATTAAAATCAAAAGAGCTTCCCCCCTTAATATTTTTGGTGAAAGAAATCAAAGTTGATACTAATATTGTGTCTTGTTGGATTTTAATAAGTGTCTTCAATATTATTTATGATACGTGTGACCAACCAAGGTAATCAGTTAAAATTAAGTTAATAATAATAGGGCCGAATAAAAATGATAATAATTAAGTAATAATTTATTGAACTATTTCAATTGCTGATTGCAGTGGTAGTAAAAAACTAATTTCATTTTCAGAAATGCCCCACGTTTTGCTCATCTATTTACACGAGCAGAAGAGGTATTTGCAAAACTTGAGAAATTGAAAGAGCACTGGTTGGATTGGGTGGCTCTTGGTTCTGTGGATCTTGATGCCCTTGCTCAAGAGCACCTTCACACTGCAGAAGATTGGAATAGGAATTTTCGTGCATCTAAAGCATGGGGGCAAGAAATTGGCAAATTGCCTGGGTAAGAAGGAAATCATCCCCCGAGCTATATAATCATGTCTGTGTATATTTCAGCAAATGACACAATTTGCATAATGTCATTTCAAAATTAATAATATGCATTTTTTATACTTAGAGAAAAAATATTTAATTTTACTTAAGGTATTAGAATATCTATTTAGGTAGTAGTAACAGTGTGGATTTTGTTGTGAATGAATTGAGAATATGAAACTCAAACAAAATAAAAGGTATGTTTTGCTTCTTACACTATTTGGGAATGAATAGGTCTGAATATTGATTTTTTGTTTGGTATTAGTGTACACACTGATGGGAAGTTTATCTTATTTTATTCATAAACGAATTAAAGATCTATTAAATTACTGTAATGTATTAAATTAAATGTATTCTTACAGACTTGCAATAAATTTTAAAAAAATTACATCAACAAAAATTTAATAGTTATTTTATTATAAATAGAGCCTAGAAGTTCAAGCTTTTATGTTATGGAAAATAGGCTGGCAAAAAGGCGTTTATCTGGCTAAAGTATGGGTGTAAAAGGGCATGTAAACAATGCAAAATCACAGGAATTATGTAAAAAATTAATAATAAAAGTGATTCACATTTACAGTCTAAATTTACTAAAATTTAGTTTATCATTTACATGTAAGGAAATTAGCTCTTTGGAATTTTGATTCCCCATGACTATTTGGTGTTTCACAATGCTGTTCGAAATGCTTTAATAGACTTACATTTCAATCTTAAAATGTCATCAGTGAGTACAGAATTATATTTTTTGTTCTTCGTGCCTGTGTAATCTCCAGCACTGAGAACCGTGCATCACATACAAAGAGCTCTGTCCTCAAAAGACATAGGAGGCCATACCCAAAAGTAGGATGGGATTCCTCATCAGCCAAAAAAGCCTGTTGGCGTCAATGAAAAAATCAAATATTTGAGTGGTATGATCTTCCTTTCTTGTTTAGATTTTAAACACTACCTGATCATGGGCTTCCATTTCCACAGAAAGAAAAAACATGACCATGTCTTTGTATTGTGTTTCCAGTTTCTTTGAGATAGGTGCTAAGACAAAAAGCACAATAATGGCAAAAAAGACAGAAAGAAAGAGGCTAAAATAGGCAAAATGAAAATGTATTATAAAACGCCAGAAGTACAATTAAGTAATTCCTATTGTTAAAATTTATAAAATAATAATCAAGAAAAAGGAATTTTGCCCAACTTCCAGGCTCTAGTTATAGACCAATATTTAGATAGCTAGACAGATTAGTTACATTGAAATTTTAGAGTGAGAGAAAGCTAATATTTCTCATTCTTCCAATATTTTTTATATTTGATCTAGCACTGAAGAGAAAGTGGAGTGCTTTGCCGTTAGTTTTTTACCTGTACGAGCAGAAATAGAGCTGCACAACAGACGATACTGGGATACTTTGGTCACCTCATTACAATCTTCTATAGTTCGTGATGTTACCACAGTGGAAAAATTTACTGTAGAAGCCACCGAAGCTTTATCCCATCAGCCTCAGACCGTGGAAGAAATAGGAACTGCCAATCAGAAACATGCTGAGATCATGAAGAAAGCTCCTGAGGTAAAAGTATATTTGATATAAAGTTATAGTAATGATTTGAGATAATACGTCATAGCAATGGATATTTCTTGTTTTACTATAATTTTTACAACTTCCAAGAAGCTTTTCAATTTATGTATTTTGAATACCAGATCTTCAGCATAGTTCAAGAGGCTGAGAAGAAGAATAAGACTCTGGCTAGCTGGACAAAAGAACGTGTTGAACAAGTAAATCGCATGGTAACAAAATGGGACAATTTTCAAACTATGCTAGATAACCATCAGTACCTTATTAGCAAACAGGTAACATGTTCTTTTATTATATCATATGAAAATTTCTTTATTAGTCCTAATGTCATTGTATTGCATTCATTTTGTAGTTTCAACATGTTATTAATTCAACTTTATTAATTATTTTCAAACAAGAGTTTCATGAAAAGTTTGAAAGATGTAGGAGAGCAGACCTATAGGCAATGCACACTCCTGGCCAGGGTGCACTCATGACTTGGGTCGGTTCAAATCATCTAAATTGGGACTTAGGTGCTATATGCATGTAGTTAAGTCGGAGGGAGAAGCCGGTGTAAAGCAAACGGTGGTCCGCACCGAAGTTGACGGGGCATATGCAAAACCGTTAAAACATATACACATACGCACGCACTCGCACACTCGCAATCTCTCTCAAAAAACTCGCTCTCTCTCACTCTCTCTCACTCTCTCACACTCTTTTTTACGGGGTTGCGTCTCGAATCAATGAGGGCGTCTTTTTCCACTCGACCCAGTATTTCCTTTTCTACACACGGTGATTGTTTGTAGACTTTCCGTTGTGAATTCCATGGAATACAGATTCTACGAAAAGTATTGTTCACCTGTTAATTGGATCGCGCGTAGAGAAACGGAGTGATTACCGAATCCCCTCCACCTGCCCTGACCGCCGTGTAGGGGCGGGTGGTCCTTTGACTGCAGGGCGGCGCTTTCCCCAGAAAAGCCCAACTTTGGGGAAAGTTGCAGAAAGTATTAAACTTTAAATAAATCGACTCGCTTAATTTGTGCATACCAACAGATACATTTTTGGAGACGATTTTAGATTTATGTGTCGCTTAAGCAAACGATAAAATGTATTTAGAATAGATCGTATCGTGGACTATCGGTCGAGTCCGTCCGTAGCTGGTGCTTGCGAGGCAATGGAGGCTTGAGGAAGACTGGAGCTTCTGTGAGTTGGGTGGGGGCAGCATAATGCTACGTATTGGGATTTTATTCGACAGAGTCGGCACCTATTAACTTGGCTAAGAATACCGACTCTTACAATTTGATTTCATCAATTACTGTTTTCTTTGCTGGAAATATTTTTTTTTTAAAAAATCTTACTTTCGCGTGAGCCCGATTGTATCTTAAGTTATCTACGCAAAAGTTGTCTTAGACAAGGGTTAAAATCACAATGCATGCAAATCGGTTGTACACTACATGCTGAAGCTTTCCTCGTACAAGAAATATTTTGAAGAGGTAAAATGTACTATACGCGCAGTTTTCTACGACTGTTTTGAAAGTACGAGGTTATTGTTGTCTGTATTGAAAATTGATACGTGCCGTTCCGCGTCGAACCTCTGTATCTCAAGGTGCCGATCTATTCACACTGGTTGAGGACTCGGGAGTTCGTGTATCAAGAAAACTTGCACGAATGTGGTAGTTCGGACATACTTAATTTGCCGCCCCCCTCTTAATTTGCAACCGACCGGCGCATCCGCGAGCGCTCTCTGCAGAAAAAGCCTTCCGTCCCGTTCCCTTCGCAGCATAGGGCGCCGGCGCGTGCTGTCACGAAATCAAGTGATTTTCTTCTTAAGGCCTTTTCCAGCCGACAGCCGGTTACCCCTTATGCCCCGATGAGACGCATATTCGACCACACACTGTTGTGCGATTTTTATAACTATGCGCCTCAAGACCCTACTTCATGGTGGCTTTAAGTCTCTATATTTCGCGTCTTTCTCGGTTATGCCGCAAGATGTACGTTCGCGAATGTATCAAGCATTGCTTGATACGGTTGCAACATCTAGCCACACGACCAAGAAAGACGCGAAATGCAGTGACATAATGCCGCCACGAGGACGGGCCTTGAAGGGCACAGTTATAAAAATCGCTTTATAGACACCAACACACTTGCCGGCTCCTCGGATCTGGAGTCAGCAGAACGCGAGGCCCTCCGCGACAACCCATGAGAGACAACAATGTCCAAGGCGGGACTCGAAGCCGCGAACCCTTCGGACCGAAGTGCTGAGTCGGTACAAACTCTTAGCCACCTCGGCCATCTTGGCCGGCACAAGTGATTTTTAAGCGTAAAATAAATATTTTATATAATCGCGGTATCGTACTGCTACACTCCAGTTTCCTTTAAACAACTTGCTTTTACTTTAAACATTTTTTCTTTGCTTTTACGATTTTTTTTTCTAAATTCTCAACTTCTTTTTTTGGTTTTAAAATAAAAGCTGCAAGTCCTTATTGTGTGATACATGTGGAGTCAAACAATGTTATAAATAATGAAATTATATTTAGATACTGAAGAAAATATGTACTACTTTTAATGAAAGGAAATTACATTTCCAAGCAGTTTCGTAGTTATGAACATTGTGAACTACAAATATGTATTAAAATGAAATATATATTATTAACAAAATATATAAATAGTTATTACAACAGATTTCACATTATTTGTCTAGATATTAAAAAAGCCCTAAGAAGCCAATGAGAATAATATGGATAATCTTCATAAATGAAAAGTTTCTACACCTTTAACTAACTTCTTCACTTTAGACAAATGGTTATTAATAGTAGTATTAACAATTTCGAATTGTTGTAGGTGGAGGGCATTAAAAGTAACCTGACCGTTCAAGTGGAAAACATGATGGGCGACTTGGAGAAGTTCCGCCTACGATGGGAACAAGCTCGTCCACGGGAAGAAAGTTTACAAGATGGAGATGCAGATGCATTACAACACAGTTTAGAAATAATAAGAGAGAAGAGACTTGAATGGGAAGATTTAATGCAGTCTTGTGCTCAGCTTCAGTAAGTTAAAAATTAATTTTATATTTTATTTCTATACCGTTTGTCTTGCCTGACAATCGTTGTCATATTTACTTCGCATGAAGAGAAAGTGTTGTTGACTTGCACCGGAAATCGACCTTAATACCGAAAAATCGTTTGACGTCAAATCATCTGTCCGTCCGTCCGTCCGTCTGAAATTATCGATAAGTCCCCGACTCGTGAAGCGAGGAGGGGATTTATCCGAGAATTTCCAAAGCAAGAGTGGTATTAAATAGGACGTGAATGGAATTATCTCCACAGAGTTCTAAAATGCCCCAAATATTGAAAATAACTGAAAGCAATGTTAAAGTCAAAGATGTTATGTTGTACATACGCGGTTTATTGGACATAGACCAAGCAATCGATGTATACCGCCGCTTAAGATAAGTGTCACAGTTTGTGATTGGCCAATACGGAGAAGCGGTAATAAAAATTGGGTAGAAGAAGCGATAAACTTTTTGAGATACACTGATTGGGGCATTTTGTAAGTATAGTTAAACACTATTGGTTTTAACTTCATGAGTGAAATAATATCCCAAAAAATATTTTCCCGGATTGATTGAAATGAACTAGGCCCTCTGAGTTTGAAATGGATATTCTGATTTTTGGGTACCTATTAGTAGCTTCAACATGTCATTTTTTTAAAGAAATAGCTCCCAATTTTTTTATTATATTTTGTCCTTAGTAAGCGTAAAGGTCGCTTAAGAAAATGATAGAGGTATCATTTTCGTTAAAATTCCTAATTTTTCAAAAATAGCAAAACTATTTTTTCGGTATTTTTCTACAACTTCAATATTGAAGATAGATATTTTTTTCCTTAATGAAATCTATTTTTTAGAGACATCCGGACCATGTACAGTTATAGACCGTGTACAGTTTTTTGAAAATATGATTCGTTTTTACGAAATTGTGTGTGAAATATAGGCATTAAAAAATATTTTAAACATTTTTTCTCGTTCGATCTTAGGTCCTATTCTCTTTCTGTCATACGTAAACGATAAGCGCTCGTCTATTAAAAACGCAAGAACGGTTATGTTTGCTGTTATCACAAACGTTCTTTGCAAAAAAAGAAAGAAACAATAAATAGTACGATTTCAATGCATTTTTGCATTTCAAATGTGCAATCGTATGTTCCATTGAAGATGAACAATATGCAATTATCTGATGTTAATGTAAGAAAATTTCTAGGTCTCTCAATTCAGTCAAACCTCAGATGGAATGTACATATAACAGAATTAAATACTAAATTAAATTCAGTATAGTTACTGTTTAAAAAATTTTTCAAATTCAGTCAGCCTTCATGGAACTCGTTGCGTGTATTTTGCAAATGTGCATTCCCGCCTAAGATATGGTTTAATATTCGGGTGAAGCTCATCACGTGGTATCCAAACCTTTAGATTGCAAAAGAAAATTATTCGAATAAGGAAAAAATGTCATCCGCGTGATCCCTGCAAGAGTATTCAGGGCAATTGCTTTCTTTTATTGATTTAAAAACAAAATTACATAAGCCACCAAAGCGGAAATCTTTTGTAAGATACTCTTTTTAATCTTTTGTTCAATCTACTATCACTAAGTATCAAGTAATTAATATTTCTTAGAATCGGAAACACTTCAGACCAAAAGTAGGCCCTCTTCGAGCTGGACCCGGTCGCTTTGCGGGCCTTACGGGCCCGAACGTTACGACACTGGCCAGCTACTCAACATTGAATCGCTATGTGGCGTTTTAGAACGGAGAGCGAGAACAGAGATTTCCAGCTCCAACATCATTCAAGCAATTGGCGAAGTTTTGGTACAAGAATGGGAGTTAATTCCGTTGGAAACAATTCAAATCAATACAAATCACATTGCAGCTGTTCTAAAAGCAAATGTTGGCCCAACATGTTATTAATAAATGAACATTTTGTATAGTATGTCAAGTGATCATATTATTTTGTCCAACCCCTATAGATATGGTAACAATATAGCCTGAGGGTAGAATAATGTGTCCATCCGTTTTTTAACATTGCTGAAAAATTTTAAATTTAATTCGTCGCGTCATGCTGTTCAGGCACGTAACACAAGTTCCCCGTTCAACAAGTACGCTGAGCGAGTCGCGAAAATTGCGGAGGAAAAATCTCTTTTCTCTATAGCTTTGTCTATCTCAAGGAACCGCCACAGTGTTCAGACACATTAATTATTGATTTGTACAATGATGCACGTTTGCTTCTTTCTTTAGGAGAGATTGTGATCATTTTGGGATGGTCTCACCAGATTTTAAAATAAGTGAAGATATTGAAGCTGATCTAAAGAAAAACGAAGATCTTTGGTCATTATTTGAAGAATTTAATTCAGGTACATTCTTTTGTTAATATCTGCTGACTATTTTAAAGTTATAATAATTACTATGAAGAAACTGATTTGCTATTTTGTAATGTGATGACCATAAATGGTGTTGGGGCTTATGCGGCAGTGACTGCTCTGGTCTTGGGTGGTGTTTTTAAATATCTGATAACGCAGGAATTTTTCAAGACATCTTATAAAACCTAATAGCACAAAAAAAGTAGTAAAAACGCTCAAGAATCAGAACGCACACAAAAACAAAATATTGCACAAGATAAGACCTAACTTTCACCAGGCATGACCGAGCAGTCGAATAGATTCTCCGCACGTGGTAATGACCGGAAGAGCTCATTGGTTTTCGAAAGAACACGAAGTGATGCGGCCACCTGAGTCGCTACAACGGCGGCGTGTTCTCCATTCAATGTGCCAAACGATTAAGTTTGCGATCTCCTTTTTCTGCTGCTATTTCTGTGCTGTTTTAACTAATATCTCTTATATATCTATATACTTTCACTAACATTCAATTCTCCTCTAAAATATTAAAATGCAATTTTTTAATAATTTTGTTGGTCATATCGATGACCGGACGTCTCGCCTATTCATTTTATAGAAATTTAATGGTCCCAAACGTATTGTGCTTCGAGTATTTTATTTCTGTCTTGGTTAGTTTTATAATTTTTGAACTAACCTACGAATGGAGATTCAGGTTTGCAACAATTGAGGGACTAAACATTCCAAGAAATATAGATCATCGCAAAAATGGAAAGACTCTTGGTAGTTTCAAGTAGTGAAAGCTATACTTTGAAAATTAATTTACGTAAGGGGAGCACTATATTAAATTATTAAAGTTTCTCTTCTGCCTAAGTTACAAAACATATTGCTTACTAATATCCCATTTTTAATCCTAGGTTGTTTTTTCAGATATTGATAATAAAAATTATCATTTTTTTCTTTTTTGATCAAAGAGAAATTTGATATTGTTCACAGGCCTTCAGGCATTAGCTGATGAAGAATGGGTGATTTTTCGAAGTAAGAGCTATCGTTTTGAAGAATTCCTTCTGCAGTGGCAAGAACGATTAAAATCTGGAAAAGAAACCACTTCTCTTACCGTAAGATTACTGCAAGAAGTGGAAAAATTCAAAGTAAGAATAATGAAAAATAACATAGACTTTGCTTTAACTATTTGCTAAAAAATATTTAAAAAATAAATTATTCACTCTGAAGTTTTATTGAAAAATATTTATGAATGTTGTGTTGATCTACATTATAAAACACGGAGTATTTAAAATAAGTATGTATGTAGACCTAAATATATTACGTGCCAAATGTTCGGATGTGATACAATTTTAAGGTGAACAGTTGTGACTCATGAAATTGAAGGACAGAGATATAATCTTTGAGGAGCTAATGAAGAATTAAAATGAGGGACATCTAAAATGGATATTAGCGAGTTGTAGAGTGGTTTATTGGCATGTTCACTTATTCATAGTGTTAATCATTACTAATTCTCCATTCATTTATCCTGGTATACGAACAGTATGTAGATAATGATAGTAGTCCCAGCAACAATGGCAACAACTATAATAATAATAACAACAGTAACAATCACAACTCCACGTTGTAGTGGGTGGCTGAACTTAATGTGTGATCGCGTGAGCTACATCGACGGTCGCTATTGGTAGGGCCTCCCTTGCCGAACAGGACGATGGTGAGGTACCAGATAAAAAAAGTACTCCAGAGGAGAGCACCAACGGCATCTTCGAAGAAGAAAAAAAGAGAAGAAGCTATTCACCGACAGCATGGCGAATAAAGACAGGAGGCACACTTCAAAGATCCTAACAGTGCTCTCACACAGCAACGGGTCAGTTTCGGTCTCCTTGTAATAGGCTGATTCGTCTATGTAGAAACGTAAATTGGGAGGGAAGAGTCACTGATTGCGGAATTTTTGTTGTCGGCGATTGGAGGGTACAGGGAATAAACTGGGTTGGTACTCCTCGCCATTGAAGAGAGTGGAGGCCCGAACTGTGCATTAGCCAGCGAAGGATGCTGCTTTCAGCATTCAGTGAAAATCCCATAAAGTTTTGTGATGCCGTCTGGCGATCGGAAGGGTCCTTGCAGGGGCCTGCAGGGAATGGATCGATACCACCATGGGCCGGATGACAGAAAATCACCCGTGAGTTAAGTGCAATGTGTGATCTTGATGTCTGGGCGCCAAACGGATAGAACAAGAATGAGTTTTAACGTCCCTTTCTCTACCGACTTATCTAGTCGACGTTTGGCCATCCAACAGAAGTGAGCCAGAGCTCCCAGAAGCCCGAAATCATCGTCAGAGATGGACGGAAGATGAATGAAAGACGATGTGCTTTAACTATCAGGTATAGTAGCAGTACTTCAAAAACTACTCTTTTTAAGCATAATTTTACCATGCAAATTCGAAAAGGAGTGTTTCAGAAATATACGTTTTCAAAATATTGAAGTGTGAGAAATACAGACATTCTCAACATTGTGACCTGCCCATTTGACGATGCAGTAGAAAGTTCACAGAAGAACAACTTACTGTCATTCAAAGAAATGCGGAGGGTGCCCTTCGCTCAAATTTTACTCATGACAATTACTTAGAACTTTTTTATTCCGAAAATACGATGGCTTTATTGAATGTTTATCTCTTCCCCGTGAAACTCCTGTTAGCGGTGCAAATTCGTCGGGCTATGCCGACGTAATGGGAAATCTCCTTCGACACGAAATATAACGAATTCTTTTATTTAAATCTCGTGCACCCTTGAGGAGAATATTCGAATACTATATACGAAGCTAAGAATGAGATACTGACCGCGAATGGAGACGTAAGTGAGGTGGTGTAGAGTCGAGATGTATGCCTAGATGCCACAGAAATCAAACACATGATGAATGCAACCGGATCTCTACTACTCTATTATCGGATTATTTTGGGACCAACCTAGAACACCGACCATCGACAGCCAAAAGGGGGCATAACCTCTCTCATTTTGCTGCTATGCAGCATCTGCTTTTCAGATTATTTTTTTCATTTTACCCTTCGACTAAATTTTGTCAATGCATTATTGATTGTTGTAGGAAATCTATTGATAATAAAACTCTCAGTGGCAGATTAACTTATCATTATACGAGGCATTAACAAATTAAAAAGCAAACGTTATCTGAAACCTACTATCATAAACTTACAAATTTTGAATGGAATGACGCAGATGTATTGTTCAAACAAAATGAAAACGCAGACAAATTTATTAGATCAAAGTTTTACACACAAAAGGGGGCGCAATAAATCACACCTGGAATTTCATTCGTCACTAAGTCCAACAAACTTCTAATTTTTTTCTAAGGACACGCTTACTGTTATAGAATAGGTAGCAAGGTACAAGACAATGGGCGAGAAGAAATGTTGAGATTTCAATGCCAGTTGCAAAATCATCCTCGGACTTATTCTCTTGGAAAGAAGTTAATTTTGATAGAGTACTGAGAACATTAAAATTCAAAGTCAGGAGGAGTTTGGAGAGAGTAGATGTAAAATAAAGGTAGGAAAATATCATTTCTGAAGTTGAATGGTTAATGAATATTCCAGAAGTGCCAAATAGTATTTTATAAAAAGGCAGCAGTTTGCAGCTCCGCTACAAAACTACGTGGGAGTTGTAATGGCAATCCCCGACAACTCACTTCCGTGGACTTCGACTTCCCTAAGGCTTCCTCAGCCAGCTTTTTATTGGGATCAAAGATGAAAGAATGTGATGCTGGACACACTTACAGGATGCTTTCGAATTTTGGAGACTTACCTCCAAAAACAAAATGGGCGCCTTTGAGAACTGTAGGACAGTTGATGTTTGAAAAAGTATAATATTTATAACGAAGAGAAACGGTAAGGTATTACTAATTAATTGATTACAGGTGATGAACAAGTTTTAATGATTTGTTGCCGATCCGGTGACCAAGATCTCTAAGGCAGTATACGGTAGCATTATCGGACCAAAGGATCGCGAGTTCGAGTCCCGCCTCGGGCATGGTTGTATTTTGTTCGTCCTTTCGCTCCCTATCATCATCACATCGTGTCATCCTCACAGTTACCATACCCTTACAAGCAATAGTGATCGCAAATGACCTAGAAGTTGATGCGATATTAAATAACAAAAAATGATATGTTACTAGTATCTACATAATATATTTAAAAAATATTTATCGTCTCTCTTTATAATATACTGATTAATAATTGTTACTTCTTGTGCAACTAAAAGAATAATTAATGTACTCTCCTGTTATTTCAATTTTATATTTTCAACTTCGAAAATCTTTTAATACGCAGGCTGTCGTTCCATCTTTAAAATATCTTCGAGGTGAAATGTTTGGAGAGAAGCACTGGATGGAACTTTTTGGTTTATTGGGGATGCTTACCAAACCTATCGAAAGACTTCTTTTCGGTGATTTTCTTGCAGTGAAAGGAAATATAGCTGGTAATTTACCTGCTCTTCAGGCATGTATCTTTTAATATTCTTTTGTCTTGTAAATTTTCGTTTACTTAATGTATTATTACAAATATTGAACATTATTTATAGGACCTAAATGCTCGAGCAGCAAGTGAAATTGTTATAAGGCAAGCCTTGGGAGAGCTTGATATTTGGGAAGTTGAGGCGAAGTTCTCACTGACAGAACATAAGGATTCTCAGGGACAGACTGTAAAACTAATTAAAGACTTCAAAGATATTTTGAATAAGGTAAGTACAGTTGAACATGTAATCGGTTAAAACCATTAAATATTATAATATATGTAAAAATATTTCATAATGAAAATTAATAATATTCCAGAAATTCTAAAATCCCATGTCTTTTTTTGTCCTAAGTTGAAAAAGCATATTTAATTTTTGGGGTAACTTTTCTAATAACTCATAAAATTTGTTTCAACAGGTAGGTGATAACCAATGTCTCCTGCAGAGTATTAAGAACTCTCCCAATTATGATAGTTTTAGTGACAGAGCTAGTATTTGGGAGCAACGATTAGCCGATCTTGATGTTTATCTTCACCATCTTACTCAAATACAACGCAAGTAAGTTTTTAATGTTTTCTTTGATATATTAATTAATATGTTAAAACATTTAATGAATAGAATGACAGTGTACTTACTATCCATTTTTTGTTGTTAGAACATTGACATTAATATTTGAGTTATTAATAGTTTTTTAATTATTTTCCAAATATTTTAATGAACGATCAATAGTTTGTGAAAATATATTTTCTTGTCAAAGAAAGACTGTTACATAAATTTTTCTTCACACCAGATGGGTTTATTTGGAACCTATTTTTGGTGCTGGAACGTTATCTCAAGAAAAAGGCAGATTCCAACGCGTTGATCACGACTTTCGAAACATCATGCAGGATGTTGCTCGTGACAGTCGTGTTGTCTCCTTGTGCAGAATAAATAATTTACGTCGTATTTTGGATACCCTCCTTGATCAGTTGGCACGTTGTCAGAAGAGTCTGAATGACTTCCTAGAGGTGAGTATAAACTATGGTTAATCTTTAGAGGTAGAGTAAATGATGACCACCAAAACATACCAAAAATACCAGGTTATGTATGAAGACCGTGAAGTGGTACTTTTTCGAGCGATGTTTTTAGGAACCGAGGTAGACCTTGATGATGATAACATCGATAATTTCCCGAGGTGGACTAATGCGGCCGGGTTTCATGGTACATATTTATAAATCATTATATACTATTTTTTTCGTTGTAAGAAATTGATTATAAAATTCCATTTTATTGCACAGATTATGACTTTTTCGTCGTCTGCGGTATGAATAATTGCGCCATCACTAGGGGACGGATTTTAATGAAATATCAGTTTTTTCTTTTCACTTTAGAACAGTGCCATTTAGTATAGAAATTCATTTTATGTTATGCCGAAACCAGATGACCCATTTTATGTCTGCATTTTTCGTCTGCTACTGCTTCATCAAGTTCAATTTCATTTTAATGGTACTTGCTTCAAACAATATTTACGAGGTACAACAAATGTTCACCACAGAATTCGATTTCTTCGCTCATATATTGTAATGCTAGCCGTTGTGAGTAATATATAAGGTTCTTGTGATATTTATCGGCGCCATTGTCAAGCTGGCCGATTTCGCGATAAATAGGGAGAGTTTTTCTTTTAAAGAACAGTCCGTATCCAAAGTTTGCAGGCTGCGTTCACTTGAACAAAAGGAAGAAGCCTCTATTCCATCAGTAACTTATACGACAGCTTGAGTTGATCATCTGAAGTGGTTTTGATCAAATTTTTTACGCCATATTTCTTTGTTTTAGGTAATTTTTAAAGCATTTTAAGAGCATTTCATTGATCATTCTTTTCAATGTTTTAGATCATCAAAATCCTCCCCCTAGTCATCACATACATAGCGAATGATGTTTTGGGGATACTTCTCAATAAGCCTCCACACTCTTAAAATTTAGCTCCAACTTTTTTAAAACAAAGTTTGTTTTGGAATAGCGAAAAAAACAGCAAAAAAACAGAAGTCACATTGTCGTTAAAATATTTGAATTTTCAAAAGTTGCAAACAGTCAATATGTCAATTAATAAGAATGTTATGATTGTTATTCATAATATTAAATTAATACAATGTATAATCACGAAAAGAGTTTTTATTGTCCATATAATCCTGGAACACGACTTTTCGTGTCATATTTAGCATGTGCATGTGGATGTAAGAGTGTGTAAGTGAGGAGTGAGGATAGGTCAAGGAAAGGTAAGGAAAATCGTGTGCGGTCCTTGGCTCGTTTGTTAGGGTACTGCCGCGGCTTTGGCCTGGTGTTGATCGGAGAACCAATGAAAAATACCGATCAGAGCAGCCGGCCTCTTGAATTCTCAACCAGACTGCGGGTGAATTCGACCTAGCTGCCTAGCTAGTGCCCAAAATTCTGCCACCCCACCCTAGGACCTCCCGGTCAGAGGCCCTGCGAAGACATCAGTTGATGTCCATCTTTGCCGGTCATATTTGCCGGTCGGCGAATTCAAATTGATATAATATTGAAGATATATTTTTTCTTAACGTAATCTGCACATCAAAAATAGATCATGAAATAAGGTCATGCCCAATTTACAAAATAACAAAAAGTTAACATCTCAAAAGTATACTAGAGATGATTGATGGTAAAAATTAATGATAAAGATGCTTTTTGTTAAATTATATCTGTTCTAAAATATCAGTTCTTTAAAAAGGTTCAAGTAAAAGAAAAAAATAGTTATTTAGCCTAATTTTGCAAATTCAAAATTCTTTGCAACATTCATTTGACATGTCAATTTCAAATTCTCAGAACTTCTCATTGTGTATGGCGATGCTTCTGTTCGGTTGGAACGAAGTTTTGCATTATCGAATGTGTTGACGTATTGCCTTTAAATGAATTGATTTTTTCGCGCCTAATGAGCTGAGAATTTCAATGAGTTTTAGAAGAGATGACTAAGATGTATTAATATGGCCAGATATTGTGGCATTATAATGTCAGGTAACCGTTACTGAAGCTAAAACGTACGTGTTGTTGTAGCCACACTAGTTTTGATACGAAACAGTGGATACTGTGATAAAATGATTTTATATAATATGTATTATTTTTGTTACATAAATTTGAATTTTATAACACTGGTAATGTAGTTTAAATGAATATTGTAGTTATTATTCCTGGCGCTGAAGTTGAACAATACAGTTACTACAAAAAAAAACAACATTTAATTGAGTTTTGTATTCCATTTCAGGAAAAACGCTCCGCATTTCCAAGGTTTTATTTCCTTGGTGACGATGATCTTTTGGAAATACTTGGCCAGTCTACAAAAGAGCGTGTTATTCAGTCTCATCTGAAGAAGTTATTTTCTGGCATCAATAGTGTGCAATTTGACACTGAAGTGCAAAATATAATTGCTATGAAATCTCTTGAAGGGGAAACCGTGGCATTGAAACAGAGCGTGAAATTAACGCAACAGGTGGAGGTGAGTTCTTAAGAAACTTGAATTTGTCTAATGCCAGTTTACTTCCTAATATTTTCATGCTCGTATTCATTTTTAATTATTAGTAGCTTTATTTATTGTTTAATATCATACTGTTTTAAATTCATGAAAATGTGTGACTAGGGAAATAAGTATTTGACAGTTGCGTTTTTGTATATTCATTTAACAATATCTGTTTATAATTGTCAATTTATTTTGTATAATTCAAATTGGATTTTGAAAGTATTTGTTTTTTCAAAGTTTATCATAACGTACTTCATAACTCTTCAGTCTATATTTCGGAAGGATAAGAGAATATTTTGGAGCTACATCATAATCACATCATTGTTTTCATCCCCTTTTACTATGTCCTTTACATCTCGTTTGACTCACAGTAATGGCTTTTAAATTTTGTTACTCACTTTTAAGCATATTGTATCGTGTTTCTTAAAAAACGTTCTCAGTTTCACGCAGTATCAAACTTTGTGACTGTACCTTTTTAACTTTATATCTACAATACATTCATATTAATGCAACCACCGCCTATGCTTGACGTGAACTTGCAATAACTCATCACAGACGGCAGGTGGCAGCAGGGGCGCTCTGTGGATGGGACAGGTGGAGGCAGCTAGCCCCAGGTCATCACTTAAGTGAGGTCCCAAAAAGTTTTACAAAATTTGTTTTTCATTCACTTAAAAATATAAATTTAATTTATAATTCACTTAAAATTTATTATTATTACTATTATTATTGTTAGTATTATATAATATAATAATAATAATAATAAACGAGGAGAACTTTTATTTTATGTAAGGGGTCCTCGTAGATCTACTGCTGCAAGAGTTGTCTCAATGCAGAAACGGAGCGATTTATCGGATATCCCGGGGTGGGGGTAATGGTGTGGGAAATGTGGCCTCGACATTCTAGAAGGCATAATGGATGAACAGAAGTATGCACCCATCCATGGGGACCATGTCCTCCCCCTCCATATGCAGATCGTTTTTTCTTAGCAAGTAGGCATCTACCAGGAGGACAATGCAATGTGTCACAGAGCGCTGTACGTGCATGGTTCGAAGAGCATCATGATGAGATAATAGGACGCTCCTGTCCACCAAACTCCCCCGATTTAAACCCAATCCAGAATCTGTGAGACCATCTCGTTCGGGATGCTTGCGCCATATATCCCCAACCGAAGATCCTAGCCCAGCTGGCTACGACATAGAAATCGGGATGGTTTGGCTCTCTCTGTTCCTGAACATCTCGAGCGGTCACCGCTGCAAAATGGGATTAATTCAAGATTTTGTCGGGTGGTCACAATGTGACTGGACTGCGTATGAGAGAGTAGAGAGTTGTCGCGTATTTGTGCGTGAAATAAATGCAGTTTTTAATTTAACAAAGGTTCTCAGAAATGGCTTCGAATTGTTTCTTTAAATTTTCTCCTCGTATGTATCGAAGAACGGTAAAAATACGGGTGCTAACTCCATTTGCGGTGAACTTTCTGTATTTTCAAAAATGGTAAAACTATTATATATATATATATATATATATATATATATATATATATATATATATATATATAATATTGAAGATAGAACTATTTGATCTGCATGAAATTTGTTCCAAAAGATACCTCTTAGTGTGTACATGTTTTTGAAAAATGAATAATTTTTGCTTAATGTCTGCTGGATGTAAATGCTATTTATAAAAAAATATTTTCTCAATAATCGCTTCAAATTCTTCCATTACATTTTGTATGTGTAGCAAAGAACTGAAAAAAATAGAAAAAGTCTCATTTTCGACAATCTCTATTTTCGAAATTGCAATTGTATAATATCGAAGATAGAGATTTTTTGTTAAATGAAATGTATTTTGAAAAATAAGTTCTTTAAAAAAGGTTATATACAATTATTTTTAAATTTGTCCACTTTCGCAAATTTTAAAAATAATTTTGCAAAATAATTTTGCAAATTTTCGAGTTTCGAATTTGTGTTCATAAATTACCTTTTAGTGAATAACTGTTCGCGCCAAATGCGTTGCGATTAGCAATGTGCTTTACTAGCAATGGATATGTTACAATGGACAAAAATAGCGGAATATTATTTTTACGTAGCCGTTACTGGTGCGAGAATGTACTGCTGTTTAGCACCACTAGTTATAAATGTTGTCTCATTAATGTAAAGTTAATTATTACGAAGACACTTTTTAAATTACTTAATCATTCTATCAACATTTAACGCCATATTTTACATTAAAAACTGAACTTCACTTCCATGCCACATTCGTCTCTCGTCCATCAATTCTCACACCCAAGTGCATTTTATTCCTTCTCCTTGCCCCGAACATCACATCCTAAACAAAAGACATTGTATTCTCTTCCAGCCGACTGCCGCTCACGGCGTGGTTCACCTCACATTTTATAATAATTTACATAACTAATTCAGCTATATTTAAGGCTTCTGGAAAGAATATTTGAACATAAGGTATTACAACAGGCACTTCACAATCCACTTGGTGTCTCAACAAGTACAAAGCATTAGTCGAGAAACTTTGAGCCTCTACTTCCTCTACCACCAGCACCAACAGGCTGTTGATTGATGCTGGTATATTCCGCCTAACTACAGCACTTTTTTGAAAAAGGCCCACTTGGCCTAATATGAGCTGTGGCTTTATTTGGGTCTGCGTCCTTATTAACAATGCATACGAGTGGTTCATGGTTAAGCAGACATTGGCGCACAAATGATTAGGCTTCCTCCTTTCTAAAAGTGCCTCTTCCAATTTGATAATGTAGGTCTGCAGCACCTATGCAACCTATAACATGAATATTGGCTTTGCGGCTCCCTACTTTCATATAGCTGCATCGAGTACCCTTTTTGGAACAACATTTATTCCTTACAATAAATCAGTTTAAATTTGTTTCATTTACACACAAAATAGGGATGTCATCCGCTTGATAATTTAAGCGTTGCAATATGTAATCACGACTTTTTTCTTTAGTCTTCATACTATTATTTTTTCGGGTCTTTACAAATAACTTTATATGTGTAAATCAAACCGTCCAAATGTTTATGCACACATTCTGTTGAAGCAATAATTTTCTTCAAATTTTCGTTTCATATTTTTTAGTGTACGAGTAAATCTTGGATTTCTTCGATGTGTTTGTCCATGAAGGCCCGATGTTCCTCTGTCATTTTAAACCTCTTCTTTCCACCTCGTACTTTTGTTGAAATTGATTTTCTTTACCAAACAATACACAGTCGCTTTTTTATAGTATCGAGCCTACTAGACACCACCTCCTATTATTATTAATAATTAATTATTACTATTAATTATTAATTATTACTATTAATTATTAATTATTAACTATTAATTATCAATCATCAATCATCAATCACCAATCGCCAATCACCATTCACCATTCACCAACCACCAACCACCAACCACCATTCACCATTCACCAACCACCATTCACCAACCACCATTCACCAACCACCATTCACCAACCACCGACCACCAACCATCGACCACCAACCACCAACCACCAACCACCAACCACCAACCACCAACCACCAACCACCATCCACCAATCATCATCCACCATTCACCAATCACCATCCACCATTCACCAACCACCATTCACCAACCACCATTCATTATTCATCATTCATTATTCATCATTCATTATTCATCATTCATTATTCATCATTCATCATTCATCAACCATCATTCATCAACCATCAACCATCATTATAGGCAATAGAAATTTGTCTTTTTATATTGTCAACTTCCATTTTTTTTACATACGCCTTTCGAATATCAGGTATTGATCATTTGGAAAATAATGTTGGTTCTGTACGTATTGTAGAATCGATATTAAACAATAACCAAATCATCATTTTTTCGTTTGAAATTGTTTAGTCTCAATTTGAAAGCGATTGATCTCAATAAGAAGATGTGTAATCTCAATATCTTGTTGTTTGGTATTACGTTGATTGCATTTCTTCTCAACCTGAAGTAGAAGAGGTGCAGTTACCCCGGGAAACTATGAGCGAATGGTAAACCATTGTCGTTTTAGATCTTAAAAGCTATTAACGTGCTCACCCCAATCCGATGTGGATTCAGAAAACAACTGTCAAGCCTGACTACTTGATCAGCTTAGCAAAATAAATCTCGTTCTGCTTTTTTTAAGGTAACCTATTGTGGCCTTTTTCTTCCGGACATGGCATGAGAAACCCTACGGGACTACCTAGGGACATGGCATTCCGCGTACGTTATGTGTGTGAGTCTGAGGTGTAGATAGATGTTTACAGAGTAACCATATTATACCACTGAACGATGATAATTCGTGTCACCATAAATTAATCTGAAGTAAAGAAAAATCCATGATTTGATAATAGAAAACTGTGATTGTTGTTTTAATGAGGCATGATTTATAAAATTTCATTGGGGATAAAAGACGGAAATAGAGCATTATAAGAGGAAACGTCCAGATTGAATCTATCTCTGTTTGACACTGAGCAGATGATGGTCACCAACATGTCTTGTCCTGTAAACATTAGTCCATTGATTTTCTATCCGATCATTCCATTGTAATAAGTGTATAACGTTGAGTACCTTTCAGGAATGGAGGATGGAATGTTTATTACATATTTTTAGGCTTATGTTTATTAATTACAGGAATGGCTAGCTAATTTGGCAAAGGAAATGCAAATGACTCTTAAGAAGTTATTACTTGAATGTTTAGAAGATTCTCGCTCTGGTAGTGGAGGAGCTGACCCACTCAAGTTTCCATCTCAAATTCTCTGCTTGGCGGAAAGTGTAACATTTACTGAACGATGTGAACAAGCTATTAATGGAGGGGATTTACAGTCTCTACTATCTTCTCTCAAGGTAAGTAATGCAGAATTACTTTCTTTGAGAAGTAGTTTTTGATTTCCTAATTATGTACTTGAGATGCATGAGAATTAATTATTAATTTGTAATTTAATGTGATTAAATGTAAAGATTCAGAACGAAAGGTCATGTCCAGCTTTCATAGATTTTTTGTTTTTTGTATCAGAAGAGTTATTTATGTGGATCCTCTCTGAAAAAATCAAAATCACCAAGGCATTTTAAAAAAAGCCAACAAAACAATGGATTTTATCAAAATGGACACATGTTCAGAATGATCTATTTATTTTATTAACATTGGTTCTGTTGCAGCGATATTAATCGAAAGCGATAACGTTAAATGTAATTTTCAATAAAATAAAATTAAAAGCTTGGTGAATAACTGTTTAATGAAATTCTTGGAACATTTTAAATTTGAAAGTTGTAATGAAAATGGGAAAATTTGATTAAAAAACAAGCGATTGATTATTCAGCTGCCAGAAGTAGCTCCAAAACGATCAATGGTCATAGAAAAGAAAAAAAGATGTCAAAAATGTGTTCGTGGGAAAAATCGGGGAGAGGGGCGAGAGGTGGAGGGGAGGGGGAGAGGAGAGGACAGAGCGTGAGCGTGAGAGGGAGACTCAACCCTCTTTGTACGGGTATACCGAATTTATGAGACCAATTTCGGTCGTTCCTAGACAAAGCACACGGCACAAGACAATAAGCATTCGTTTTGTAGGAAAACCCCAAAGTAACGCATACAGATGAAATACCAGCTAACCATAACGGTATTAAGTTCGTTGAGATGATTTTAGCGGTATTCATGTGTGCAGAAGCTCTCATAAATACCGCTAAAATCATTTAAAAAATCAATTGACCCTCGCGAAATGCATTAAAAGAAGAATGGTCTCACCAGCAGCGTTTCGGCCTTGCGGCCATAGGTTGAGGGGGAAGTGTGGTTAGCACATAGCCATCCCTACGCTGTATTCTGGCCTTCTCAACCTGAGAAGTGAACTTTCTCATTGTCACACAGCCGCTGATACAGGGTCATTGCAAGGAAAGTGCACAATTAATTATTGCTCCGATCGGGAATGGAACCCGGGGTTGTGCCGTGGAAAGCGAGCGCACTAACTAAAGAGACACTGAGGGAAATCATTCAAATGTTCGCACTAGATCATACATTTGAGATTAACGCCTCAGAAGATGACGCAGGAATGTAAGATATGCATTTAGTGTCAATACATTTTTTCTTGAGGACGATTACTTCTTTTTATCTACCTACGGTATATTTTTTTTGTTTTGCTCTCGGACAATAAAAAAAATGAGGCTATAACGCAAGGATGCGGTTCCCATCGACCAATGTCATGAAGAGGAATATTAGTACTGTATGTATATGTTTTGGACATGTTTTAATTCACAGGAACAGTTAGAATCATACACTCGATTGTCACTCGAATGGGCAAGCGGGAAAAAGAGTGAAGTTACAGAAGATTCTGTACTGGAGTTAAAGTTAAAAGCGCTGCTTTTGGATACAATTCATCATATTTCTGTAGTAGAGCACCTCATTGGCCAGGAGGTGAACTCTATTGATGACTGGTCATGGCAACGCCAATTAAGGTAGGATTGAAAGAGCTTTTATTTATTTTTTAGTTTAGCTTGTCGCTTCCGGCTGGTTCTGTAATTTTGACTTATTTTAATTCCTGCTGTGTACTATGCGCGCACTTTTTCTTGATCCTCCTCCTCCAGCACCCTAGTTCTCGCTCTGCCCGGCACAGCACGGCTCGGTGCAAATACGAGTTCCACTCGGAACGTCACGGCTCAGTGACTTTGAAGTGCACCCACCTTCTTCCTTTGCAATACGGACTTCGTAGTTTTCGCTTTCTCTTTCTGTCGATCTGTGCGTACCATATTCCTTCTTGTTACTCAATTATTTATGTAATTATTAATTGCTTCTTTAAGATTTTTAAAAAAATCTGTCGTTGTTTCTCATTGCATTCTAGTCAAAAACACGCTTTTACGCTGAGTTTTCTGTCGATGACGTAGTCAGAACCCGCCTATCTCCGCACAGCCGCTGATTATCAACAAAAAGTGCGGGTATAATAGGTATACGAGAATAATAACAACAAAAACTGAACACAATCTTCTTCATTATTTCTCTGCTCTACACTGCATGACACCTAACTTCACAATATATCACTTATGCTTCGCTTTATAACCAACTATTTTAAATTAAGTCCCTCATTTATTTAGTAATACCGTAAATTAATTTCATAAACTGTTGAACGTTTCGAGAAAAAGGTTCGAAGTTTTTTTCAGGCAATCTATTCCATTCTTTTATCGTTCGATTTGGGAAAGACAATTTCCCGCCATATGTTCTTTGCGGTCTTAAATTTATTTTGAATCTGTGAGCCCCCCTACTGATGTATGTTGGAATACTTACCTGCCCATTAATTTCTTTCCAAGCTGGATGACTTCTATAAGCATTATACAAAGCGCAGAGTCTTGCTACGATCGCCTGTTTTCGAGTGAATCCCATCCTGCCATTTTTTTGTCCCTGAAAGTAAATTTAGCTACCCTACGCTGAATCCTTTCCAAATTTTTACACTGCATAGTTTTGTGCGGTCCCAACAAATTGTTCCATATTCCATTATCGGACGAACAAGCGATAAATAAGCAATTTCCTTCGCTTTTGCCTTACACTTTTTTTAAGGTGTGGACATTCTGTATAAGTCCATCTTCGACCAGAGGATATTATCTTTCTTCTCTTTCCCAACCCTCTGACTGGCAGCTGAAGAAGTCGCCTTCCTCCTTTTCGAATTGTCTTTGCTGCTGCAGGACATTCTTTTTTGGATTTTTCTTTGAAGTCATGTTAGCTGAAAAGTTAACATGACAAGAAAATTTAAAGCCGGTCCGGATGGCCGAGTCTACGAAGGAAGTAGTACCGTAGTGATCTGGGACCGAAGGATCGCACGATCGAGTCCCACCTCAGGCTGGTTGTATTGTGTTCGCCCTTTCACACCCTATCATCATCATATCGTGGCTTCCTTACACTTACTATACCGTTACACGCAATAGTGGTCGCTAACGACCTAGAAGTTGATGTGATCTTAAATAAAAAAAGAAAATTTAAAGCTTCACCACCCATATCAGATCAGTCCCATTTGAAACCTTAGTGGAAATCCTCTTTGTTCCACGTAAACGATACTTGGGTTTTCTTGTATCTGGGAAATCAGATAAGATCGCTTCGCATGGAGTTTCTTTTTATGAAAAGCCGTGGAAAAGTAGAAACGCAGAGAAACCAGCCTTAAACGGCCTGCGGTAGTTTTCTGCGAACAATCATGACAAATTTTAAAATTCGGGGAATTTTTCACTAGATTTGTAATTTGACTGGACTAGTTGTGGAAAACCCCTGCAAGGTGGTCGACGCCATATCTCACCATCCTGTGGGGAAGAACACCGCCGTCTCCCATAATAAAAATATGCATTGCACGTATGGGACTTGCGACCATAGCAGTTCACGCTCCCGGAAACTCGAAATAACCAATCAATCAACAAGCTCTTGTGGATGTCAGTGCCGTAATTGGTGGTTCATCGGTATCCGCTAAGTCCGATCCTGTCCTGAATCGGGCACAGATCTGCAATTTTTCTGAGGCTGTATTTCATGGAAGTAGCCGTCAAAAGCGCAAGCCTTAGTAGGAACTAGTGAGCGGTTGGGTGTGAAATACCTGCAGTTCCATTGGCATGAATGGGATGAATAGCACGGCGTGGGACGTATGCGCCAAGTTTGAGTTGGTTCCGATGTTTAATTCTCTGTGCAGATTTTTTGTCTTAAATTGTGATTTTGATTATCTTGAAAAGTGTATTAAATGTTTACATGTGACGCTTAATATCCGGAAATACATGTATTCAATTTTCTTCATTTGTTCACAAAAAGTGAAAAGGTTCTTGGTGTATAAACTTTTGTACTAATTTCCAAATGCAATATTGGGCTTGGTAATTGTTTGCTTCGTATTTCGTCAATTTCTAATCGAGAACAGATAAAACTGAAAATTTTAAGGAAACAGATAAAACGGAAAATTTTAAACTTATTGATAATAATACTTGTTCACTTATTCACTTATTTTTCCTCAGCATTTCATACATTTTTGCAGAGACTTTATGTTATTTTTTATTATAATACCTTGTGTTTATATATACCATTCATATAATCCATCAAATAAAATATATAAGGTATTAAGAACATCTATATTTTTAGGTTTTATGTTGGAAAAGATGGAGGACTTCTAGTGCGAATGGTGGACGCTCAGTTCCAATATACTTACGAATATCAAGGCAATGCTCCTAAGCTTGTGCACACTCCTCTTACGGATAAATGTTATCTTACACTGACACAGGTGAGTTTTTCTCACAATTTTTGTAATAATTTTTTGGTTGTAGATGCAATATATTCATATTTTCGCGATATTTCAAATGAATAACTGTTATACTAATTTTCGCTAAAATTAAGATAACCATAAAATCACAGCATATTGATTATAATTATTTTTCTTTCCTTTAACATAATTTGAGGGAAAGTATTGGAGACCCTATAACAATACAGTCTGGAATTTTCGGTCGTAAAATCCATATTTTGAGCTCTAACTTCACGCACGTGTTAGAAGTAAGGTGTGTTACTGGTGTTTCAAATACGGTTGAAATGGATGCAGGTTAAGAGGAGATTCATAAAATTTTGTATCCGAAAATCGAGATGTAAGGTTGATTAGATGAAAGTATATGTCAATCACGTAACTGTCAGATTAGAAGCTTTTGAATTTAAACTTTCTAAATACGTGAGTAGTAAGATCTAGTTGAAACGTTTCGGAGATCATTAAGTTATTTTAATTTTTAGGAGTACTTTATATAAAGCCTCAGTGAAATTTTGCAAAATTTCTGGAGTGTGGCTGCCAGTTTTTCTTTCGTTTTTGTGCTGGAATAGAATAAAGCGCATTTATAAAATTATATTGTGATGGATTATCACAAGGGTAATTAAATAGAAATAATAAATTTGCATAATTATAAATATGGATGACAGCAGTAATAGGGGTATAGAAAAAAACTGAGGTGAGCTTTATTTTGGAAGCAATACAAGGACAACAGAATTGATAGTGGGGAAAATACATACTATTTCAACAAATAATGCAGTGAAAGGACACGTGAGAAAATTCCGTAGAGCAGAAAATAAAATAATAGACAAATAGAAAAAGAATAAACAAATAATATTGTGAAATGTGTGTGACCAATCAGGAGTTAGATCGCGTGAGAAGAATCGAAGGATCGGTGCGCTAGAGACGAAGAAGAGACGTGTTCGTGTATAATTTCGCGCAGATGAGAGACATTTGCAAAAATATTTAATATGGGAATGACAAAAGGATAAAAGACCCTTAAACAAATACGTCGCGTACAATTAATATAAACAAAATGGGATACACCAGAATCAAAACAGAAAAATATGTGGGATAGGTAATGCAAAACAAGGACACGTGAGCAATTTCAGTGTAAACAGTATTAAACGAGAGAAAAGTAATAATAGCTAAGTAGTTCAAAGAATAAAGAGTTACGATGTAAATGTATCAGCAATGAGAGCGGAGAAGACCTTCGAGAGAGCGATCAAGGTGCGCGTACAGAGGCAGGAGGAAACGTGTTTGGATAACACGTTTCCTTGGAAATAATATTTCGCAAAAGAGAAAACAGGAGACGAACGCGCGCAACTCGAAACGTGGAGAGCTCGGGCAGACTTGGCCGTGGAAGGACGCGTGGTGGAAAGTTGTTTTTAGTATGGAAATGCAATGAAACGTCGAACAACGACCATGTTTGTGGCACCTGCTTCGCAAGGAAAATAACAATGATGGGAAACTTTATTAGCAGAATATAATGTAGGAAGATGAAGTTGTGTTTTTTTTATTTTTTAAAAAGATAGCTAAATTTGTAACTGGGGAAATAATTTGGCCAAAGCATGCAAAGAAAGGGAAGGATTTATTTAATGGAATATGAACACATTTGTTTATAATTACATTAATTCTGAAAAAGGGTATATTATTCGCTAATGTGATGAAAATGTAAGAAAGAGAATATTATATTTCATGTATGTATGTATTTGCAGCACGGCATAAACATTGTATATGATCGGCATATTGTAAGTGTATTCATTTCAGACGACGACCTAGAGAATTCCCGAGTCCATATTAGAATAAGCTATTCTGTGTACGTAAATATTTCTTCATAGGACGTCTGTACGAACGATTTATCCTTCCCACACCAATAAATTTTTTCGTGATAGTGAAAATTCGGGCATCATGTAGAACAGCAGGCTAGTTAAATAAATAGAAGAATAGGGTGTTTATAATTTTCATACCAATAAAGGCCGTGGATAAATTCGTAATAGATTGGCATGACCAGTGCGGCGAATATATTGTTGTTCTTATTATTATTATTACTATTATAACAAAGAAGCCCGGATAAATATCACTATCAGACATGGAATGACATATGCAAGGCAATGTTTTGCAATTCTATAATATCCGTAATATTAATTTTTAGGCGCCAATAGGCAGTAGCTGGGAATGGGGTTGGGTAGAACCGAAAATCAGGCAAATACTAAAAAATTAGGAAACTAACTAGTACTGGAAAGTCTGTACCTTGTGTTTCACCACTGGTTTATTTTTATATACAAAATGAATCATAGCTTGCACTCTCTGTTGCAAATGTTTTGTTAATAAATAGTTTCCTTTTTTAAGACCAGGTACGATTAATAAAAGACATTTAATATTTGTTTATTATGTATTTATCTCTCTTGTACTTTCAGCGTCCGTTTGTACTTGTTTTTTAATCTACTATTTTTTAGGGTATGCATATGGGCCTTGGTGGCAATCCTTATGGCCCTGCAGGTACTGGAAAGACAGAATCGGTGAAAGCATTGGGTGGTCTACTTGGAAGACAAGTACTTGTTTTCAATTGTGATGAGGTATGTTGGGGAAATAATATCATTTTATTTAAAAAAAGTCTCAAACATCTTATAAATTATTTCTGTACCTAATACTTTTATTGGTAAATGTATTTCTTGAGAAACAGTTATTGATATTCTACTGAAACATGAATGTATGTATTTGTTAGATATCATTTAAACTATTTTAATTGGCTTAGAATTTAATATTTTTTCATTCTGCAGGGGATTGATGTGAAGTCAATGGCTCGTATTTTTGTTGGATTAGTTAAATGTGGTGCCTGGGGATGCTTTGATGAATTTAATAGACTTGAAGAAGCTACCTTGTCTGCTATTTCAATGCAAATTCAGCCAATCCAGTTGGCACTGAAAACAGGTGCAAAGTCTGTTAAGCTGATGGAAGAAGAGGTAAATTTATTCAAAAAAAAAAAATGAATTTTATACATATGATTATGCCATACAAAAAATTGTTTACGTTTCAAAATTATGGGAGAAATATCATTGTTATAATTTGTAGCAAAAGCAAATGAAAGGCAAGAAATAAAAAAATCACTATTTTGTGAAAAAATATAAAATGATATAAAATGGTCATGGTACATTTTATTTATGTAGATACCTGTTTTTGATAGTAGTCATTAATCTCAAGCGTATGTTTAAATTAAATATAGTTATGTTTTTAATGAAATTATAAACCCGATTTTTTTCTCCCTCTTCAATAAATATCATGGGTTATGTTGTACAGGTACCTTTGGATTCCAACTCTGGAATTTTCGTTACGTTGAATCCAGCAGGAAAAGGATACGGAGGGCGCCAGAAACTGCCTGATAACCTGAAGCAACTGTTCCGACCTGTGGCAATGTCACGGCCCGACAACGAGCTCATTGCTGAAGTCATACTTTATTGTGAGGGGTTTAAAGAAGCAAAATTAATTGGCCAGAAGTTGGTGGAGTTGTTTGATCTTTCTAAGTATGTTGATATGAATGCATGTGTGTGTGTTTCTTGTTTCTGTATTAACAGTCGCATTCCAGTACCCGAGCGAACACCAATGAGGTAGGGTTGGACGTACAGGACCTGAGAATAAATTGCAGTAGATTTGTAGGATTTTTATATTCAAGAAATAATGATTTTGAAAGAAATATATGAAAACAATGTTCGTTAATGTTTGGGTTAAAATATTTTCAGTTTTTGAGGTACAGCAAGGGATTATATTGTAATACGAATGCTCTTGACTGTCCGGTTGACACCGCGTCGAAGGCTGTGATGCCAATCAGCATCTCAGACACCGCCGACGTCTACGTCGTCGTCATAACTTGTAATAGACCAGGCACCGGTCGCAAATAATTGCTTGTTTATGCGCGGACGATCCAATACGCAGACTTACCTCCTGGGCTTCTACAGCTATGAAATACGAGAGATGCGTGGGTGAGAAGTTCGCATCATGCAGAACACGTTGAAAGGCGTGAATAAATAATGTAAATGCTTCAGTGGTTTAATGAACCTAAAGTTATAAGATGGGGGCGGTGAATTAATAAATGAATAGCGGTTGATTACTAAAGTGTGCGTGGGTGTTTGAAAGGTAACATCTCTTTGATAGAGCGGTTGGGCCGATCCCTCCTCTGTTGTCGATATCTGTGCGTGGCTCTAGGGGCGACCCTCGGGCGGCCGGTGCGGGCAGACATGGCGACGAAATCGCACGTACAATACGCCAACTCGGCGCGTGACCATTCAAGTCATTGATCGATTGAATTGGGTGGATCTCTCGTGCTTCGCAACTATTCGAGCGGCGTCTGCCCAAGTCCGGAAAAACGGTGGATAGGCATAATGTTGGCGGAGTGACACGGAAGGCGTCTGGTCGGCCTCGAGGCCCGGTTCAGGAGGAGGTTGCGGTGGAAGACTACGATGATGATGTATGAAGTGTCTCAGTCGGGTATGTCAGGGCTCACGAGGGGTGAAGGTGTGCTCTCTTTCGACATTTTAAATTTCGGCGGGAGTCGGCGCTGGCAGGAACACCTTTCGCGCACAGAACGCAGCCAGGCTTTCGCCGGGGGGGGCGACAGCTTCATTTCACTTTGCATAATGCTCGCTCTCCGTCGCCAAAAAGAAAGATTCCCGAGCACCGACAGGATCAATGTAAGATAAAATTATACATCGCGCGCGGCAAAATTTACTGAGTGATCCGTTACATTACAACATACAGTGAACATTTTCTGTACTTACGCTCCTTACCTCAGGGACACACAGTCATCATTCACCACCACTCGAACATTTGCGAATTCGATTGCGCAACTTTTTCTACGTCGACGTACAGTAAAATAAGGTTTCAACGTGTTTATGGGCGCGCCTGGTTGTAAGACAACGCTGGAGTTTCCTTGAAATTTTTACGCAAAGTGATTGTTTCGATTTTTCTAGACATGCGATAAGCGTTGAAAGATGACACTATCACCTTCAAAAAAGCGTTAATTGTAAAAGTCGATTAAACAGTTAGTCCATTCCTAAATGAAGCTAAAAGAAGTCTACGCTGGGGTTCGCCTTTGATTCCCCTTAATAATGCGACTGTTAATGCAGTTTCATTTTATAGTACAATGTTTCACTTTGTGAAATAATTAGGAAACTCCTGACTCCACAACAACACTACGACTGGGGGCTTCGCGCATTGAAGACTGTATTGGGCGGCTGTGGAGCGGCCCTCAAAATGGCTGGACGCGCGAACCTCGACTCCAAAGAGGCCGAAGAGGAAGTGGTGGTGCGTGCGTTGAGGCTCAACACTTTGTCCAAGTTGACCTTTGCAGACGGCACTCGCTTCGACGCGCTTGTGCGTGACGTCTTTCCCGGCGTGCCGTTCTCCACCGGCGGGCACGACCAGTTGCGCCTGGCGCTGCACGAAGCGTGCCAGGAGCTCTCTCTGTTGCCCAGCGACAATCAGGTGAGGCGCCATTTGTTTCTTGTGAAATTGTACCAGATTCGTCCGATACATTAGTGGTCATGTTTCAATATTTGTGCTTTTCGGACTTTATGTGCTCTGTAGTATTATTTCTTCATGACTTAGTATCTAATTAAAAAAAGCAAATATAAGAACTTTGAAAGATGAATACAATTTATCCCAACTAATCAATTTGAACTTCCCTAAATGAAGTAGAGTTCATTGATTCAGAAACTCTGCGTTAGTTCATTACGAACCAGTTTCACACACAGACATTTATTGCAACCCAATATAAAATCAGTTTGCAATTCTGAACTTGGTTATTTAGTGATGCCCAACTGCTATATTCTTTACACTTATATTACTTACATGGGCCGACGTCCCAACAAGTACGGAGTAGGTAATCTCCAGTATCACATACTTATTGTTTATTTTGTACTGGAACATTTCTACGTTCTACTATTTACATCCCAATATTTGTATTTAATAGTCCATATCCAATATGGATACCCAGTGTTCTCTTTGTAAATGTAATAACTACCCTTTTATTTTCGGTCCCGGGTACCAATACTTCGAGCTGAGTCGCTATTCCCTATAATACCATTGATATATCTGGGCATGACTCTCTCTCTCTCTCTCTCTCTCTCTCTGTCTCTCTCTCTTTATATAAGTCTACGATTTTCTAGCACTCAAAAACGAAAACTGGAATTCAAACTGCTTGTTTAATGTTACTTTCATTATCAAAAGACAGAATTAATTAATTAATTACAGAAAGGAATATTGCATATTTTCATGTAATTTTGATGACGTTTTGTAGCTCAGAAAGTGCCTTGAGCTCCACGAGCAATTGCAACAACGAATGGGAGTCGTAGTTGTCGGCCCGTCTGGGTCTGGAAAGACTACACTGTGTCAATTGTTGAAAACAGTAAGTTATGTCAAATTCAATTTGTTTTCAGTAAAAAGTTGTTTATTTATACTTGGAAATATAACCATTCGACTTTTTATCTTAAAAAAGGCATTGAGCAAATTGGGACAAGTTGTGCATCAGCATACCATTAATCCAAAGGCTATGCCTCGCACTCAATTGTTGGGACAGATAGACTTGGACACACGCCAGTGGAGTGACGGGGTTCTTACCATGAGTGCCCAACAGGTTCACGCAGAACCTCCCGGTAAGTGCATGAGCAGCTCAAATTTCCCAAAAAGCACAACAGGCACTCACTTTCCCAGGGGCACTGAGCAAGTGTTTTGTTTTGTTTATGGAAAACATATTTATTTTTAATATTTACAAATTATACTTTATATCAAATTACACTTTTAATCAAACATAATTATTTTTATTATGTATATTAAAATATATAGCACATACATAGTCTCTTACAAAGACTCATCGTCACGTGAAGTAACTTACTGCCGTCCAGAGAAGCCCACGACCCTGATAGACTGCGGCGAGCATGAACGAAGCGCACAGTCCTCTTGCGTGCACTCGTTTATTTCTTGTAGGGCAGGTTTGCTCCACCCAACACGACTGATTACCCACAATAAATGGAACCAGTGAAATGGTTATTAAACAAGAATTTATGTTAAAAAACATATCTTTTACAATCTTCGTCGAAAGTTGCAATGGGCATATTAGTTATTCCAAAATTATAGAACGTGATGCAGTAAATGAACCTTTGCAAGTGTAGCGTCGTGCCACGCTCAAAACAGACAACCAAGGCCATGAGAACAATGCTCCTGTCTTCTTGTTCTAGCGGCGTCGGAGACAGGTGAAGCGCGTGTCTGTGGCGTGGTCAGGTGCATAGGGCGAGGGGCCCGGCAATTCATTGTCGTGACTTTGCCAGACGCGTAGATGGTCTCAAGTAGAGCGCTTCATACAGGGAACATCGGGTGGTGTGTTGCGGTGGGGTAGCCGTTCTTAAATATCTCTCTTCTATCTCCTCCTTGTAGTGGGTCTATTTATTTAGTTTTATTGTGAGCAGGGTAGCTTGTAATTGAGACTAGCGGTCCTCTGATTATTAATAAATCTACTGTTTTACAAACCACTCTCGTCTGTGTTCGATTACACCCGTATGACGCCACACAAGGAACATTGTTGATTAATTTGTGACTTAAATAGTTGTTTGGGACGAGAAGAAGTCAGTTGTGAGGGTTCCGTGGCAATGGCGCGGGCGCGGGGTGCACGGGTTAAACGGACGAGCTTTTTTAAACGTACACACACACAACTTTTTCCAATTTAAATTTAATTTTATTAATTTCATGAACGGCGTGTATTTTCAGGCCGACAACACAATGAACACAGTTGCCTGAATACATGAATCTCTAGGTAGCGTCGTCGTATCTCCCCAGTAAGGCATTTGTGTTAATATGTGAAAATGATGATGAGGATGAAGAAAGTGGAACGAGAGACTGGGGAAACTCCGACAAACGTTGCTGCAAACCCTCTTCAGTCCCGGGATTTTGGAAGCCGACCGGCCTGACCGCTACGCCGTGGACCTCAGTCTTTACCACCTATGCAAATGTCCATTTCTCCACGCGCTTTCGCTGTTTCCCAACAAAAATCTCGCGGCCTTCCGCCAGCCCTCGCAGCGACGCCGCTCGCACTGAGCTTCGCCTGTGCAGGTTACTGCAGTCAAACTGAAGAGAGTTCAGTTAAATGTTCATTTGGTAAATGCGTTGAAATGTTGATGCTTTAAGAGCTTGTAACCTCTGCAGCTCGGAACAATGACATAATACGATCTTTTAGACGCTCTCAGTTTCGAAATTAAACTGTGCATTGGATTGATTAGAAAATCGAAGTCTAGATTCCAAGAATTCTCGGCACATGCAAACTTGGCTCACGTTATCGTCTCAATTTCCCTATTATTGAAAATTACTCTCGAACACATTACAAAAGTCGCCTCTTACAGGCGGCACCTTGCGCCGTTTCAGTCGCGTGTCGTGTCGTTTTTGCCGTTCTAGATTTCACCGTGACACATTTTCGAAAATATTTGAGCCCTCGACAATGTGGATCTCCAAAATTAGTATTTTTGCACTGATAACCCAAGTAGTTTGCTGTTACTATTGTGTTGTTATTGCCGTTTTCTCCTTGATTTTATATACTCTTTACTTCAGAAATCATGTTTTTCCGTCCCCATATGGGAAGGAACTAATTAATGAATTTTTTTTAGAGGTTCATTCATGGATAGTGTGTGATGGTGATGTAGATCCTGAGTGGATAGAATCGTTGAACTCCGTCCTAGACGACAATCGACTTCTGACTTTGCCCTCTGGCTGGCGTATACAGTTTGGGCCAAACGTCAACTTCTTATTTGAAACACACGATCTCAGCTATGCTTCACCAGCAACTGTGTCTCGTATGGGCATTATTTTCCTCAGGTACATTTTTTGTACATGATGTACTGTCATTTGATTTACATTTTAAGTATAATACTTGTTTTTATTGATAATTATAAATGTGTACTGATTAACTTCATTATTTCATTAACATTAATTAATTTGTAATTTATTTATGCTATAAACAGGATCTTGTTATACATTTTTTAAAATTTTGATGGATTGAATGATATTCATGAAACTATTAGTCCTTTTTTTTAGAATAAGTTTACTTAATTATATTATCACAAAGCAGTTGAAATAAGTTTGCTATAAAAATGTTTGTATTTATTGTTGTTGTTTTTTCAAGTGATGAAGATATTGACGTGAAAAGCCTTGTGACTTCTTGGCTTACTACTCAGTCTGATGAAACTACCAAATTCTTATCACAATTGATTGAGGATTATTTTTATAAAGGTAATTCTCTTTTTTTGTAATTTAATACATTTTAAGTTATATATTTTGCTTACAGTTGATAACTAGGTAACGAAAATGAAAAATTCTCATATTTTAGGTGTCAATTGGATAATGCAACAAGGTGAATTAGTGTTGCCTACTTCATTAATCGGAGTGGTGAAAAATGGTTTATCGCAACTGCATGGTGTCACCTGTCGATCTCACTTTATAGTGGCGATGATCACTGGTTTGGGTGGGAACCTTGTCCCTGCTAGTCAAGAGGCATTTGCTAAACAGGTTTCTGACTTCATGTTAATGAATTTTTTCTATGGTTTATTTAATTTTAGACTAATCCGAACCAATATTATTTATTTTCTGAAAAATACACAAAAATTATGAATTGTTTATTCATAAATGTTTGTTTCATAACTGCTTATTTTTAATGTGTATTTAACTGAATAGGTATTTGAGTGGAGTGGTGAATACGTGCCAGATCCAAATCGTATTCTCTATACATACTTTAATCAGCAACGTGACAGTTTGGACACATATACTGCAGATAGTTTTGATACAGTCAGTGATGCAATTTCACACGATTCTTTGCCTCTTGTGATGACGGCTGATGTGAAACGAACTTTAGATGCAATAGAAATCTGGTTACAAACTGAATCACGTCAACATTTTCTTCTTGTAGGTCCCCCGGGATGTGGAAAGAGGTAGGTGTTGCTTTATTTACATATTTTATGATTTTAGTGAAATGACTTCAAAAGTTATAGTTATGATGTTAAAATGATGAAATTACTTGAATTCAGTATGTTGTAGAAAAAAAGGTGAGCAATTTATTTATATCTGTATATTTAGTGACAATTGTTCTTGTATTCTTTGAACAGTTTGATGCTGACTCACTGTTTTGCAAAGATGAGAGCCACGGAGATTGCCACAATACACTGTAGTGCACAGATTACTCCTCAACATGTGATACAGAAACTTGGTCAAGTGTGCATGGTTATTTCAAGCAATACAGGACGTGTGTACAGACCCAAAAATAGTGAACACTTGATTCTATATTTTAAGGACTTGAATTTGGCTCGACCTGATAAATGGGGAACTTCCATGTTAGTGGAATTCCTTCAGCAGGTACACTTCTGAATTTTCATTTTGATCAGTAACCTACCTTCTCCCTGCCTTCAGGTATAATACCTTCCACAACTCTTTACCACAACGTTTATTTTATACTTTTATACAACTTATATTTGTTAGAACAGTTAGACTAAAGATATGTTGATAATCTGTGTAAACTACTGAAACTCATGGAGATTTTCTGATGTTAATCTTATTCACTTTAGAATAGCATACAAACTATTTTATTTATGACTAAAATAATAGTATTTTATTACAATTTTATAGTCGTGGCAAAGGCAACCAACGACTTGATGACTTGTGAATGTGTAGCATATTTTATAAGGCTTAAATATAACATAAAGACTAATATAAAATGAAGAGTAAAGAAGATCCGCTGTGCTTCACACTGCGCTACTTCATCCCACTCGACTATAGCTTGAAAATTGTAAAACGCAATTGAATGTTTTTTGTGTTATTGAAATAATGATATAAAGACATGTAGCTTACAGACATACCTAATGGTTTTTAATGTAGATATAATCATGTGCATGATAAAGAAACACGTTTAATTGTTTTTACAACTTTTGTCTCTCTGCTTATCAGGTACTAATTGATAGTAAAAATACAGTTTTTGAAAAACGCCGTGCAACGTCAGTTCAATATTTAATTATTCTTTGCGACTATTTGGATTTTAAGATTACAACGCCCTTGTATTTGTAATAAACCCGCGATGATTTGTCGCTAAATTCACGCTCCCGAATTCACTTTTCAGATCCATAAATATTAACGTCGTCCTTATGTTCAATTACTTCATTTCTTCCATTCAAAAGTTGATGAAAATGTTCTGCTCATCTATTCATTACTATATCTTCCGTACCAACTAAATTTCCTTCTTTCTCTACACATAAATATCTTCTCTCTCTTGTATCACCATTATACAGTCTTCATCAAACCTAGATTTCTCCCTTTCATTCTTCTGGTCCTCTAAAACCTTCTTGCTGAATTCATCATACTCATTTTAATTTTATGCCATGTGTTTTCTAATTCTCGTTCCTCTGTACTGAGGATTGTTTTTCTTGTAAGTCTTCTATTTTCTCCTTGAATTTTCGTACCATTGCCACTTGATAAGTTCCCCTATGTCGTATCTAACGATACTATCAGTCTTCTTTATTCTATTAATTGTATTAAGTCTTCCAAAATTAAGTCATGTTCCTTTTTTCGATTGCGAGTCGTGTTACTTTAACTATTCGGCTATTACTTTTGCTTTTGAAGAGCGAGCTTTAGACGGTATGGGTTGTTAGCCGTGTGACCAACCTCCAACCTGGGGGCCAGGATTTGTAGAGGGTTTACTCCCCTAGAGAGATTGGCTTCACTACACCTTACAGAGCTCTCTACCCATGGATTTCTTTCATTTACTTTACTTTGTTTTTAGACTAATATCTACCCGCAAGGCAGAGAGGGCAGCACTTTTTTAATTTAAAGACAGTGCTTACTCGCCATATCGATAGGTAGAGTTTCCGTAGCTTTAATGAATGTGATCTTGACACAGATACAATCCCACACTGCAGTCTCCTAGCCGCCTCGGCCAGGTAGGACTCCAGAAACATTGCCTTCATTGTCCCTAGTGTGTATGTCTACAGACCATTCGTTATCTGCCAACTGCGACCCGCCCAGTAGCTAAGGCTTGTCCTGGGTTCCATGAATAATACTTCAGATTAATGTTTTGATGCCCCTAAAAATAGAATTCCAAAAAATGGATAGCATTTTTTTATTTTGAATTTATTCTATTTTTTTACAGATTGCGTCCTACGGAGGATTCTATGATGCCAACTTGGAATGGGTTGGCTTGGAACATGTTCAAATTGTTGGAAGTTTGGCTGGTGGAAACACTATGGGTCGCCATCCTTTAACACCTCGTTTTACATCTATAATGCGCATATACACTGTAGGGTAAGTTTGCACTGACTGTAAAGTTACATTCAATTTTAGCCACAGTTACATGTAAAATAAATAAAACATTCAAGACTCAGAATACTGTCTTTGAAATTTTTTTTCGAAACGTTTTAAAAAAACCGGAGGCACGACTGAGCGGGAGAGCTTGATCAGGTAGCGTCTGATGACCATTCGAAATGCTACATGAATAATTCCATGTCATATTGAACGAATTCGACGAAAAATTGACCTTGATGTTTTTGATGTTTTTAAAACTTTGTCTATTCAGTCTGATTGCAAAAACAACTCACGTGTTTTTTTATTTTTGTAAAAGTCGTATATCTCCAGAGTTATTCGAAATTAAAAATTACAAAATAGCGCGCGTAGTGTCATATATAAATGCTTACATCTCCTTTACTAAAACACTAAAGAATTCAAACTAGCTTCATTTTATATATTATAACATGACCTTTTATTAAATTTATACTAAAATTATACAAAAATTGAAATTGTTCATTTTTCGTATCTATTTAGTTTTAAATTTTAATTTCTTTTAAGTTTGCAAAACAATTTTTAAATATAACAAATATCATCAAATTTCCTACCTCTCATTGTATGATTGTGCAAAATTTCAGAATGGGATATGCATTTGTACTATTGCAATAAATTAACTTTCCTAATCGAACATCCGGCATTTGCCGGACAGCGGCACTCAGGTTTGCGCCGTAGGAAGTCAAGTGCAGTCAGTCTGTTTATCGTTAAAATGAGAATCTTAGGAATGAATAGTTGAAATTGTAGAAGTAGTAATTAATCTACATTTTACAAAAGTTAGTAAAACAGTGAATCCACGAAAGTGTTTTTTTATATAACTAGTTTATCTTTTTCATACCGGAATTTCAATATGTCACATTCTTTTTTGTGGTCATCAATTGTCGAAAACACAAAGCGAATACCACTAAATATTTTTTGCCCACTAGAATAATATCTGTGGTGTCGTAATTAGATCCTGAAATGGCTGCAGACTTGCTCGTGTAGCCAATAGTTGTTGATATCGCCAAATACAAGGCCCTTTCGCATGAGAAGTAGCAATTATAAGCCATTCACAAATCACACCAAAAATATTTTTCGTGAAGACATAAATTAACGAAGTGTCTTTTGCTTTTATGTTGCGCACTTGTCTCATCTAAAAACTATATTACATTTTTGACATTACCTACTTCAACTTTCAAAACTTCAATCAAATGTTTCTGGAAGAAATGAACTGCGTTTGTATCATGCTTCAGGTTTTCAGAAATTGTTATTATATTTTTGTGCCTTAGTTCACTATTATATTTGAAATACATAACAAAGGGGTGAAGTGTGATAGCGCAACCTGTGCCTTCTTCTTCTTCCTCTTTTTCTCCTTCTTCTTCTTCTTCTTCTTCTTCATCTTCATCTTCTTCTTCTCCTTTTTCTCCTTCTTCTCCTTTTTCTCCTTCTTCTCCCTTTTTTCTCCTTCTCCTTTTCTCTTTCTCCTTTTCCGTCTCTCCTTTTCACCTTCTTCTCCCTTTTCTCCTTCCTCTACTTCTCCTCCTTTTTCTCCTTCTTCTCCTTCTACTTCTTCTTCTCTTTCCCGCTCTCTTCATCTCCATCTCTTCTTCTCCTTCTCCTCCTTCTCCTTCTGCTTCTCCTCTTCTCCTTCTCCTCTCTTCTTCTTCTTCTTCTTCTTCTTCGATGGCGCTACAGTCCAGGTCAGGCTTGGGCCTCGCCAATAATTCGCGTCCAATTTTCTCGGCTTTCCTCAGCTATTCTCTATGTTCTTATCCCCAACTGTTGCACCCTAGGTGACGCCATCTCTTCCTAAGTCATCCCCCAAACACCCTCTCTTTCATTATTTTCTTTTTTATTCTGGTAGATGACATACGTTGCTCATATCTTGCCTTTTCTTGAGAATATAGCTCTGTATTACTACGCCTCCGCCATTGTCCATTCTTCTGCAACTGTGCTGCCGTCGCCATGTAATATCCTTTCACTCAATTATCCCACCAGACAACATTCAGGAGTTAAGGACACGTTATTACAGAGAGTTTTTATTATGTTACCTTTGGATTTTGTAAATCTGTGATTCTTAACTCACCCACAATACCGCTCTGTTCAGTTGAATATCAATGGCAGAATCGTCGGCGCAAATAATGCGCTACCGTATGTATTTAGGGACTCTATGCGGCACTTGTCACACGCGCATTCGTGTGTCGGCAATTTGAAAAGTGAGAATTATAAATAGCCCCGTATTTATCACACTGGGTTTGGTACCACACTTTTCAACACAAAAACCCAGTGCCCCTCCCCTGAAACCAGCTGAGCAGGAAAGGCTTGACTTGTGGATGGACGAATGTCGCCTGTCAGGCCAACTCATACGAAAACCTTCGTAAAACCCCAGAGACCCTGCCTCAGGATTCCGAACAACCGTGAACCATATGGAAATCCCTAAACAGACTGCGTACGTGTGTTGGCAGATGTAAATACAAATTGCAAAATTGTGGATTCTTGGCCCAGAGTGAATTAGTGATATGCTCTTGCGGTGTTCAAGAAACGATAGAACATCTACTTTCCTGCCCGGACTGCTCTAATGGTGTATTCAGAGATGACCTGGCCCTAAGAAATCAGACAGCCTTGGCTCTCTCTACTTACCAGCAAAACAGAATTTAGCAGTCGTCGACTCGAAAAAAGAAGAACACAAAATACAAATTTTCATGATTTGACACATCTTTTATTTCCGCTCATCATTTTTTGTTTCCTTTAATAAAATTGTCAATTTTGAAAGCCTTTTTGTAACCAAATACACGCATATTGCTTTTCCTTGAGTTAACTCATCACTTCTGAAGTTGTTATAAATCAAATTATAAGTGTGTTATGATTTGTTTGCAGTTATCCAGAGAAAGAGCAGCTCAAGATTATATACGGTCATTGCCTTGCTGGGGTTCTGCAAACATGCCTGCCGCATCACAGCATTTGGGGCTCAGCAAGTAAAGTCTCTCTATTGGCTGGGTCCATGATAAAAATTTATGATGAGGTTTGTTTTATTCTTGTAAACAATTCTTTGGTATGATTTCTTATTTCATGATGATTTGTATGATTTTCATGGAACAAGTATGTTGTGTATATATGTATAATGAGAGTGGATTGAACAAGGAGGACTTGTCTCATAAACGTACTACTCATTCCATATTATTCATTTTGAAAATGTCCTTTTACAAGAACATTCCGGAAATGCAGCAATATCACCTACTGCTACATACTTTGTCTACCTGCTAAGTCCTACTGTTTTCTATGTGATATGAACATTTTTTTTGCTCGCGAATAGGTCGACTTGGGCCACGCGTGCATGCAACCTGCATTTACCGGGGCTCAGTACCATTATCCCGGTGGCAGTGCAAGTAACTTTGTCAAGTGATCGGCATTTAGCTGGATCCGATTTTCGCCAACAAGGATTTGATTCCGTATTAAGGGATGTAATTGCCTTATAGCTACTTTCCTCTTTGACAAACTCTTCTGGCAGCATCTCTATTCATACATCTGTTACACAGTTGACAGAGAATTTCGAAAAGTAAATTAGAACTATTTTTTTAAGAGCTCTGTATACGCTGCACCTCGGCCCAGAGACTTTCAATTTTTAAATGCTCTAAGAGACTTTCCAATCTCATTTACTGTAACTGTACTGTCTTACACGTCATTCACTCTATCTTATTAATATCCATATTAATATTGTAGACATCGATGAATTCTTTTCTGTCTTATTTCATCAATTCTTGAGAATTTCTTTCCATTGTTGGAGGGTTGTATAAGTTGCAGGGATGAACATTGTTTCTCATTTGTTCTTAGATTTTATAAGTTTCAAAGATTTTTGCTTTAGTATTGCCAATGCATCACTTATTTTACCTTTATCACTTGGTCCGTCTTCAAGGCTGTCATAAGCAGCTTCATGGATAGCTCCTACTATTTCGTCTTCCAGAGATTAGATAGTTGTGTAATCCATATTTGATTGCTTTTCACTGAATCTGAGTTTACATTGAAAATTTATTGATGGGTTAGCGAGAAGATGAATTCTATATTTAGGTATCTGTAGGCTGAAAGGTATTTATTTAATACCTATTATAACAGTTTGTCTTATGAAATGTTGAATATATAAGGTACTGTTCTCATTACTGTTCAGTATATTCTACAGTGCGAGCATTTTATAAATGAACTGGTCGTGCGGGGTTTTGGCCACAGCGAACGAGCAACCGAAGCAGGGGAAATCGAGTTGGGCAGTCGGTAGAACCACCGAAGAGAGAAGCTGGCTTTTCGCTACTGGAAAGTTTAAATTGTACTCACGTTATAGAAGAAGCTGACACCACTCACCGCGGCTCTGATACATTCTTGACATCAAAATAAGTTTTGGTTCACTCGGTAAAGGTTGTGCTGTGGTGTTGCAGAGATCTGTTCCTGTATATTGTGCTTTAATTCTTCTGTGTGGGGATTTGTCGCATAGAAGCGCACTTTCAGAAATCTCCAAAGAAAAATACACTGAGTCAGACCAGGAGAGCATGCCACAAACCACGTGTGTTAATTCTGTCTCCATAAACGGCATGTCAGCCCTTAAGGAAACTGAAGCAGTAAGTGCGGTTGCGGAATTCTGTTGAAAATTACCGTAATTACGCTCTTCATATGTCAATATTTAGAGAAGGGTTCAGAGTACGTTGCACATATCGGTTTAGCGCATTTTACGTACGTGTCATATACAAATACTTCCTGTTTGAGAGTGAACTTGGAGCGAGCCATCACAATGAGACTATTCAACAAGACTGGAAAGCATGCCTTTTGCAGGACGAGCTCTTGAAACCCTTCTGTCCGCAGGGGAATTGGGCGCGGCGAGTAATGGCCCGTCCACCGAATACAATGTTCCATCATCACGGACCACTAATAAAATAGTCGCACTGTAGAATAACAAATATTCTATTGCCCTAATTTATATTTAAACAAATATTTCCTTCATTTTAATGTAAGATTTTAAGTTTTGTTTTATACTTGATTACTATTCATTCATCTTTTGAAAAAAAAATATTATCTTCAGGTAAAGAATATATTCAGTCAAGTGGTGCAGAATCATTACCTTTTCACTCCTCGTGTTTTGACTGCGTGGTGCCTTGCTCTCCAGCGTTACGAAATTCCCACTCACGAGAAAAGTGCAGACGCTCTGTTGGAGGTAGTGATTATTCTTAATGCTTTTAAAACTGTTGTGACATATTCATTCTTTAATTAAATTATAATCTTAAGTTATTGCGATTTATATCTCAATATTTGTATTGTATCTGCATTAGGTGGTTGTATATGAAGCTCAGCGCCTTTTTAGAGATAAATTAGTATCTGATGAACATAGAGGTCAATTTGACACAATTGTAAATCAAGTAATGGATCAAGATTGGAGTAAAGATGGGGTAGTGGGTAAAGCAATGTGTGAGTATGTTCTGCTACTTAATGGTATTTCACAGGTAGAATGGGGTAAATTTACTATTATTTATAATTGCAGCTGCTTACTACGTGACTGCTGGAGCAAATACTCAGATTCCAGCTGGTGCACCTTTGCCGCCAGTGGGAAAACCTTTGGGACGTATGAAAACTGAAGACTGGACGCATATAGTGGAACGTGGCATTCAAGTATTTGGTAAGCTCTGAATATTTATTTAAATAATTAAAGTATTCATCATTCAATTACACTCTCTTAAAAGTTATAATCATTTTATAAACATTTTAAGACTGCAAATTCTTTTTAAAATGAGAGCTTTATATTGCTAGGACTTGTTAACTTGAATGAAATGTACGATGTAAGTATTTATAAAGTCGTTTGACAGCTGATTGAATGAGGCAAAATTGAAATGTATTCGCATGCTTGTCCAAGGGGTGGATTCAGAAAGTATGTCATGAGAAGGTCAAAAGCAGTACGGGCTCAATCCGCCCCAAGAAATTGGAGAAAATAACATGTTTTTGAAAATTTTTGCATGGAATTAAAAAAACGATATCACATTGGAAATACTGAATTGGATGTGATGGCTTTTAGATGCAACCGTTTTGAATAAATAAAATACGCTTACAAGAAAATGTTGCCACTCCCGTAAACATTAAATAACAGTCGGTAAAATTGTTTATTTTTGAATAATTTTTTAATTAAAAGTTAATGAGAAATTGTCAATGAACGATAAGATAATCTGATTTTACATTAAGTTGAGAGAATTATTTAGTAAATTAGATGCCCACAATTCTGGTGGTAGTAACAGACTCGGAAAGGTTAACTGATGATCAATATACCCGGAGAACTCCTAGATGTTGTTGGTAATTGAACTTGCATTTATTTCTTGAGTATTTGTGAATGGACATGTATCATGCTTATACAACTTACTTCTTATACCATCTAAATAATCTTAATGTTTCATCTTATTGCTGCTTAACTAACGCTACGTCCGGATATTAACTTTCACACACTTCAAAGATCCCATGTTCCCTGTGCTTATCTCAAGCTCCCGGAAACATAAAAACTCGAAGAACATGCAGGGGTCTAAGATCTTTGTTGACAGTGAAATTTCAGATAACTAAGCATCATGGCACCATAGATCTTGGGAGACGCCGCATGCTAGGCACAGTTCCCAACATTTTGGCCGTCGTACTGCAGCCTTCTTTAGGGCCGGAGGAAGGTCGCAACACTACGGCCAAAATGTTGGTAACTGTGCGTAGGGCCCGGACAGTCTAGTGTGTATTGATTCCGGCCGCGGAAGCCTACGAGTTCATCCCGAGACGTTTGCCCCTAATTCGTAGGCAACCCATCGTGCAGCGGTGTTTGGCGGGAATACAAAACCTCTTTGACTGTCAACGTGATCAGACGAACTCGATCATATGATGGGTCGCCCACTAGTAAGGGACAAATGCCACATGTATAACATCGTCGTATAAAATGTCGCACCACGTATTCTTTGAGGAAAAGCTGATCAACAATGACGCACCGAAATGCCTTGGATGTTTCTAAGATTTATTCTGAGACTTTCTGTGTATATGCGTTGCTGCGAAGTAGACTAGTACAAGCCATTACAATCGCGATTTTCACTTATTTAGTGTTTGAATAGTCCTGGGAGCAATCCGTACTCAGGAAAAGTGTCATAAGTCTAACTTTCATAGTAGCCGCTTAGCAGCAGCCCTGCAGGGAGAGCCGAAACAGAACCGTCGAATGTACGGCACAGTGCTAGTAGTCAGTGTTCCTTGCTGAGAGCACGTGTCATTGGCCATTGTATGCATTTATTTGACTGCTGATGGCTGAGGAGTATGTTTTGTGAGCAAGAAATATTACGTGTGGAAGGTACATAGAAAAAACATTCGCGGGTCATTTGTAATGATTGTCGACACGTTGATGTTTCAAACAAGAAAATACAGTACCAGATGATGTTGATGAAGAAAATGATGAAGAGAAAAGAACAAAGTGATAAGGTTTCATTTGTTCCAAAACGTACCTCGAAACATTCAAATTCACTCTCATAGTTATTTTGACTATGACAATTTTCCGGGGTTTGACATAAAAATCTTGCAGTTAAATAAGTAATACTATTGTTCAATAAATAATACTATTGTTGGCAATGACAACGTCTATAATTATTTCATGAAAAATGCTAACGATAACGCACCACAACACCTATAGTTAAATAAGTACTAATTTTTTAATTTAGTACTTATTCAATAAACGATTTGTCGTGTATATAATATAAAAGATATTGTTTACGTTATTTGCAAGGAACGTGGTATTTTATAAGATGAAACGCAAAATACGCTGTCCTGTAAAATTAAGGATAAATAATTTTTTCCACTCTATTCTTCAGCAGCACATGCATCGGTGTAGTATATATGTGTAGAAAACCGGTGTACTACACGCCCCCAAAAATTATATATTTTGTTCTTCACGTTTACAGAATATTATGTTTATCTGGAAATATGCTCACGTAATATTTGGTATGTGATTTAGGACGAGAAGGGCAAACCTTGGACTTGCTGATCTTGCCAGAAGTTTTGGATTTGGTGGCCCGAGTGGAGCGCGTTCTCTCAGCGCCTTGTGGATCTCTTCTTCTCGCTGGGAGGGCTGGAGTGGGGCGGAAATCGGCCGTTCGCATTGCCTCTGCACTGTTGGGAGCTGATCTAGTTACTCTCAAAATGGGACGAGGTTATAGTCTGAAACATTTTAAGAATGACCTGAAAAATGTAAGTATTTTTTCAGTTTGATTCAAACACCATTTTAAATTACGGACAAGTGTGATTTCAGCTTTTTTTTTGATTATCGAAGGCACTTTACATCTACAATATTGTGGTAATACAGTTTTAAGCAGTTTAAGAACAGTAAAAACATTTTGAATAGAAAAAATGACTTCGTAAACTAGTATTATATACATTTAAATATATTACCGTGGAAGAAAGTTAATTATTTTAATATAATGTATTTTACCGTTAGTCACTCACAATATGTTGCTCACCACATTGCGTGAATTGATTTTTCACTTTTCATAATCGTAAAGTTGAGAATGTGAGTTGGAAATATAGCAAAATATTAAAGAAAAATATGCTACAAATTATTTTTTTAAACTTCATTGACATTCGAAGATATAGTAGAGAACTTTTGAAGATATAGTAGAGAAAATTTTGTTTGGTTGTAATAAGATACGAATGTGATTTAAATAAGTTATTTTCTTCTTACTTCTTGAGATGGTTCGAGAGGGAGAGAATTGTGTAGGTGTTTTCATCAATGCTTTCTCTCCATTTCTTGTTGACCTTGATTATATTTATGATTACATGAATGTGAATTTTGTTATAAAAAGGTACTCTTGTGTCCACATTCCCAATGTGCAGCTAGATGACTCTTGTAAAGATTCCTTGAATTTCATTCACTAAAGAAAACTATTTATACAAATAACCGCTACTTAATTTCATTCATAACCATATTTCTCGGCAAAGGTCATTTGCGGACGCACATTTCTGGTCAACTCAAGTTTGCTTCTTTTGCAATACTGTCTGAATTATACTTTGTCAATAGACGTAGACATTCTAAACGAAACATATAAGCAATATTTTTTCATTTCTGATTGCCAGTTGTCAATTTAGCTGTGATCGCTAAAGCATGGTGCACTCCCGACCAGGGTGCACACAGGACTTGCGTCGTTTCGAATCTTCATCTGAAACAGTGCTCAGCCTTCTGTATGCCTGTGGTCGGAGGAGGAGGTGACGGTGTAAATCAAACGGTGGTTGGTCCGCACCAAAGTTGTCAGGCATATGAAGCCAAGGTCTGCCGGCTTTGCTTCTCCTTATAGAAAAAAATGCTCGTATTTCATCTTCTTCTTTCGGCAGTTACACCTCTTTCGTTCCGTCTTTCTACCCACCTTGCTCTCAAGTGCGCGAAGTTTCTTTCTGTCGTTGTACGATAGGATTCGCCTGGGCAGCCTGTCTTCTTCCATTCTCATGAATCATACGTTGATGCCAGCAGTTCACATGTTCTTCCATTATATTCTGCAAGCTAGATGTGTTAAGTTCCTTTCCTATATCAGTATTTATTTTCGTATGTGTCAATGTATATATTGTAATTGTTCACAAGAATCGCATTTCAGCACGTTGTAACTTTATTGTTCCTTTTTTGTTAAGATCGAATTTTCGCCTCCTATAAACAAAATGGTATAAATGTAACTTTATAATATTTAATTAAACCTTCTTTCCTAACTTTATTACTTTGTTATTTTATGGTTCTGTTCCTTAAATTAAAATTTTCAATTTTGCTATTGATATCTATTTCTCCAAAGTATGCCATACTGCATCCCAGAAAATTACAACTAGTTACTTGTATAATTTTATTATACATTGTCAATTTTATCTAATGGAATTAGTTCCCTCAAATTCCATAACTTTTGTTTTTGTAACAGAAGTGCATAAATTGTGCCATGTTTTCAAACTTTTTGGAGTTCAATGGTTGTTCATTAATTCAACTTTTTCAAAGTTCAGTTTAACAATTTAATTATCCGTATATTTGTAAGATATTATATTTATTATAGATTGCAAGTTTATCATAACAGTTTTTAGAGTTGTTTTGGTTTTATTTAGATGATGCAACTAGCTGGTGTAGAAGGCCAGCAATTGTGTTTGCTGTTAGAAGATCATCAGATGGTGGATATGACATTCCTTGACATGGTCAATAGTTTACTCTCTTCTGGAGAGGTTAGTAATCTCCCTTTTATTCCAATATTTAAGGGCTTAAATATGTGTTACTGAAATAAACATAAGTGAAGATTAGTTTCCAGTGAGGTGTTTGAAACATTTTTTTGTTTGCATTTTAGAAATTAATTTAGTATTATGCCGAAATACGAAAAGTAAACATTAAAATATTTACAAATCAATGTTAACAATAACAATATTTTAATATATTGCCTCTGTTTTATATATTTTTATGTTAAATATTTATTTTAAATTGCTGCATACTTTGTTTTAGGTTCCTGGCTTGTATAATCTTGAGGAGTTAGAATCCACAGTTTCTCCTTTGAAAGATCTTGCCGCTCAAGAAGGCTTTGTGGGAAATCCCGTTTCTTTCTTTGTGAACAGTTAGTATTCTCTTTTTATTCATCTTTATGATTCATTTGATTCAGATTTACAGATTATTCTTCGTTTCTTTAGGAGTACATAAAAATTTACATGTGGCGCTGATAATGGACTACACCAACACTCAATTCACAGCAACGTGTGAAAGTAACCCAGCACTGTATCGCCAGTGTTCTGTCTTGTGGCAGGCTGGTTGGAGTGCTGCTACTATGCAACGAGTCCCACAAATGCTTCTAGCAAGGTGAAGATAAATTACATTAATGCATATCGTATAATTTTTAAAAGAAAATCTGTAATTTTTCACTCACTTAAAAAACAACAATGGAGACTGGTGCATCTTTTAACATTTTTCCTATTGATTCTTGGCTGTCCGGGATGAGCCGCTTCCTAGTCGATTCGGCTGACGTTTCGGCTACCGTTTTGTGGCTAAAATTTGGGGGTACTTTACATGAAGCCCTTCGAATATTTTTCAAAATTTTCTCAAAAACGGCTACAACATTTTTCTTTAAATTTCTTGTAAGAATAGAGTAAAATACCCTTATAAACGTGGCATACGTCCGATTTTCACGGTTAACTCTGAATTTTCAAAAATTTAAAAAATATGACCATTCTCTTAAGCGTTTTGTAGTCTACGCAAATACAAAATTAAGTTAAAAAATTTAGAGCCATTTTTGAGAAACCTTTGAACATAAGTTTGAAGCTTCATGTAATATACCCTCAAAAATCAAAGTATGCGTTTGAAACTCCCAAAGCTTTGCGTTCGTTCAGATCGATGGATAATATCACTTATCGAGAACTTTGGCTGAACGAGTTGGCGTTAATTGCTGGTAGACGGATGGATTCACAGACGTTTCGCTGTTAATCAGTTTTCGGTATCAAGGACGCACAAAACATGGATTTTGGCTACACAACAAGTTTGAGGAAGCAATGGGATTTTTCGTTATTATGTATAGCAACGCTTTTGATGCAGAAAATTCCCCATTTTTCGGAGCACGATTACAATACTTTCTCTTCTGACGGAGTAAGTGCGAGAAGGTAATGCAACGTAAGACTGGAGCGGTGCCGTCGAACATTGCCGCTTGAATTCTGTGAAGGGACTGTTATTGCCGTCCGCTGATATCCATCCAAAAGCCAGTGCAGCCACACCTTTCTAGCATTAAACGCTTCCTTACATTTCACAGCGTTTGGGAGTAAACAGAAACGCGCAAAGCTGCCCAGTCCGCCCTATGTTTTTTGAGAGTTAAAGTAAAAACGTTAAAATTGTGTCCATAAAAAGTAAATGCTTGTTCTTGTGTGTCGAAGGGAGGTGGAGGAGGAAGCGGGGGCGGGGGCGGGGTCGGCGTCTGGGCGCGGGCGCGGGCGGCGGCGGCGCTCGTCGGCCAGCGAGGCGCTGGTGCAGGGCTTCCAGGCCATCCACGCGCAGGCGCCCCGCGCTCTCGGCACCCCGCGCCGCTACGTCGCCTTCATCCACATGTACCAGCGCCTCTACCGCGCCAAGAAGGAGCACATCATGCAGCGCTGCCAGCGCCTGCAGGTACGTACTACAACATTCAGTTGCTTGATATCAAGATAATGCCTGCCCCTGAAGTTGATATTACGCCAAGAACACTTCTCTAGCTTGAAACTTGATGAATAATCGAAATTTTATTGTGGATTGTAATATCCGGGAGGATCCCGGTAATGAGTATTATTACTGTTAACGGATATTGTTACTGCTATCCGCCAGGAGTAATGGTTCACATGTCGTGTCTTGCAAATAGCAAATACGACGCAACAGTGGCATCTTGTGTCACTGCTTCGGGATTCTGCTTAAGATAGGAAAAGAACTGAATATAAAATGTATATTTAAATTTTATCGAAGAAGAATGATCCTGTTTGCATGATAACCGTACAAAAATATAATAAGCAGCATTAACGTCCCTCCTTTTGAATTGAATTTCTGCATGTCGGAAGCGCGCGCGCGCGTGTGTGTGTGTGTGTGCGCGCGCGTGTGTAGGCCATGGCATCTTGTGTCACTGCTTCGGGATTCTGCTTAAGATAGGAAAAGAACTGAATATAAACTGTATATTTAAATTTTATCCACACGAATGATTCTGTTTGTATAATAACTGTACAAAAAAGTAATAAGCAGCATTGAAAAGCGTCCCTCCCTTTGAATTGAATTGCGGCATGTCGGGAGCGAGTGTGTGTGTGCGTGCGTGCGTGCGTAGGCGGGGGTGTCGAAGCTGACGGAGGCGCGCGAGGTGGTGGCGGCGCTGAAGGCGGAGGCGGCGGAGCAGGAGAAGCTGCTGGCGGAGAAGCAGGAGAAGGCGAACGCGGCGCTGCAGATGATCACGGACACCATGCGCGACGCCAACACGCACAAGATGGAGATGGAGACGCTCAAGGAGCAGACGGAGCGCGAGAACCAACAGATCGTGCAGCGGTGAGGCCGCCTGCCTTGTCACGTGCCCGTAAAGGAGGAAATTCTTTCGCAAACAAGCCGGCGCCATCTTCTGTATTATTAATCTTCAATTCGCGCAGAAATTTAAAACATCTTTGCAGCTTCTGGAGGTCTTAAACGTGTCTGTGGGGTCGTTAGATAGCCAGGAACTCTGGAAAACACTAGAACAATTTTGAGTTTCATTAAATTATGCAAATATTTGATAGAGTATTCCCGCCTTTCTCATATTGCGCTTACCGATTGAATTCTCACAGTTAAGGCGTTATTGCTTGTTAGCCCTTCGGAGGACTGGCCGTAGAACCGTAGGGCACCACGATTTATACAACACGAATCAAGGAAACATTAAGCTATCTAGACGCTCGAAGTATTTATTTGAGAGATATTTGAATTAAGGCATTCCGATATTGAAAGATTTTCGTACATGTAATTTACGCCAAACAATATTGAGAAGACCTAAATTGTGCACATACGTTATTTATAATGTATGATTATTTGGTAGAATTTATAAAACAAGTTTGCTTCCATAATTGATATTCATAAGAAATTAAGTACCTTCACTAGAAAAAATCTTTTCATTTCTTTCCTGCTCTATTTCTGTCAGGTTTCTAAAATGATTTAAAATGAAAAGTCGATGCATGTTCATCAAATACGTCTCTAATAATCATATTAGTAATTTTAGACTTTATTTGATATATCTGTAAATGACAGTAATATTTTATTCACATTTAAGTTAATAAAATGCAAGTTGCTCAGAAATAAGGAGAAAGGAACGAGGAAGTGCAATATTCGATTCAGAAAGTATTCTCTCATAAGTACGACTTCATGAGATCATTGAAAATACACAAAGCACATTAAAAATACATAAAGTTTGTTTTTACGATGCTTTTAATCGATTTTCTTTAAAGAACTATTTTTTTAGAAAAGGTTTTAAGACACGATCTTCAATCTTGTAGTTTTGGGATGTTAACTTTTCAAATTTCCAAAAATACAGAGTTCGCCGCAAAACGAGACTACGCTAATCTTCTTTGCTGTCCTTTGATACACTGGAGGAAAAAAAAACTGGAACCGTTTCGAGAAAATATTTGCTTATATTTCATACAAAATTACGCGAAAACTACTCATATTTGTGAGACTTTTTCATGACGTTATTTAAAGATATGTTTTTGGAAGAACTTATTTTATTAAGAAAAATATCTATCTTTAATATTGTAGTTGAAGGAAGACGCCGAAAAATGTCAAGTTTTGCTTTTTTCAACGACATTTGATGGCAGATTCAACGATATTTGTTATTCATCGATAATGGAATCTTCACTATTCCTTTAAGCGTAGTTTACGCTATCCGAGGACGAAGTTTAATCCAAATATTTGGAGCATTTTTGAGGAAAATTGTAAAATGTTCTTGAACCTTCGAGTAAAGAACCTCCTCCAAAGTCAGAGAGCCTGGGGCTCATTTAAGTTGATCGAAGGATACAAGAATTTTGGAGATAATTGACTGAACGATTTAGGCGGTAGCGTTGACCACGGATAGACGTTTTGCTGTCAATCAGTTTTCGGAATCAAAGACCTACAAAACTTAGATTCTGACTACGCGACGTGTTAGAGAAACCAATTTACTGTACATAGGATCACGATTAGCCATCTTTTTAGTTACCAAAGTCCGGGAATTAGTGTGTCTCTGTCGAGAATTTCCTTCTTTCAAATTAGGCGAGAAGTGTAAAAGTGGAGAAATATCGTTCCTATATGAAGTAAATTACTTCTGTCTTCGTAATGGGCCGCAAAAGTTTATTATATGTGTGTGTGTGTGGGCGCAGGAAGGCGGCGATCGACGAGGAGCTGGCGGAGGTGGAGCGCTGATCCAGGAGCGAGCGCCGCCGTGGGCAACATCAAGGCGGAGGCGCTGTCCGAGATCCGGTCGCTGCGCGCGCCGCCCGACGTCATCCGGACATCCTGGAGGGCGTGCTGGCGCTCATGGGCATCCAGGACACCTCCTGGAACAGCATGAAGACCTTCCTGGCCAAAGCGCGGCGTCAAGGAGGACATCAGGTGAAGCGATACGACGGCGGTAGAGTTGTCGACACTAGCTTCTTTGCTAGTCGAATTCAGTCGCTGTCTGGAGGAGATTTCTAGTAGCTCGCTGTTCTGATCGTGATTTCTCAGATCAACACCAGGCGAATGCCGGAGCAGTACCCCTAAATAACGGGCCACGGATCGCGTGCGAAGCTTTCTTTCCCCTTCCTCACCCCTTACACAACTTAACAACTACACGTACTACCCTCGCACATATGCCGGGAGATCGGACGGGAGCTTTAAGCTTGTCCTGGCTGGGCCGGTGGGAGATACTTTGTTGGGAAACCCCCGCCGCATCTGCCAGACAGCGGAGGGGGGGGGGGTAAGACCACAGTTACCTCCGAGCAAAATAACTTACGGAACTAATAGCCCTGATAGTTGATGCGCCCTGAATCAATAACAATCGATGACGAGGAATGGACGGACTATCATATTTTAAAGATTCTGTCTGTTAGTGCTTTTTTTTTCAAAAGTTTAGCTGCCCGCTTATCAGTGGCAATATCAGGGACCTTAAAGAATTGGACAGATCTGCAAATTCTACAGTTTTCGCGCCGTCTGCTTCACTTTTATTTCTTTCATAGACTTTTAGTTCCAAGACTGGCATCCATTCAAAAGAATCCTCGTAAAAACTACTGTCTCTTTTATGCGAAACTAGTGGCGCTACAACACTTTCTTTCCCGTCTCAATAACAGTTAAGTAAAATTATAATGCCGAAATATTTCCATATTGACACATTTCAGCCATCACTTGTAAAACTCATTACCAGTCGTAGCGCTTCGAACCGCCTCGAAAGACGCGAAAATTAAAGCTAATACACCTACACAAATTCGACAAAACAGAGCACCGTTCCATTCACCCACAAACACGGTTCAACAATAAAAAGTTATTCTGTGAAATTCAAACTGCCGTGTTACCGCGTTCCCATTGTTGCAATTCACCTAATCACTCCTGATAGGTTCTAGCAAGCGAAGTGCGGAAAATTGGAATCGAAAATTTCTAAATTGTAAAATTGCGCTTAACTACTCTTATGTTTAAAATATTATATACGGCCTATTTTAAAGAACTGATATTTGGAATTGATGCCGTAACATTTTTCGGTGCATTTCACAATAATATAAACAATTTATACTAAAATATTTTTCTCTCACACTCGCATTTGAGAAGTCCTTGGTTTTGAATTTCATGACAATATTCTATCTTTCAAAGCTATCTAAAGCCGGCTTGTGTATAAAACACTTTAAGGTGAAGTTTTATCTGGTCACATTTTAAAAAATATCTCGAATCACCGAATTCCACCATACCTCCGCAGAACACTGAAGATGAGAGGGATGGAATGGAACCCGATAAGCAATGCAGTATACGGCGATTTCGCAACGCTTCCCCTGGCAGGTATCAGCTGTTGTCACTTTCATCCAATCGGGATCTTATACGTCATCATAGGGACGTCATTATTGTCACGTTCAAGCTCCCGATTGGATTCAATCGTGAACAGCTGGTACCTGACAGAGGCAGAGTTACATAAATCGCAGTATAACATCTGTGTATCATGCCGGACGAAAGTAGATTATTTTTTCCTTTTTGGATGTTTGCCTGTATGTCACATAGTTACTTTGGTAACGTAATTGTTGTTTATCTCACTTTATCTTGATCACAAAACGTATATTCTGGCATCTCTTTTTGAGGATATTTTTCGCCACTTTTCAATATTTTGTCCATTACGGGCGGTCGTGCGAGTATTGTCTCCACATCAGTATACACAGAGTCAATAAACACCAACGATTGTCTCGTTTGTTCGAGAGTGTGTATATGTATTATCCTCGCCTTTCATTTGCTCTGTAACCTTCTCGTAGATGCCCTTCTTCTTAGTTGATGTCAAAACTTTTAGAAGTGTGTAAGAGTAGTGGCAGCTTGGTTCGCTCGAAGGGGCAGTAGTTTCGGACGCGGGGTGCGCTGAGCGTGGGCGTGGGCGTGGGCGTGGGCGTGCGCAGGTCGTTCGACGCGCGGCGCATCGGCGCCGAGAGCCGCGCGCCGGTGGAGAAGCTGCTGCGCGAGCGCGGCGACTCGTTCGAGGCGCGCACGGCGCGGCGCGCGTCGCAGGCCGCGGCGCCGCTCGCCCAGTGGGTCACCGCCAACGTGCGCTACTCGCGCGTGCTCGAGAAGATCCGGCCGCTGGAGCGCGAGCAGCAGCGCCTGCAGCACAGCCTCAGCGCCACGCAGGACCAGGTTACTCGCCACCCCACCCCACCCCCTCACTCGCATGCACTGCACTGCTCTGCCGGGGCGTGGGAGAGAAACACCCGCTAGCCGACGTGTAGGTCGGCGCCGGGACACGATCATCGCCACCTCCCGAGCAAAACCTGCGCTGCACTTACGGTACTGACGACCTTTGCACTAATCAATCAAATCAATGTACAGTCATTTTACGTATTCCGCTTCTTGTGAGCGTTTCTAAAAATGTGCGAAATTCACTTAAAAATTATTTTTACTATTTCCATAACTTACAGACATCATTCTCGATACGTAGTTGCCCAACAATTGCTTTCAGTCTTTGAAATTCAAAATTCTTATGACTCGCGTGAAGGTGCATCCGTCACATGCGACTTCCACGTCTTTTGCCTTCTGCCCCGCTCACACCACAACACTCGCCTCCACTTATCTTCTTTAAGTGCAAATCATCCTCCAAAACTGCGCCGATTTTTTTCACTTCTAACTTCTCGCCTTTTAATTGGCTTTTACCAGACGTATCTAAATACATTGTTTCTTTGTGATTATGTATTTAATTATACACGTTCCATTTCTCTATCACTTTATTCGTGTTTTAGTTTCTATTGTTTGTTGTCACGATACTTCGTCACCCGTTATTTACCTTTTCAATGTTTATTCACTTCATTTATGAACGAAACTGTTTCATCCGTCCTGTCCGTGCACTGTATGTTCCCCCGCCTTTTTCACTTTTCTTTTACAAATTACAAATATTTTATTTGTTTCACTTCTGAGATGATTATAAATGAATGTATCATCTCAATAGTAGTATTCTTGTCAAAAGAAGCCTAGTATTTTTTTCATGAAAATTGTATATTTATTAGAAAACTCCTAAACAATAGACTTAAAATCGGTTATTCAATTAAGTTGAACATATTTCTTTGACATTTTAGATTCCATTTCATTTCAAAATGGCCGCAAAAGAAACTTAATGAAGATAAATCTATATTGTCAGAAAAATCTTAAAAATGTAATTTAAAAAAATGTTTACAAAATAAATTCCATTTTTACTTTTATAGATCAGATAATATCTGTTGAACATGGAGTTTTGAAATATAAACATTTTAATTATTTTTTGCTTTGTTCATAAAATTATAAATGCTGATAAAAATGTCACTTTACCAAATTTTCTTTTCTATCAACTAACTCCCACGAATTGGTATTAAAAGTCCAACGGATTGTTGGAATATATTTAACGTTTCGCTTTGAGAACACTTTGCAATATTATACCGACATCAGTTAAACTTCATTCTATCTATATATTTCATTCATATTCATATATTATATATATATAATATATATATATATATATTATATATATATATATATAAAGCATTATTAAAAATGACATTAAAACTATTTTTAGATATTAACCACCCACAAAGATGAAAAACACATAGTCATGTTATGCTTAGAACAGTGAAGTTTCTCGAACAAACCAACTGTATCTTATTTTTATAACTCAAAAGAAAATAAAGTTTTGGTAATTTGAATCTTGTCCGAAAAAAAATGTTATAACTTGATGTAACCCACCTTTTGTCTGATTACCTGTTAATTTCTGTATGTTTTGGAGAATGATTGTTATACTTCCGTAGATTATAACTTGATTAAATATATTCGTTAAATTGCAAGTATAATGTTAATATCCTTAGCACATCTTTCTCCTTTATGCACAATTGTTGTTTTTTTTAAATTTTATAGTTTTGTTAGTATTTTTAGTTATAATTTAGAAATCGTTGACACCCACTGTCCCGTGCGCTCAGGTGGCAACTGAGCACGGGCTGACCGACGTAGACCGCGCCGTGGCCGAATTGAAAGTCGCAGCTGAACTCGTCGACGAAGGAGCCGCGGAGATCGAGATCCGGCTGGCGAAGTGCCGAAGGAGACCATTCACTGGCCGAGGGAGCTCGTCCAGTTGGACGCGATATCGCGGTGAAGGCGCAGTGGCCAGCTCTCGGCAGCGTACCGCGCCGACTCCCTCCTCCCACCTCTCCCATCTTCCACCTCCAACGGCCGTACTCCCCATCCCTCATTCAACCCTTCCATCCCACACCCAACCCAAAACTCCCATCCCCACGTTCGCTAAGGTAAATTAAAAGAGAACTCCGGCTTCAAGAGCACATACTTTCTCGCATTATTGGAAAAATTGCTATTGTAGTTGTAAAAGCTTACGCAAGTGGGTTTGTTAGTTTGGTTGGTTATTGAATTGGGTCGATGCGAGGGCGCGCGCGGCTGCCCACGCACGCGCCCTTCTGGCGGCGGCCTTCGTGGCCTACCTCGTGCGGCCTGGACGAGCGCGCGGCCGGCTGCCGCGGACTGGCGCGCTCCTCGACACGCCTCCGCCCCCGCCCCCGCCGCCTCTGCCGCTGCTCCCGAGCACAGCGACGACGACGGCGACGACGACGACGAGCACAGCGGCGCCCACGACGCCCACGCCCCCGCGCACGACGACGGCGACGACTTCTCGCTGACGCGCTTCCTCGGCTCGGAGCAGCAGCTGCTGCAGTGGCAGGCCGAGGGGCTGCCCTCGGACCAGCTGTCGCTGCAGAACGCCCTCATCATCCTCAAGGTGCGAGCCAGCTCCGTCTCTTCCTTCTACCACAGTGCCATCAAAATTATTATCTTGAGAACTATTCAGCATCACATGAACGTGCCTAAGAGCCGATTCTCACGAGCAAGCGACATCGGAATTAGGAAGGCGTGCGTGCGCAGAGCCCCCTGCCGCCCAGAAGCCGCAATTGTTTTAAAATTTCTTCAAGTTGTTCGTTTTTCAGCGATCAAATTTTTTCAAATAATGCACAGTGTGGCAATAACCGTTAGATGAATATTACTTCGGAAGCCTAAAAGTTGTGAAGATCGAAAATTTCTAAGAGACATTAAGGAATCTTCCCAAGTTATTTTGGAAGCAATTGCTTAATATCTTTCATATATTCATGTAATTATAACTCAGTTTCTTCATTGAAGTTTGTTAATTCGCTTTACGCTGTTTTCTTTTTTTGTTTTAACAAATTGTTTGGCAAAAAACTATTTTGGCATTACTTGTTTTCGAAATTGTGGGTTGCGCAGACATTAATATACGGTTCTTGTATTTTTAAACAAGTAGATAGACTTCTTGATATGCGGAATTGAATTGCGTTGTTAATCCGAATGTTTTCGAACCCAACTGCCATAGATTTGCACCGAAACGTTTTGTAATTTCCTTTAATCGAAAGAATCCCTGAAAAGTATAAATATTGGCAAATACCCTACAAAAATATCATAATAAACATAGAAAATATTGATAACTGCAGGTAAGTTAATTATTTTTTCCCGTAGCAAAGACAACTTCGTTATTCAAGAATGGGGGGAGGATGTTTCTGTTTGCTGGCTAATAAATGTTTTCCTTGTGTTTTTGAACAGATTTCGTGCCTGGAAGCAGGGGTGAGTGTAGAGGCAATTTGTGAGGGAATTATGATTGGTTTTGTTTATCACGACATTTTTCTGTATATAAACAGCCGGCGTGAACAATCCACACGTATTATCTCTTCTTGTTGCACATTTGGTGTTTATTCTCTTCACTTTTACCCAGCTCGTTTTAAATTTCCCTTTTCACATAACTATCAGATTTATTTAATATATAAAATGAATGTATAGGTGTGTATGTTCCAGAAAAAGGTACTAATACCTAGAGCAATCAAACCTAGTACACGTGTTACTTACCAATAAACACCACCATGGGGGTAAATCCCTTCAACTGACGCAACCCGCGATGCAGCATTTGCGCGGCTGGTGAGCCACTCGGGACGGGCAGGACGCGCTGAGCGGGCAGAGTTGTGAAAGAGATATTGTGATAAAGAAATCCTTGGGGAACGACGGGTTCACTCTATCTCAAGAAACAACTGTAGTGCTACATGCTCACATACATCCTCGCATTATTTCAAACTTGCAGTTTTCGAAAATCCAGAGTTTAATGAAAATTAGACCTGCACTGTTTTTTTAAGCGTCCTTGTTTTATCCGTGAAAAAACATTCAAGAAAAAAATAGGAGCGTTTTTAAGAAAAAAGTTGCACTATCTTCAAGCAGAAATTACACAAAAACTACCTGTTTCTTTGTATCAAAAAATTCTACATGGCCTTTTTTAAAGATCACATTTTTCAAAATTTTTTTTCTGGAAATGAGACTAGCCCTCCTTTTTGTACATATGGAGAGAAAAATTAATGGAAAAATTGGAGCCGTTTGTGAGAAAATTGTTTTTAATTTTTTTAATTGCCTACATTTCACGCGCAGGCTACTCATATTTTCGCAATATTGCACATGACTTTATTTCTAGATCTGTTTTACAATTGATTTTATTAAGAAAAAATCTATATCGTCAATATTGAAGATGACAATTATGGTTCGCCATCTTGATATGAGAAATTACAATTCTGGAACTTAAATATTGTGAAGACGCGAAAACGGAAAAACTACAGAGTGTCAACTTAAAACGACGATAAATTTTTAAAAACCAAAACTGGCACTACCCCTACATGGATTATATATTTTTGTGCTTAAAATCTTCTTGATTTTACGCTCGAAAACTTGAAAACAAATGATAAGCTTTTTTGGGAATTGATTTTTTTATTATTTTACTGTTAAAAAAACTTTTAGCGTATCTTTAGCTTTTAAAGTCAAAGAATCGATTCAGGAACTCTTCAGAGACATTAACAAGTGGTTTTTAACTAAAAGTATCGAAAACCAACTGAAAATGACAGAAACAGCATAAAAAACTTTGTAAAGTAATTTCAACTTCCGCGCTTCTGATTTTTTAAACTTAAAAATATGTTGTTTTTTTTTTGCTTAATTTTCACTGAATCAAAATAGTTTTCAACAGTTTTAATAAATTGATAGACATTCGGCGAAATTCTGTCCAATTTGGCATGGAATTACCCCATTGTGGGGTCAATTTAAATGCCAAACGTTTAAAGAACCCTGAAAAGACCGGGAGACAGACTCCACAATTTTGGAGCACTTCTGAGACAGCCTCGTCATTTGTAATAACGTTCGTCTTTGCCTAGAGATGAAGGACCGGAAACACCCCTAATAGTGACCCGAAATACCACACTTTATGATCTGCAACGGCGGCGAAAAGAATAGCTTAAGAAAGATTGGCCAGAAAAGTAGAACTATGTTTCAGCAGCGTAATTCAAAATCTTTTTACAGAAAGATGACGTATGTCTAAAACGAACTATGTTCTTAGTACATTTAATTCACGTAAGTACTTTCATAGTTCGAAATCCACTCTCAAAATGTGTGATGTTTTCGTGACACCGAACAAGATTTTTTGTCTGCATTTGCATTTTTTGTGCACCACTAAGAGAACCCACGTGATGAAAAACCCATGTTGAAACACAGTGTTTGTGCGTTACGTGGCTCCCCTGTCCCTAGACGTCGCTCTCCACCCCTTGCACGCGATGCCCTCGTGCGCAGAGCTGCCTGCGGCCGCTGCTGGTGGACCCGTCGTCGCTGGCGTCGGAGTGGCTGAAGCGCCACCTGCAGCATCTGCAGCTGGAGGTGGTGTCACAGCACAGCCCGCGCTTCCCTACGGCGCTGGAGCTGGCCATCCGCTTCGGCAAGGCGCTCATCGTGCAGGAGGTGGACGCCATCGACCCCATCCTCTTCCCGGTGCTGCGCGGGGACTTCATCACGCAAGGTCACTCACTCTCTCTAGCACTCTTTCTTCAACTTATCTACTACTGGGGTTCTGAACCTGCCCGTTGCCCAACCCATACATGAACATGCATGCATTATTGGACATCAAACTCAAATTTGGTTGAACATTATCCCCCTAATGTACCAACTGCCATTACGGGATTTGGTTAGGACGGAACGGCAAGATATTGTTATTGCCGACAATATAACGCTGAAACAAACGTAATCACTGTACATAACTCGTAAATATTATATTTTAACCCCTTCAATCCTGATTTTGGTTTCCCTTAGGAAGCCACGAGTTTCTTAGTATGTAATCGAACAATGAACACAATTTTTGGCCTTTTCTTCAGTGGTGTAGCTAGGTTTTTTCCACGCCCGGGGCAACATAATTTTTCACCGCACCCTTCCCTCCAAGTTAAGTTAAGTGATTGCAATTTGTTTGCTTTGCTAGCTTTTTACTTTCTCGTATATTATATGGAATATGGAATAATATTCTATGACCGTTCAATGTCCCAAGTACATTGAAAACTCAAATTCACACACGACGTGCTGTTTGACCTGCCCGCCCGAGAAAGTGACAGGCGCGGTTTTGGTCGTAATTACTCGGTGCAGGACATCCAAGTTGTATGTGGCGTCCAACGTAGAGTGCGAACCCACAACCTTGCGATTAAGAACCGTATCCTTTACCTCTTGACATGCAGCCTCCCATCAGTTCACCATAAAGGGTTCTCGGCACCTGTTGGAGATGCTCGATAGTTTACTTTAGAATGCTGCTGTCACATTCGAATGGAACGATTCAGGGGAACAAGAGAATCGACCTATCTCTGCAGCCTGTTTCTTAGAGTACTGCCTCGAAATTCGCCTAATATTGATCAGAGGAACCCAACAAAGACTACCCATCAAAGCAGCTATATAGCTAGTGTCAAAACTCCGCCACTACTCTGTCGGAACTGGAACTCTAAAACCTGCCGATCAGAACTGCTATAGAGTCAGGGTCAATGCTGTGAGCTAAATTCAGCCGGAAAACTCAGCCAGGGTAATAATGAAAAAAATAGTTCATCACATCTATACAACAAATTATAACAATGTCTTATCAGTCGTTTCACATAGTGGGATGTAAAAGTGGTGTCAAAATTCGAGAGAGTCTAATAAAATGACTCGGCATTATTTTTTCGTCCCTATTAAACCAGCTACATCTTGGAAAGGTATAGGTTTTTCTACAAATTCATTTCACTGTATTCACTAGTGCAATTGAATAACTTATCGGTCTGATTGGATTTCCGTGACAAAGTTTACTTTAAGTTTGTCCTTTTTCAGGACCCCGGAAAGTGGTTCAACTGGGAGACAAACTGATTGATTACAATGACGGTTTCCAACTGTTCATAACTACACGTAATCCAGAACCCGGTCTCTCTCCTGATTCAGCTGCAATTGTCACTTGCGTCAACTTCACAACCACGTGGGCAGGCCTCACTGGTCAGGTAGGTGGCGATGGTCATCCAGCGGTGAAATGGAAAGAGAAATTATTAAGATAATTTCGAGCGATTTATCAAATATTCCTACAAGAAAACGGAAGCAGGTTCAAGGAAATTTCAAATTAAACGATTTTAAACTTATATTCTATCCCTACATGTCTTCTTAAATAGTATAATATAAAGATTATTTCAGCGAATGAAATGCTAGGTAATAAATATTTAAACTTTTCACTTTCTAGTACAGCTGTAACAAAAGATACGATGCAAAAAAAAAGCATTAGTATATAAGCTGTCTACATAATTTCTTATGGATTAATTATTGCCGATGTATTTTACTCATCTTGAGGCTCTAAGAATTTGAGGCAGATCTGATTTTTTGGGGGCACATGGTACAGACAGTCTCAGAATAAATGCTATAAATTTCAAAGGCTGTATGGGGTCGATAACGGCACTTTTTGTGAATGGAAATGTGGTGGAAAATTTCATATAACGATGTTCCATATGTCATCTGTCGGATTGGCATTCGAGTTTGGCGGGGTAGCCTCAGAACATTACCCGTGTAACACCGTTTTATCATAATTTATTGTGAAAATCTGTTAATGAAGCCCACAGGATTATTTTTAAATTGCTTCGAACTGGTTTAAATTAATTTTTCGACTGGAGCGAAGTGTGCTTATCCGCTTTTGTATTGCTTTGTTTTGAAGCATCCTCTTTTCATTAATACCACTGAATGTTAGAAACTTGTAGAAGTTCAATTTTTTCGTAACCTTTTTTCAAACTTTATCTAAACTAAAGATTTGAATTTAAAGTAATGTATCTTCAATATTATGATTTATGTGATTTTTACATTAATTTCTCGAAAACTGTCGTAAGAAAAAAATTATTTATTCACTGAGTCAATTTTGTGTATAATGGGAAGCATCTTTGGCTGTAAGTTATGCATGCACTACAATGCGGGACAAATTTAACGAAATTGGAGACATTTTTCATATTTAATTAAAATTGTTCAAAATCTGCAATTCAGGCACTTTCCTAAAAAAAATCTTGAATAAATATTTTCATAAAGTTCACTAATTTTCACCAACACCACTTCTTGAGATGAAAATATCATATGCACAAAACACTATTGCTGGGGCTTGGTTTTCGGGTGCGAAACAGCAAAATTTTACTTTCGGGGCTTATTTATGTAGTAAAGAGAAACTACCATAAGACTGTGCAAAAATCGGAGGGTTTTGGACAAAAAAATCAATTTCGGGCCCCTGGTAACAATAAAGTGTATAGATGTTGTTCCGGTATGTAGTAAATCACTCCCTCTATCACACTATGTGCTAATTAATCGATTGCATCCTTGATACCGAGAAATCGATTGTGGGTAAAACGTTTGTCCGCCCGTTATGATGTGCATAACACTAGCCCCCACGTTCTAAATCGTTTGAACAAAAAGCGTCGTAGAGAAGTTTCGGAGTGCGTAGTGTGTGTTCGTATTGCTACGACGCTGTGTTGTGTGCGGCGGCAGCTGCTGGCGGCGGCGCTGCGGCAGGAGAGGCCCGAGCTGGAGGAGCGGCGGCGGCAGCTGCTGCAGCGCGAGGACGAGCTGCGCATGCGCCTGGACGCGCTGCAGGAGGCGCTGCTGCAGGAGCTGGCCGGCGCGCAGGTCAGCCCCGTCGCACGTTCTTCCTTTTCCTACTCCCTTTCAGTGGATAATTCTCTGATTTGATGGCTGCATGATGAATTGCCCCTTAAGACACAGATTTCATTATGATACAGGTTCTCGACCAAGCACATAGGAGTTTACAAACCAAGTATTGTCACTTATTTAATCTTTGATAATCGTTCTAGCAAATGCGTCCTTCGATTGTGTGCATTAAAATTGCATTTAATATTATATTATGCTTGCCGATTTTAATTTGTTTTATTAAGAGACATTTTTTACCTGGAATTTTATTCAAAATTAATTGGATCGTAATTTCACTTTGAGTCTATTTGCAGTAAACCAAAGCCACCTGTAGTAGGGATCTGTCCGGTAGGTGGCCTTGGCTGAATCCTGCATGACAATTGCCACGAAACGTTTCAGTGTTAAAGTTCAACTTAGTAGAAAAAGTACCGTATGAAGTATATGTTCGATGTAATAGGTAATACACTCGTGTGAAGTTTCGAATCACAATATCACACTCGTGTATTGATACCCATAATTTCATTATGTACTATTTCATGACTAGTATTTTATTACATGGCAATTTCCCAGTTTCCTGATATCTAATACCAGCGCAGTCACCTCTCCGGTGGCTGCGTAGCTTCCTTTAAGTACCCGCGCGCATGGGAACCGAGGCGTGTGTGGGTGTCTGGCAGGGCGACATCCTGGCGAACGCGGAGCTGCTGGCGTCGCTGAACCGCGCCAAGGCGAGCGGCGCGGAGGTGGCGGCGGCGCTGCGCGAGTCGGGGGCGCTGCGCGCGGAGGCCGCCGCCGAGTGCGACGCCTTCCAGCCGCTGGCCGAGTTCGGCGCCACGCTCTACTTCGCGCTGGCCGCGCTGGCGCAGCTGGGCGCCGCCTACCGCTTCTCCGTGGCCGCCTTCGCGCGCCTCTTCCAGCGCGCGCTCGCCGCGGTCAGTGCGCCCTCCGAGCACGCGGAGCCTTCGCGCAATGGCTCGGCTGTTTTAATTGTTTACTTTCTCGCTACCGCTTACATAGCAGAGAGAAAGTTGTGTAATGCTGCGCGAAAAAACGGCGACGTTGTGGCAGAAAACTTATTACAGGACCCTGGTAACGAAAAAGTAGATAAATCCAGTTAAAAATGTAAAAATTCTCTATTTGTGGTGTAGCAAGAATCCATGTTTGTGGGTCCTTGACGAAGAAATATGGAATGACTGCAAAATCTCCGCCTGTCCGACCGTCTGTGAACAACGCTACCGGATAAACAGTTCAGCCGATTTTCTCCAAAATTGATATTCCTCAATCGATGTGGATAATGCCGCGGCCCCTGGATTTTGAAACTGATATTTTAATTTTGGGGGATACTTTACACGGATCCCCCGGGACATTTAAAAAAATGGCACCATTCTTTTCGATTAAATTTTGTTGTTGGATAGTGTGAAGGACATTTAAGATCTCAGGATGTTCAGGTCTCATTATCGTTAAAAACTTTTGTTTTGAAAATTGCAAAACTTCAATTTTTTGGCATCTTTATACAACTACAATTATGACGATAGAGATTTTTCCATTGATGAAATCTGTTCCTTAAAGGTAGATTTTGGAATAAGGTCAAGTACAATCTTGCGAAAATTTGAGTACTTATCGCGTAATGTTTCGTGAAAGTGCGGGCGAGAAAGTACGTGCTGTTTTAGAACCACTATTTTTTTTTCGAATAGAGCGGAGATCGATTATAAAATTATTATAGGTACCATATTCGGAGAAGTTTTTGTATTTTTGAAAGTTAATGAATGCAAACGATGGACGTACATTTACAGACAAATGTTGCAGTGTAATTGGAGAGTTAAAAAAACAGCTTAAGTATAATAAATATTACGACGTTCAGGCGAATTGATATGTTGGGCAGGCAATAAGACAATATAGCCATTCGATTAAGGTGTTAGTAAAAACAGATTACGTGAGAAACACATCAAATCGGACCGGAACATCGTAACATTTATTATACTTACGATGTATTTTATAAAAGAAAACTCTACAATTACATTGTAACAATTGTCTGTAAATACAGATCCATATTTTATATTTATTAATTTTCGAAAATACAAAAAGGTCTCTGAATATGGAACTTGGCCACATTTTTAGGCGTCTCATTCTGTGTTTCAAGAAAACATTAAAAGAAAATTCTTGAAACTGTTTTTGAGAATATGAGTATTTAAGTATTGCCTACATGTTTTACTTAACATTAAGCGAAATCTTTGTATGCCAAAAATTTTACATTATATTATTTAAATATCAATCTTTCAAGGACAGATTTAGTCAAGAAACACACGTATCTTCAATATTGTAGATGTAGAAAAAACAGACTATTTTTGAACTTTTGCAATTTCAAAAATATATACGAAACCGAAACCCGCGTCTTATTTTAAGTGTTTTATACCATTTTATGGACAACATTTAACAAAATGTGGACTGTTTTTGAGAAAATTAAGAAAATGTGTTTGAGACTTCATGTGGAGTACCCACAATTATCAAATTATTTATTTTAAACTCGCAGGGCATTAATGTCGTACAGATCAATCAAATAATATCAATTTTAGTGCAAATCATTTGTAGATACTAACGTTGTGCACAAACAGACAGACCATTTTCCAGTATGATGTCCCACAAGACTAAACCACGTGTTGTACGGTGTAATTTTGTTCATATAGAACGATATTTTTTCCTTTCACCCATTCCAGGGTCGAAAATGGCGAAATTTTGGACTAAGAATCGATTATTCCTTATGCAGCGTTTCATTACTTTCTCTGTACTCCACGAGATGATAGTGAAGGGAAAGAAAACAATATTTTTTCTTTCTCTCCATGGTCTCGGAAGTATGGAATGCCACGTCTGTAATCAACAATAACCTTAAAGAATCTGCTGGCAATATAGTTATGGATCTAGAGCTGGGAAGTGCATTGAAAAGTGGTGCGACGGGGTGTTGGCAGAGCGGCGACGGCGCGGGCGCGGGCGCGGGGTCGGAGGCGCGCATGGAGGCGCAGCGGCAGCGGCTGCTGCAGCTCGTCTACCAGCACGCCAGCCGCGCGCTCTTCAAGGAGCACCGCCTGGCGCTGGCCATGCACCTGCTGCACCGCATGTTCCCCGACCACGCCCCCCACGCGGTAAGGCGAGGCGCGCGCAGGCTAGGCGCCCGAGCGCGGCTTCGGAGGGGATGTGACGCGGGCGGGCGCTGTCGCAGGAGTGGGCGCTGCTGACGCGCCAGGCGTCGCCGGCGGCGCGCGTCGACCTGTCGCGCGTGGGCGAGGGCCGGCCGGCCTGGCTGCCCGACGAGCGCGCCTACGACCTCCACCTGCTCAAGGTACCATCAGCATTGCGTGCGACAGTTGGGGGGTTAGCCATTTGGAAGTACCGTCTTGCAATTTTCACAACTCTAAAGCATTGAGCGTACAGCAACGCCGCATTTTACTACACAGTAAAGGCCCATTCACAATGCAAACGTAAACATAAACATTAACATAAGTGATATACTGAAGTATTCACAATGTCTAACATAAACGTAAGCAAAATAACAGTTTCCTTTAGCTGGAACACGTTCTGGTTTGCTATTGGTTGGATGTGAGAATCAATTGCAAAGTATCGACAGTATCCATGGCCCATATGGCGTTAGTTCTTCTATCAACTTCGCTCCGATTTTGAGTTACCTTGAGTTATTTGAGTTCTGAGATTGGTTCATTTCTTATGTCTAACTTGAGCATACGCACAGAAGCTTGAAGCTTGCAAGCTTATAAGTTAACGTCTTACGTGTTATGCTTATGCGAACGCATTGTGAATGGTTGGCTTATGGACGTATCCTAACTTTTACGTTAACGCGATGCTTATGTTTAAGTTTGCATTGCGAATGGACCTTAAAAGGGCACAGTCCTCAAACGCTCCTAACCAATGAAGGGAAACACGGAAAATGAAATAACGGGGTTTTTAAATTCTGAAATCGGAGTATAACGTGGTGAACAACTACTTTAACAAAACTCTAATACAATGGAAAACGAAAGGAAAGGTAGATGCGTGTTATTTGGGAGGGCGGAGCCCCTTGAACTTCCCTCCATAGCCGTCACTGTTTTAAAAGCTAGTACGGCTGTAGTGAATAAAATCAGTTGTAAAATGGTTAACGTCGTGCCTCTCTGCATTTGGCTAGGCGGCGCTCCCGGAGCTGTACGCGGAGCTGCGCCTGGAGGAGGAGGCGACGTGGCAGGGCTTCATGCACAGCGGCGAGTGCGAGGCCGCGTTCCCCGTGCAGCTGCGCGCGGTCACCGCCTTCCAGCGGGTGCTGGCCCTGCAGGCCCTGCGCCCCGACCGCCTGCACTCGGCCATGCAGCAGCTCGCCCTGCAAACGCTGCGTCAGTACTTCAGCCCTCTTCAATTCGCGCGAACACTACTTACATTTTGAAAACGCTTGCGTTTATTTGTATTTATTTGGTAAAAACCGGGAGAAACTCCACGTGACGTATGCCGGAGAAGCATAATCTGCACATGTTAGCTCAGAATATCTTGGCGCTTAGACTCGGCGCGATGGTGTAATGGACTAGACTAATGGTTAGCGTATCGGATTTTTGTTTGTTCCAAGTTGGGTATAACAGTCCGATATGCTAACTGATCCGCAGTCCGGTCGGGTTCAAACCTGACGCCGTGGATTTTTAAGCGCGAAAAAATCCTTCGTAGGCCTTCCTTCGGAGGGAAAGTAAAGCCGGATGTCCCATATTAGTAGATGTACTTGCATGTAAAAGATCCTCAAGCCTAAATGACGCCTCTGAGCTAAATTCAAATCGCCTGTTCGTCGCCCAAGAAATACCTCCTTTCTCCGCTAGTTGGTGAAAGGAGCGTAGCAAAATTTGCGTGGGCCTGATGGCCCGAGTCTCGTAAAATAAGGCATTAATTGAATTCAGTTGAATTGAATGTTGCTGGCACATGTGCGCGTGGCGCCGCAGGTCTGCCGGAGTTGTCGCCGCCGGGGCTGAGCCTGCAGCAGCTGCTGGAGGAGGCGCGCGCCGAGGAGCCCGTGCTGCTGCTGCTGTCGGCGGGCGCCGCCCCGGGCGACGAACTGCGCGCCCTCGCCGTCGCCACCGTCGGCCACGAGCGCTTCCACGAGGTTCGTCCACGATATTCTTGAGGCACACATGCAATGGGATGTTGGCAGGGTGGCGACGGCGACGGCGCGGGCGCAGGGTGGAAGGCGCGCATGGAGGCGCAGTGACAGCGGAATATAACACGTGAAAAAAACTTTTTTTAATTGTCTGTTTTCTTTAGTCGCTTGTTATTTTACAGAATTACTCTCATTTGCAAGAAAAATTGAACACGACCTCATTTAGTGATCCGGTTTTACTTTCTTGTACTTACTAACGTAAGAAGAGATAGTATTGTAATCGTGCGCCGGTAAACGGCGAATTTTCGACACAAAAACTCTTATAGCCGGGCACTGGTAAGGAAAATATGGATAAATCCAGTTGCGAAATATAGAAAAAATCTCTAACACGTGGTATAGCCTAAATCCATGTGTTGTGGGTCTTTGATACCGAAAAATAGATTGACGGCAAAACGTATGTCTGTCTGTCCGCCTGTGCGTCCGTTTGTGCACGTCCTTCTGTGGATAAACTGATTTTTGCCGACAATCATTAGCGCCGTAAAATCTAATACGTCATCATTTGTGCCCGATATGTGACATAAATTACCCGATTATGAACGCTGATTGCTTGCAATAGAAAATGTCGTTTATATTGGCTGGAATACAAAATTGTATTTTTCGTTCTAATTTTATGGGTTACTCAATTGTTTATTACGTTTTTACAAATCAAGTACCTAATCTCAATATTAATTGACACACAAGTTCTGAGGAATAGAAATCTTTTTGTGAGTAAGGAAAAGTTTCGTTGGTAAGCGTCAGTTTTAACGTAAGTTGATACACCCAGCTGGCTGTGAGGTGGGATAAATAGTTCGTTGTTAAGAAGCTATAATGTGCTGTATATTATTGTGTTCTGTATATTTATAGTGTACTTTATAATTGTGCTATAATATTTAGTTCCAGCAATCTCCTTATGAATGAGTTCAGACAAGTGATTGAATAATCCAAATGTATTCTTTTGTATTTGCTGTGACTACCTAATGCCATTTCCGTGATGTAATGTTTAGTATATTGGAGTGATATGCCAGGTTTGTGGGTTCTAATCTGGTCGTAACCGTGGATTTTTTATGGGCGAAAAAATCGAAATCTGACGGAATCCTTCCTACGCCTTCTTTCGAGAGAAAGTGAAGCCGGCTACCCCTTCGTGTATTTATGGGGATTTACTGTATGTAAACAACCTTCAAGCATAAAATAAGCAATAACGTTTGTCTTACCTTGCTAGATGGCGAATGGTACGTACCAAAATTCACATGGTAAGGCGGAAGAGTGGGCCTGATAGTCTGAACCTCGCCACGTAAAACAAGGGAGAAATGAATTCAATAATTGCGCAGTAAAGATAAGATATTAATAGTGTCTTGAAAATGTCTGTTAAGCGTAGATTATTTTGGCTTAAGGCTTGGGATCAAAACAAAATCTAGGCTCCGTACGAGGGAAACCGTACGTGTGTTGAGATGTGAGAGGCGACGTGGTTGGAGGAAATTAGTACCTAATGCAATTTCTATTACATTTTTGCATGGTTAACTTTCAACGTCATAAAACAAAGTAAGAAGGTATAGTACATTTCTTAAGGTTTACGATCACTTACGCACATTGAATCTGACACTGTTCATGTTTATCCTAGAGAACGTCAAGAAATCAAGTTATCAAAGAAGAAATTATAAGTAGTCGTATACACTAATGTATTTGGTTTTCGTAATAGCGCTTTAAGAGAATAAAAACGCGTCTTCTTCCCTCTCCTGCAGTGCACTCTAATTGTAAAGAGGTTTTGCGCGGCGCGGTGCCGCGTGGCAGGTGTCGCTGGGGCAGGGGCAGGCGGAGGTGGCGCTGGAGCGGCTGGAGGCGGCGGCGCGCGACGGCCACTGGCTGTGCCTCTCCAACCTGCACCTCGTCACCGCGTGGCTGCCCGTGCTGGAGAAGCGCCTGCGCGACCTGCAGCCGCACGCCGCCTTCCGCCTGTGGCTCACGGCCGAGCCGCACCCGCGCTTCCCGCCGCTGCTGGCGCAGGCCTGCCTCAAGGTCGCCTACGAGGTGAGCAATCAGGACGCACGCAACTGTCAATTTGCAGCCCGAATCAGTTCACAAAGCTTCATTTGCCGATCCGGCGGCCGAGATCGCTAACGCAGTAGCACCGTGGCGATCTCGGACCGAAGGATCGCGGGTTCTTGTCCCGCCTCGGGCATGGTTGTATTATATTAGTCCTATCACCCCCTATCATCATATCGTGTCATCCTCATAGTTCCCATACCGTTACACGCAATAGTGGTCGCTAAAGACCTAGAAACTGATGAGACTTTAAATAATAGAAAAAGTTCATTTCTTTGAATGTATGCCCCAAAAGGGTATTTTTTTTTCTCCACCAGACCTCGGAAAGATCTTCAGTGCTTTCATTGACTTAAGGTCTCATTTTTATTATTATTCGCGTATGGGCCACTACTGAGGAGGCATGGAGAGATCAACGTGTGGAATTATGGGGATCAGCCTTTGGGCTGCATCCCTTGGTTAAGACAAGGTTGTTAGCCTTGAGTATCAACTAGGGGGCATAGGATGATTTAATAATTATTATTATAGAGTGATGATGAGGGGTGAAAGGACCTACCATCATCCTAGGTGGTAGGAGGTGACAAGTGGGAGGTGTCGTGGGCTTTTGGAACAATCCTAGCATTCGCCTTATGACAAAACGATACCACGAAAACCCCGGCTAGGTTTGCCGGCCTGGGGTTGGAACCCGGACCTCCCGATTGCGACTCCGGCGCGTTACGCACTGAGTCACTTCGCTCCGTTTTTTTTTATTTAAGCTCACTTTTATTTTTATTTTTCCGTTTTATTTTTATTTAAGCCTCACTATTGTTTTATTTTAGCTCAATTTTACATTAATGGTGTATTACTCATCTGCATGTGTAATTAGTATGCATTACGAGTGTTGTTTTTTTCGTTGAAAACGTGTAGCTGCCGTTTTATTGCTTCGTTTCGGAGAAATCCAGTTGGTGTGGAGTGTGTGTTGGTGCCGCAGGCCGCACGGGGCGCGCAACCTGCCACGCACGCTGCCGCAGTGGCGCCCCGAGGGGCTGTCCGGCGCGCAGCGCCAGGGGCGCGGCGCGGGGGCGGGGCCCTGGCCGCCAAGGCCCTCTTCGCCCTGGCCTGGTTCCACGCCGTCGTGCAGGAGCGGCGCACCTTCATCCCGCAGGGCTGGGCGCACTTCTACGAGTTCAGCGACGCCGACCTGCGCGCCGCCGCCGACACGCTGCGCCGCCTCCTGCAGACAGGTCTCTCCTCTTAGCCAAACAGGGGACTTTTCTAAGGCAGACATGTTTCCTATGCACTGGCCATTAATAGTAATTAATGTCATTATTATTATTATTATTATTATTATTATTTACTTAGTAGTTTCTTTATTCTACATCTTAATAACGTTAGTTTTTGTTGTTGTTTAATTGCCCTTTCATTTTTCGAAAAAAATTTAATCTGATAAGAGCCCAATTTCTTCTAATCGTTCATCCACGTCAAGTGATGAAATTTTGCGGACGGCCTCGAATTTTGATGATATTTTTTATGCTAACACCCACATGTCTCGAAGGAACGTCTGTGAAGTTGTAGCTTCCTAAGTGAAATAGTTGTTTTTTGTAGATATATCGGTTTGTTTCATCCCACGAAACGTCGTTCTGCTGCGTAAGACAATATTTGTTATACGAATGGTAAAAGGGACCTATTGTTTTGCGAGTAGGAAAGTTTGCAACGCGAGACTGATAGGCCGAATGGCGCTATCCTACGAGCAAAGAAAATTCAATTTTACCATTCAGCTCATAGAAAATCAATGACTTTTGTAGTGAATCGTTTGTCAATAATAAAGCTAAGCAGTTTTAAAATATTTTACTGCATATGCTACTCTCTGCGTAATTAAAATTCATTCAGATAAGTTCCCGCGCAACTTTCATTTTCATTCAAATGTCCCTGACGGCCTTTATTTAAATTCCTAATGCTTCAAATTAATATGACTTAACTAATTTTTTAAAGATTGGAAATTGTTTGAAAATTTATTCAAGGTTCTTAATTATTGAATGCTATAATTTTAAAACAATCAAATTAACTTTTGGATCTTATCGTGCTTGGAATCATAGTTTCCCAGAATTAGTTTCTTGAGATACACAGCGCCGAGTAACCTTTTAAGTGAAAAAAAACCCCTTATGTGTGCTTTGGTGCCCCGTAGGGAGTCCAAAGTGGGAGTTCATGCAGGGGTTGTGCGAGAGCGCCATCTACGGGGGGCGCGTGGACAACGCGTTCGACGTGCGCGTGCTGGCCTCGTACGCACGCGACTTCTTCGACGCCGACGTGCTGGCGAGCGGCCGGCGCCCGCTGGGGCCCGGCATCGCCCTGCCGCCCAGCTCCAACTACAGGGTGAGACACGCCCTCCTCCCTCGCTCGCACACTTGGCGCTTGATGATTCGCTCTTGAACGTTCTTGCTTCGTGAAACTACAAGTACAACATAGGGAGTAAACGTCACAATAATTCTGTCTATGATTATTTTGATTTACAAAGTACAACAAGTAAGATTCCTGAATTCATGGGTTGACCGGCCATTAAACAAATTTTAAACGCTATTATGAGAATTTTACTGTGTATTGTAAAGTCATGGAACATCATATGTTTATATTTCTTACTAAGTCTTACAAAAATTTGAGAACGTACTAAGTGACGTTTATGACAATTCCCAATCATGTGTTTTCGAGCATGTGGTCACCTCAAGTGTGTTATATATATATATTTGATTCCAATTGGTAAAAAGTTGAAGACATTTACATGTATGTTAATATCTTAGCTAAATTGAGTGAGCTGACTCTCAGGCTCTGAATTTGCATCTCAGCGCGGAGAAAAAATGCTGATGGGAAATATTTTAAAGGTTCATGCTGCACAAAAAAGGTCATGCTGCCTGACAAAAAAGGTGATGCACCCAGAAGGAGTGGTTGGTAGTGAATGAAACTACATATGGTGAAAGACAATGTGACGTTATTGCGTTGATTACAATCAGGGATGAACGAGACAAGGCCGTAGGCAGTTACAGGGGGAAAGTTGGCGCCAGGTCAGCAGAAGTCGCACCTCATCTGGCTGCAATGCATGCCCTTATGCGGTTCGGAATGGTGTCAAACAATCTTTGGAACCTCTCTTGAGGAAATTTCGTCTACAGTTGTTGGGGCTGTAACCCCTGATCTTGCAGGTTGGTAGGATGTTGTAGAGTCGCTAGAACATGTTCCCTGATGGCAGGAGCGGACGACATGGGATCGGTTCTCCCTGGGGGTTGCGTTTCTTCATCGACCCGCCCTTGCAGGACGTGCATGGGTGCCCTCATGTAACCATTGATTCCAACATAGAGCTCTGTGGCATCTGAAAGGCCTACATGTCTGGAAATTGCACGACCAATCAGCACAACCAACCAGCCTCAAGAAGCCCCATAATGCGGCCTCTGTCAAATGCAGTCAATTGGCGTGTAGGCTGTCGAGTGCGTCTGCATGGCATCGCGGGTGCTTTGCACTGTAGGTAAAGGTACTTCACTGTCTGACACCCAGCAGTTGAATGATGACACCGCCAAGTTGTGCAGTTGTTATCACGAATGCACTCTGGTGGGCGTTCTACGCATTACAGATATGTGAAAATCTAATCATTTACTCACATATCAATGGTATACATGTATACCGAAAAGGTATAATATTGAAGCACTTTGTGGGTGCGTTACTTTTTTGTCATGCAGTATATATTACGTGCCGTTAAAATAACGTGAGAAAGTATGTACTGTTGTAGCACCACTAGTTTGCAATAACTCGTACCTTCGACGAGTATTACTGTGGAGCCTAAGACTGCTCTTATTTCTATGTAATTTTTTTCACCGTTTTTGTTCTCCCAAATTGCAGGACTTCCTGACCATCGTCCACCAGCTGTCTGATAAGGACCAGCCCGCCTACTTCGGTCTGCCCGCGAATGTGGAGCGTTCATGGCAGCGCATCACCAGTAATGAGGTCATTGTGCAGCTCCGCTGTAAGTATTTTATTCTATAAAACGAGGAAGTAAATTAGACATTCTTCGCTTCTTCATCACTTTTTTCAGAGTAAAATATAAAAAAAATTAGTATTTCTCTTTGATGATATTTTTATTTTCATGACGTTTCAGCTTTCTAAAGGACATTAAGTAAACTGAAGGGAAATCAATTTTTGTAGTTCATGTTTTTATGGTCATGTTTTGTTTTGTGGAAAGCTTATCTTCGCAAAAGAATGTCTGGTTTCCATTCGTTTCAACCGTGGTATACCTTTGTGTCACATCACAAAATTAAGCCTGCAATGAAGTGTTTGCATTTCCAAATATTGAAATTTTAATTAAGAGTTTTCCAACAAGTCATGTAACTAATGTGTTCATCGTGAGAATACGTTTTGTTTTGAAGAGAGTAAAAATTAAGTATTACAGAGGATGAAGACAAACTTGGCCATTTCCAATTTCCAGCAGTAAGTTTTAAACCGCATTGACACTGCCGAAATAATTAATGATTTTGCAACAAATATCCCAAGACCATTCATGTAAAAATATTTGTTTAATACATTTATTTAATGGGTAATAACATGAAATTTTCCATTGCGTTTCCTTTTTGATTCGAGCATTTTCTTGCAATCTGTGTTTCTAACTTCAGTGTACGTGCCCTAAAGCGTTTTGTTTCTTAGAGCCTTTATTGATTGTAGGGGCGTTCTAAACGCAGCCAGATGGATTGAAATAGATCAACGCATCTACCAGTCGAACTATTTCCCTCCACTTACCATGGACTTCTAGTACCAAATGGTATCAGCGAAGCTCAAGCTTAAGCTTATTTCGGCGGCTTAAATGCAGGACATGCACTCTCAAAGGAAATTTGGCTCCTAGTTTGAATAAAATTATGCTAATTTACTGCACTAATTTGATACTGATAATTTTACTCGAGTTAACGTAAATATCATTTTGTGAAGTTATACAACTCAATCTTAAAACCATTTAACTGAAAAACGGACTTAAACAATTCAAACTTTATCAGATTGTTCCCCTATATGTTAATATCCAGTGAACGTCTTGTGTTTCGTAGTAGCACTATAACTTTGTCTTACTTCGATTTAATTAACTCGTAGACCAATATAAGAATATATTATTCATTTTTAAAGATACTAGTGAGATGATATTAACATCTTAGCCCACTGCGCCAGAATTTCGTGCTCTCCAAACAAAGTCGTCTTAAATAGCTTGTTGAAAATGCAAACTTCAGTTGTCGATGGCAATGAGGATCGATAGCAGTTGAAGTTTGTATCCTCAAAATTCTGATTGTTGTTACCGAAAAGACTCGATAAGGTAAATATTAGATAGTCAGTATTCGAAACAAAGTGGGTTGGGACTGCGAGGGCAAAGAGAAATCGAAGAGGTTGCTGGCAGCGTTTCTTCCTTGAAAGCGCGAGTGATGAGCTGCATGGGCGTGTTGCAGCGCTGGAGCGCCCCGTGGAGGGCTCCGTGCGGTTCGACCGCGACGAGTGGCAGAAGCAGCTGTCGCCCATCATGAGCCTCTGGAAGAAGCTCAACCAGGTGAGGGCAGCGTGCTTTTGGTGCGCTTTCGCACGCCTAGATCAATTACTACAAGACATGGGTATGGATCGGATTTTTATGACTAAAAACTACGAATTATGTATGCACATATGACATAAAGAGTTATTAAATTTGACCTAAACATTCCTCAAATATAACCAAAATAATGCTAGCATATCTTTTGTTAAACATATTTTACAGAATTACCTTGTAACCCACCGTATTTCCATTAAACAATAATACACATTATTCTTGAACAGGTGCCGAAATAAAATAGAAATTGTATACGTGCTTAATATCTTGACCTAGTTGATTAATTGTATAGATTTTTTTCTTTTTTATAGAAAAGGCATCCTTTAAATTGCCAACGTTTGTGCTTTAATTCTGCCTTCATCGGAGCCATAACAAAGGAGCAAAGCTATTTATTATTTTAACGAAACACTGTTTTTAAATTATTAAATAGAAGGGTCTGTGATTAACTGAGAGAAGAGCCTTGTACTTGGAGAATGTTGTTTCTCACGCGATATAATAGGCGCGTTTTTAAACAAACATGCGAAAGTTCAAATTGCCTGAAATGTATAGCAACGATAATTTTTATACGGAGGTGGGCATGCAGGGTAGGTACTGCCGTCAGGGTGGGGGAAGGTCTCGAGGGGAGAACTGGGAAAGGGCGGAGACTGCGGTTTGAAATCAGGAAGGGAGCTACGGGTCTCGATCCCCGCAGAGAGGAAGAGCAACACCCGGGGTGTGGGGTCGTCTAAAGGCAGGAAGAATGTTTTATTAGCGAAGATTTACAATCCATTTCATTCTCGAAATACTGTACAAAGAGGAATTTACGATAAAAAATGAAAAGTATTTTTCGAAACATTTTTCGTAACAGTGTTTACCGTTTTTACTTGAGAAAGCGTGATTTCTCCCTTCCCTGTCCCCAAGGAATCCCAGGAATTATATTTAATTATCATGAATGTGATGATTGAAGTCCTAACGATTCATGTAAATGTCGGAGAGATGATATAATAATTTTCTGCGCTTTACCAATTTTCTCTTAATTACATTGAACCCATCAAAAACATGTTCTTTTTCCAGAATTCTATACGTGGCGTACTAAAAACTATACGTGGCGTACAGGGAAGGAGATCATGATTACGTGACTACTGTATAAGGACATAGAGCATGTCTTCTGGAATGTCGTAATGCACTCGTTGATTTCAAAGAGCTGTTTTCATCACACTGCTGTTGAGATATTGGATTTTCAATTTACACTGGGCAATACGATTTTTGTAATTATTTTAGAATTGGGCTTGAAATAGACATCTTAGACGCTGTCTCATCATAAGAAAAAAATGTTAAAGTAATATTTTTCGTTCGCATTTCGGCCATGTTCATTGCTATGTTGGTAGTAGAGGCCAAGTTAAAACTGTATTCTTACGATGAGTCTCGATACTTAATAAAGGTTTTGTTAGGGCAATCAATATATTCGTTAAAATTTGTTGGGAGAGCAAATTGGATGAAAACGTGTAACGTCTACTGGCGTATCCTTAAAGCATCTTGTCATTTTGACTCCAGAAACGGTACAATAATGACAGCACATGCAAACGTTAGAATCTGATTGACAGCACTAAATGTTTTTACGATATCATGAGTCACTTGACGTGGCTCGTTGTGTGTGTGTGTGTGTGTGTGTGTGTGTGTGTGTGTGTGTGTGTGTATGTGGCATTATTCGTTTAAGAAGCATACGTTATGTGGTCGTCAAAGATTGTCAATAATGCAGTGATATTTAAATGGTAACTAACAGCTTTTAACTACAGAAGGTTCTCTCTACTCCATGCGGAAGCAATGCGGCCAGATCTTCTTGAGAGCGCGATACTTGAAAATGCACAAGCTTAGCCTAGATTTGCCTCAAGGAGAGCTTGTAACTTTTTATTGGAAGTTAGCCGCTAAATTTCGAATACAATGCGAAATGACCCAATGCGGTAATAGTTAATAAGATTTTACCTTTTTATGATGAACCGGAGCGGTTGAAGTTGAAGTGGACTGTTGGTCGTTGGGGGGTCGGCGGCTGCTGGCCAGATGAAGTGGCGGGGGCGGGGCGTGGAGCGGGTGCGGGGAGTGAGACGCCTGGGCAGTCCTGGGCTGGAGCTGCATGTGTGGCGCTTGGTCGCTGGTGCAGCAGGTGCACCGGTCGCTGGCGTCGCTCAGCCGCGTCGTGCGCGGCTCCGCGCTGCCCTCGGCCGACGCTACGCGCCTCGCGCACGACCTCATGCGCCAGCACGTGAGCCACCAGCCCTTGCGCATCATCATCATTATCATTATTATTATTATTATCATTATTATTAAAATTTATATCCATTTAAATAGGTTTTCATTTTGATATGTGACTTCCTATAACTAGTAGTTGCAGTACGAAAAATTCTTAAAGAGTTCAATATATTTCCAATCTCACTAAGCACTACTTAGAAATTTACTTCATTTTCCATCAATAATATAACATTAATATAGTTTATCCGAATACTGAACATACACATCTTCCTACTAATAAATTCCTTATACCTTTACTGGATAGAAGTATTTATTTATTAAAATGCATCAATTGCAATTCAGTATACGTTCGGGAAACACGTAGGACATTTGCTTGAGAATAAATGAACATCTAAGATCTTGGAAGCAGAAATTAAATTCGAATCCGATTTCTGAATTATTGTCACAGCAACACAAACTCGCAACACAGCTACGTAATAAGAAAGTGGATGAAAATATACTAATTATGAGACTTATAGACGTCACAGGATTGATGTGTAACAGCCATGTAATTGCAGATATCATTGGGAAATGAGCGAATCCGGAAAGTATTCCAGGAGTGGGCCATTCTCAGTTCGGAACTTTTCTCCATAAATTTGATAGAAACGGCACTTTTAAGAATCTGGAAATCTTAAATCACTACCGCGTCTGCTCCATAAAAATAATGATTTGGAATATAATGATACCGTACACGTAGGCTTCCGCGGCTCGAGTTCATGACTTCTGGGCTGTCCGGGTGACGCCGCGTCGTTGGCAGATAGGCCGACGTTTCGCCTGTCATGTCGCAAGCTTCTTCAGGGTACTGACGCAGTACGACGCGGCGTCACCCGGACAGCCTAGAAGTAATATAATGATACCAATGAGACGATCGCTTTGAGTAAATTGAATAAAATTACAACAAAAAATGGATTGAGGTCTGGTATGATCCCCAAGCCCCCTTTCCGAATCCACCACTGTTCAATAATCTGTTTCGCCCTTCACGAGCCGCCACTGACTCTCAGTCGAGATATTCATTATACGAATCTCCCCAACAGTTATCTCACATCTACAATTTACTGTTATACTTTACACATGAATTTCTACTAAGGCAAACGGTTCTTTTCCCCATTTACACAGACTTAGGAATTAAAAATCTTCCTCGGAAAGGAGATTCAAGAGCGTAGGTAGTGTAAAGAGAGTTTGTAGAAAAATGTCCTGCTTCTTGTCGCAAAGTTCTCTTTTCGCTTGGTAACAATATGCTCGTAGACACTCCAAGCAAACTTGCAGCAGTACCGGCCGATCGGAACTATTCTAGTCCGATTGGAGAGGTACGTACCGAGGTTGATGCGAGCGTGTGGCGGTTGTGCAGAGCCCGGAGCAGTGGCTGCGCGCGTGGGCGGGGCCGGGCGACCCGCTGCTGTACGTGCGCAGCCTGACTGCGCGCGCCGCCGCAGTGCTGCGCTGGAGCGAGCGCGGCGCGCAGCAGCTGCTCAAGGAGCAGTGCGACCTCTCCGACTTCCTGCACCCCGACTCCCTCCTCAGCGCGCTCAAGCAGCAGACGGCCAGGTAAGCCCAGGGAGGCGGATAAGAGGAATTCACCAGAAGTGGTTGTGGATATCAAGATACGCAAGTATTTTGCCCATGTATTGTAGCAAATATGAAAAGGGAATGGGAATGGAAAGAGGGGGCTGAAATGCACTTGTACCCACTTTTGGATTTATCCTGTGCTGCGTATCTTTCGAGAAACGCAGTGTGTGCAAAACGCTCTGAAAACGGCACGCAAACAGTGTGTAAGAGACGCAGCGGATATTCCGTACTTCTATGCATGAAAATAATTTTGAAAACGTATTTTACTCTGCATAAAAGGTCTAAATTTGTTGGTAATTTTGTTTACTCGGTTAGTTTCCCATCCTCTATCTACATAATTACTGGGTAAAGAACGTTATCATTTCTAGTTGCAGTTGCTCCCCTACCTGCGTCTATTGGTAGCCTGGTGAGGAACTCACTGATTTCCTTGTCCAGCTGAAAGCATACTTCCCCTGCCTCGTCGAACTCGAGATCAGTGCTTTCTGATAATCTCGAAAGAGCGTCGCCATTAGCGTAATGAGTAGTTGAGTTGCAAACAATTTGATAAATTATACTCATATTGATCATCGCTTTAACTTTGTTGAGAATCATTCTGCAGTATCTTTGTTGCGATGATCCGTTGTATTTCAAATGTATCGCCATATAGGTACTAAAGAATTTTTTTCCCTCCATAAATAATAGAGATCGCGTGATTTTTATTCTGCGCGAAATTCTTTTGCGCATTACTAAGATTTTTGTGAATGCAATGGATATTTTCTTATCTTCTGCTGTGAATGTGGATATAACTGCATCGATTCCATGCCCCGGCGCTTATATTGGTATGATGAGGTGTGTTAGATTTGTTCGTTTTATTATAGCTGTCTTGATTTTATTAAATGCTGTTTGCATCGATCTGATCATACACATTTTACGTTCATATACGTAATACTTTATATGTCCAATATGTGACTCTACGTTTAAAAATGCATACTCTGCTAAGTTTCATGTCAAATCATTCTTTCGTGCAAATCATTCTTAATCTAATTGCAGTTGTAATTACGCTTCTGATAATTTTGTTTTTTTATTATTCTCCTTCATGTTGTTTCTTCTGGCTTTGGCATTGGGTATTGAAAAAAAATTCAATGTTTTCTTGAAGCCACCACTTATTTGATTACATTACTACTATTGGCGTTGTCCATTCACTGGTATATAGGTTGAAAGACGCCTTTATTTGACGATCTTTGCAGTTCTTCTTGCACCTGCGTATGTAGGCTGTACTGTTCTGGCATCGCCTTGCAAAACTTGGGTTGTGCATACTTCTTCATCGTAATAAGCATTTTTTGTTTTACTTTTACCTCATTCTTCCTAAAACGCATCAGAACATTCAGAGCACACTTATTATGTTTGCTCTTCTTCGCGTGACATTAACACGCACTAACATCATTAACCCCAAACTCATTAAGTGCATCCATGCCAAAAATATTAGTTCGTCAGGCTTAGACACAGCCGGCCGCCAGAATTGCAATGCACTCGTTGTTCGCCAATGACGCTTATGACATAAGTCTCAAAGGAGCTTAGGAAATACGAGAGTATTGGAAATACGCTCAAAATTTCGGTGACATACAGGCTCGAAGGAATTGATAAAGTATTTTTAAAAAGTCTTCGTCCCAAGTATCTACAATAAACGCGCCGACTTTGATGGCTCATGGCCTCAATTGATGTCTCTGCAAAACTTCTGACCGACAACTTCTAAGGATTCGAGTGCCGACTGTGACAGGGTTCTCTACATAGCTAGGTCGAATTCAGCTGCGGTCTGAATGAGAATTCTGACGGCCGGCTGTTCTAATCGGAAGTTTTCTGTTGTTTCTCCGATCAACGCTAGACGAATGCCGGAGCAGTACCGTAACGAACGGGTCCCATACCGTTCGCGATCTTTCCTTCCTATTACTTATATTATCATCCCTTACCCACACACACTCACACGCATAACTACCACACTGTTTGTGAAACCAGTCGGGAGTTTAGAGCTTGTCCCGGCTGGAGCGGTGCCCTGCGGGTGGGAGGTACCTGGCCGGGAAAAAGTCTCGCAAGCCTACGGGTAGGTCTGCGCTGTATCTCGCTATCCAGCGGAGGAAGATTTCCGCCGCCTCCAGCGATAAAAAATAGCATGCACTTGACTTATGGGACAGCAGTTGACGCGCCGAGAAGAATGAATGAGCGAGTGGTGTGGCGGTTGCGCAGGGAGCTGGGCGTGGGCGTGCACGAGCTGTGGCCGGGCGTGTCGTGGCTGCGCGGGGGGCTGGCGGGCGCGCGCCTGCCCGTGACGCTGGTGGGGCTGCAGCTGGAGGGCGCGGACTTCGACGGGCAGCGCCTGCGCCCCAACGGCCCCGACTCCCCCAGCGTGCGCGCCGCGCCGCCCTGCACGCTCGCCTGGGTGCCCAAGGTAAGCCAATGGATGTTTAAAACAGCTTTAACACACTTTTCTACACTCGAAAGACACCAGCGTGTTCTTCAGCGTGTGGAAAATTAAATAAATTATCGAGGTTTTGAAACCCTTTGGCGAGGTTTGATTTTCAACTCGGAAAACGTTTATTCCAAAACCGGACCCAATTTATATGAGAAACTGGCGGTGCTTCAGCAGAATATATTTTCTCGCGCTATTTCTAAATTTGCAATTTCCGAAAATTCAGAGAGTTCAACAAGAATAAGGCCCGCGCCTTTCTTTTAGCAGCCCTTACTCTATCCGTGGCAAAAATTTAAAAAAAAGAAAAAGTTTGGAGCAGTTTTTGAAGAAACAAAAATATTAATGAAACATTTTAACTTGCCTATATTTCGCGCCAAAGTTTTTCGCACGAAAACTACTCATATTTTGGAAAAATTGAAAATGAACGTATTTAAAGATGTCTTTAAGGATCTTATTACATTCAGGTAAAAATACCTTCTCTGCAATATTAGAGTTGTAGAAAGACGTGTCCCGTAAAAAATCTCATTTATGTTCTATTTTCTTTGGTCTCGGCTAGCTATGCGAACTTATCACGTACTCCAGCCAGCTGCCATCTATTGCCGCTCAAAGAACATTTTTTTGAAATTTTCCTTATAGTATAACGGAAATATTACTTTAAGGATATGAAATAACAATAAAACCTCATTCTAAATGACAACTTCCTCCGAAAAAATTGGAGTTGCTTTTAAGAAAATGGCTCTTAAGCGCTACTGTAAATTCGATATTAGAAGCTCTTTTTCAAAGAAAATTTTTCAGTTTTAGAAAAACTTCATTAAAAGTTTTTTGAAAAACTTTAACTCACAAACCCAATAGTGTTTACAAATATCTGAAAATGTGAAAATAAAAGTTGTGCGCGATCTTTAAACAATAATTGCGTTTGTGTAATATTTGAAAAAACAAAATAATACCCCGAAATGAACTTAGTCATATGAAAGTGTGCAATTAGCACTATTTGTTCGAAACGTTTGAAGAAGCAATTTGGAGCCATTTTTGAGAAAATGGCGTTTGAGCATTTCTGAAAATGCGAAATATTGAGCTAGTTTTCACAGAAAATAGTGGAGTTTTCGATAAACTTAATCTGACATTATTTAAAGCAATTGTACGCATAACAAATGAACAAATTGCTACTAATATAAATATTAGCGACGTGGGAGACACTTCAAAAATACTTTTGTGTAAATTTTGAAAAAACAAAAGAATAGAGCAATATGTTATCTCATAGAGTAGAATAGCACTATCCATTCCAAAAGTTTAAAGAAAATATTTGGAGCGGTTTTTGATAACATTTTGTTTTTGTAATTTTTTTAAATTGAAAATATTGCACGCAGTATTGCACGAAAACTACTAAAAGTTTCAAAAAAATGTACATGACCTTAATGAAATAACTCACAAATTTTATTTGAAGGAAAGATATCTATGTTTAATTTTATAGTTGTAGGAAGACATCGAAAGAATTCATCCTTTTGAAATTTTCGAAAATGCTGAGATAACCGTGGAAATCAGACCTGTGCCACATTTATAAGTGTATGTGACTCTATTCTTACAAGAAATGCATAGGAAAACTTTGAAACTGTTTTTGAAAAAATTTTGGATATGTCCGAAGGGCTTCAAGTACCCCCAAATTTTAAAGAATATTTTAAAAAAACAACTCAAAGCTTTGACTCGAGCGAGATGGATAGGGTTTCTTCAATTTGAAAAGAATGAGCATGTTTTAGGCGCTAGTAGTGTTCACAGACGGATGCTTTGCAGTCAATTGATTTTTCGGTATCAAGGACCCACAAAACAGGGATTCTGGCTACATCATGTGTTAAAAGATTTTTTTCTTTATTTAGCACATGAATTTATCCACTTTTTCATTGTCAGGGCCTGAATGTATCAGGTAATGAATTTATTTCTACCGAAAATCCGCAGTGTTTTTTTTGTTGTTTTTTTTTGCGTAGCATCTTCAGAATTGTAATTGTAGAGAGACGCTGAGAGATTTTGGGTTATTGTATTTACGGTTATTGTATTTACATCGGTAAACTCGCGCTTAGCAAACAACCATCTAAACAAAGCAAAGAAAGTTTTATACAAATTAATCAGGAATTTAAACTGATGAGGAATTTTTTAACAGCATACAAAATGACACAATATTAGTATTAATTGAAAGTGAGTGTGAATAATTTTGAACAATAATTTAATTTATTGTATTTCAGAGAAATAATTGTTCCGACAGTTGCCACAGTTATCCAATTTTCATTTTGCACACTAGGTATTAGTTATCACATAAATTTCGAGTCTCCTTTGAGACATTCAGTTTAGGCATGAAAGTGCTTACAGTTTTAATTAAAAATTGTATGAAATTAATTTGAAACTTCTTGTTTTGTTTAGGAAGGCCCACAAGTGTACTTATCAGAAAAGAAGATTTCAATTCCACTGTATTACACAGCTGAACGTGAGAAGGCAGTTATAAGTCTAGATGTTCCTTGTGCAAATGACCATGATAAATGGTTGCAAGCAGGGGTGGCTTTCTTCTTGAAGAACTGATATTCTTCAACTCCAAATTGCCTTTTTTCTTTCATTTAAATTCACAATCCATCAATTTGCCTTGCACGTTTTAAGATGTTTTGAAAATGACACAATTTGAAACTCTTGTTCCGGAACAATTATTGCCTTATATCTACATCCAATTCACTTATCTAATATGAATTCTTACATGTGTATGTTTAGTTACTAAGAAAGGGCAAATGAATAAAATGTATACATTTTTATAGAAGATATATTTAATATATTCTTCGATACAAAAGTTGTTTCCACATCCAACCTGGCCAATCATCCCATCTCTGTGATTCACAGCGGTAATATAATACTCTTTCTATGCCACTGTTAGTTTCCACCAGGCTTGCTGCAGTAGGAAATGTCCCCAAAAACACTGACGAAAAAATTCAGTGTGTTTGGACACAACACAACTCTGAACAATTATAAAAAAATATAAATACATTTTAATCAAAATATGACCAATAATTGAGAACACGTTCAAGATGTGTAAATACACAAATAAGTAAACTCTAATAAGAGATAAAACACTGGGCACAGAGAGAAATAAGACAATATAAGGAACAGCCTTTAAAAATGTGCGAGTGTGCAAATCACCATGGTTTCATCAATGTGATGTTTTTGACATGCAACAGACTCATGTTTGATTTCCATTAATTATGGAAATTAAAATAAAATAGGTCATGCTGTACAACAAACATTTAAAAACAAAAATAAATAAAATCACAAAACCTTTTCTTTGATATATGAATCTAAAACAAAGTGGGAATCAAAAGTATACTTCTTTTAATAATCACTCACTGCACATAATTCTTTGACAGTTTAAGAAATCAATCAATAACTGAACAAACTGGAATATTACTAAACAACAGCAGTGAAGCTTGTGGTTTACAGCAATAGCTTAAACTAAAGACAATTTGAGGCAGGAAGCAACATTTGCCTTATGTCAAAATATATGTTTGATACTTTGAACCTGTTGAAACTTCTCAACGTTATCAAGATGGCTAGATAAACTCCACTAACAATTCAAACATGAACAAAATCCAAAACTGAAGTCATCTCAATTCTTTCCATAGAATACTAGGCCATATTCTTAACGACAGCCATTATTAATAACTAAACTTTTTTCCGATTGGTTGAACTTTCCATCACACAAATACATCCAATGGAGTATGCTGCTAAGAACAGTATGCTCTGTTTGACGCTCTTCCTTAATTGATTTTGGATTGTCTAACAGGGTACCTTAAATATTTAGCTTTCACAACACAATAAAATGGTACATTTGTAAGCAAAGGAACTTGATGTAGAGATAATGAAATTTAATAATGAACATTAGCTTCAGAGAAAGGATTATTTTTTTTAACAGAATTCACTCTTAGCTTCTGCTTGTGAGTGTATATTTTGGATCAAAGAGTACATTTTAAATTAGTTCTTTACTACCTATAATAAAAGTAAATTAAAGGGGATTATAAATGCATCTGATGTGCTGGACTGGAAAACTAAATAGCATGAAATGCTCTTTCTTACTTAAATAATTCAATGACATTAGTTCTGAAAAGTTATAACCTTCAATAAATGTTGAAGGTAGTTTTACAAATAATGCGACGATTTCAATATACCTCATTAACGTTACTGTTAATGTCTTCATAATTAAATTTTTCTCCAGTCTTAAAAATAATATTTGGATTTTATGGTCCTGGAAAAGCTGGCTATCACTTTAAAACATTTGAGGCCAGAGGCATCTTCTCTTTCTGATTAGAACAACTGTTATATACTATGACAGCTGCCAAGTTATCAATGACGCTACAAAAATTTTGTGAGCATTTCCAGGCATCAGCCCTACAGACCCATTCCAGACACTTAGCACTCAAGAGAGTCAAGTCAATGTCATTCACACTTATCTGTCATACTTCAAATATATAATATATATTATCTATCATTTATGGCAGAGGTTCCCAATCCATGTCTTGTAAGATGAAAGAAAGATAATGGTTAAGAAAAATTCTCACAAAAAATTAAGTCACAGGTACATCATGTTCAAAATGTATTTGATGTTTATTAATATAGAACTTAACATCTGGGAACCTCTGATTTAAGGCATTTGATCAAAAAGTGGGAAGAGCAGGAAAGTACACAAACAATATATGGATCATTAATTACTTATTGCATATACAGAAGCCCTCCTTTAACAATGAAAATATGCATATAGCACTCACAGCACCACTGACAAAATCAGTGGTTTCAGTCTCAGATATACAAAAAGGGATGGTTAATTATGTAAAATCACAATTTATAAGACTTGCAAGCAAAACAAAACTTACATTGTATGGTCTTAAAACTAATTTTACTATTTAAAATAAACTACAAGAGCTACTTATAAAACATTTTATGTACCAAATATGTAGTTGCCATCCCACAACAAATTTCTCTTTACTCTCACAACAGTAGCTCAGTACTATCTATTGCCTAGGCTTGTATAGTAATCGAACTCTTGTAAAAAATATTATGTACATTCTCCAATGGTCTGGTAAGTTTATGAAAACTACTATTTATCTACGAGACAATAAGTCTTACGCTTGCAAATATACAACTGACTGTGCTTTAGTCTTCATTATCATTGCTTCAAAATGAGTATTCCTTTCTTATTACAATACACTATACAATATTTATTTCCACTCTTAAAACTGGAGAACTTAGGAAGACTTTGAAACTTTCAATTATGGTACAAATTTGCATATTTAATAATGAAATAGCACTCCTTTTACATAAAATCAGCAAAACAGAGTAAAAGAACAAGAGGTAAACAGGGTACAAAAACCACAAGCTAGTTACAATTTTTTCTGCAGCTTTGTACATGGGTCAGAGATAAGGAATATTGATCAGTACACTAATGCTGAATACTAATTAAACAAAAAGATGAATATTATTTTGATCACTGAATTATTGCCTCAATTACCTCAGAACGACAGAAACTATGCCTGAGTGTTCAAATGATTCAGGCTTCTTCTCATGAGCTGTACATATGGGCTCCACATGAAACACTTTGTATAGACTACATATGAATTACAGCCTGTACAAAATAGACCATTTAATGTACAATCTTAATACATTAGACACTTGTATTTCCTATTTTTATATTACAAATATTTTTAGCAATACTGTTTATTACATTCATGGCAATGAGGCATGGGCTTTGGCCACTCAAAGAATCATCGATTAGCATAACTATGCCATGTATATAGGCCATACGTATAGCGTGTTGTTACCATCTCTAACAGATTCCAAAGGATCCCTGGAATAGTGCAGAACCTCCTCTGGCACAGCTTGTGCTGCAGTAAGTTGGTGATGAGTTGTTGCCTGTCGAGGGGTGCCTGGGGGAGCAGGGACGGCAATATTTAAGTTGATGGGCTGCTGCTCGCCCAGGGCCTCATCTGGAAGGATGCTTTCGGGACCTCCATTCTGCATGGAGATGTCAGCCACTGACATTTCAGTCATAGGTTGGTCCACACTGATGGTGTGAGTTGGTTGCAGAGAACTAGGGTCCATCTGTTCCTCGTCTGGTTCTGCTTTTAGTTTCCCAGTGTCTTGCAACATAGCCCTTAATGATGGGCATTCACTCATTCCACTATTGCTATTACTATTACTGTTTCCCCCATTTGTGGCAGTGTTTACAGTAGACCCATTGCTTCTATGTCTATCCCTATTGTGTGTGTTTAGGTGCCGCTTCATGTCTGAACGAACACGGAATGGTTTTCCACATACTTCACAAGGATGTGGCTTTTCACCTGACAAGGAAACAAAAAAATCAATAAGAAACATTTTCAACAAACTAAAAACAATTCACTCACACCATTGAAAAATACTTAACAATATATTACATTTCCAAAACACTCAACTCACCAGTGTGAATTCTACGATGATTTTGAAGATACGATGATGCCCGAAAGCTCTTCCCACAGAATTCACATTTGTAATTTTTCTCACCAGTATGGATTCTACGGTGAACTATGAGAGAGTACTTTCGTGCAAAATCTTTCCCACAGTATTCACACTGATAGTTTTTCTCTTCTGAGTGAATAGATGTACAATGGTACTTCAAGTCACCATATTGTCGGAAATATCGACCACAAAACTCACACTTGTATGGTTTATCACCAGAGTGTAATCTCATATGCACCTGTAAAGATCAAATTTCATTACAATTTTTATTTTAATATACAAGATATATAACTTCCAACAAAGAAGTACATTCTATTGCTAGATCTACGCAAAGGTGCTTCTTAATTTGGAACTGACATTGAAAACTTTATTATAAATTGAGTATGATTAAAATATGCACTCTGTAAAAACATAAAATAAATACAGAATGTTTTCAAAGAAACATCATGAATCAATTGTTATGAGTAATACATGGAGACATAAAGAAAGTAGATAAATATTTGGGGAATGGTACCTTTTTATTTGACAAGGTGATAACAGTAAACTATAAAACAAACTGAATAATAAGTACTCTAATAAAAAAAATTTAGGTTGGTATTATTTAAAAAGACATGAAAGCCCGTATACTGGTACATCTCTTTGCAAATAGTCACATTATAAACTGGGTGGACAGACAATATTTGCTTTGTATTTCTAAATTCTCAGTAAATGTCATTAAAAAACATTTTCTAATATAACATCTAATATTAAAATCAATCAAATGCTCTCTGCTAGCGTATTGACATCTACTTTAACCTGTGCACATATTGCTAAGATCATACATAAGGAATCAATACTACTTCTACAAATACTAAAAACTCTTCCTTAAAGAAAAATATTTTTATATTAAAAAATAAAATATTTTATGTGTACTCACCTTGAGAGCACTTGCTGCGAAAAAACTTTTGCCACACACTTCACACTGATGGGGTCTCTCCCCTGAGTGACTTCGTAAGTGATATACTAAAGAATTTCGATGATTGAACATCCGACCACACTGGGGACATGTCAAGTGTACTCCAGAACGACGTGATTTCTTCCCAATCACACGTCTTTTAACTGGATTTACAGCATCATCTTTAACATCTGGATCAGGATGAAAGTCCTTCACAGAAGGATCTATAAACTCAAGGTGTTCTTCACGTAAATGTTGATCAAATTGACCTTTATCTTCAAACAATTCACCACACAATTCACAAACATTATCGTGCTCTGCCGTGTGTTGATGTTGTTGTTGTTGCTGCTGCTGCTGTTCCATTTCTTGGATATCAGCCTCAGCTGCATGAAGGTCTTCTTCCCTATACCAATCTTTATCATTATTGTTTTTTAAGCCACGAACAATAGATGAAGATGTCAAACAGTCCATATCACCATCATCTGTATCACCATCTGCTCCATCTACAGACACCTGAATCCCTTCCATGAGGTCTTCTGGCTCACTGAATTCTTCTATTTCTTCTTGCTTTGGATGAGCAAGATTCACATGAGACTCAAAGGCCTTTTGTCGCCTAAATGTTTTGCCACACTGGTTACACACTAGAGGAGGAGGAAGTGCTACCATGGAATCCTGACATTCTACAATTTGTTTGTCAACTTCCTGCTTCAATCCCACTTCCTCTTTAGGAATTATTTTATCTTTTACACTTAAATTTTTAGATCCAGACTGTTCACTTACAACTGATCCTACAGATGGTTCATAGTGAGATTTTAAATGCTCAAAAAACTTGAGCTGATTTGCAAACCCCTTACCACACAATTCACAATTAAACATTCTTTTGCCACTGACATGTGTCAGTTTATGAGATGCTAATAATGACTGGCTAATGAATTGTTCACCACACTTAGTACACTTCCAGAATTTTGTGTTGTATGATTTTTCCCCACTTCTGGAAGGAGAAGATTTCTTAGGATTTTTCAATTTTCGAGGAATGCGTTTCTTGTGCGGCAAACTTTTCCTGGAAGGCCTGAGATCATTCTCCACATCATAATCTGAATCATTATCATCTTGAGGCATGTCATCACTCTCCTCCCCTAGTTCATCGTCAATACCTTCACTTTTAACATCAAATTCTTCTTTGAGCAACTCATCCGGCTCAGGCAAGCGAGAGGCTTCTCCTACTCTAACACTAGAACCATCCAAAGTCTGGGACTGTTGCTCTGGAGGGGTTAGCCGTGGCTCTCCTAAGCCCACATCAGAAGGATCGTGAACATTTACAGCATGTGGGCGAACATACCTGCTGCGAACTGCCATGGACTGACTTGATAGCACCTTTTTTAATGGCGGCAGAGGGGGCAGGCGTAGTTCTTGTGCTTGGGGAGCTGGGGGACCAGGCTGATACATTTTTAAAATGCGATCCCCTTGTTGGTCAAGGTGTCCTACACCTACAACAGCTTCTTCTTCCACAGCTTGAATATAGCTACTCACCATGGCAGCCATTCCCTGTTTTTCTTCAGGTACACCAGCTGAGGGAGACATTGGTGACATAGTGGTCATATGATGGTCAGAAATGGATACAGGAACCTGCACCTTCCCTGATAAGTGACCAGAGCTAGTAATAAGCCCTGGCAATCCATTTGGACTTACTATAACATTTGCTTCAGATGATACAACAGATGGATGTTGTTGCTGCTTTTCTTGCTGAACTATCTGCACCGCCACCAAAGCAGCTGCCAGTCTTCGATCCTCTTCAGTTAATTCATGTGAGAGTATGTCATCCTCAGCATCGTAATGTTCAGGTATATACTGGGGGAGAGTTGCACGATCTAGGGCAGTGTGCTGAGTGAAATCTGCTGTTGTCACTGGTGGTGGGACCATCATATCCACAACCATACCCCCATGCACAATATGATGTCCTATAAGTTCCCCACTAATTAAAGCTTGCTGTGCTGGAGATCCACAGTCCACTAAGGTTTTTCCCAGAGTTTCAGGTACTCTATGAATATTTATATACTGGGAGTTCATAAGTTCAGGTGGAGGTTCCCCATCTACATCTACTTTAATGGTTGGTTCTGCTGAGCTTAATTTAACCACATCTGTCCTTAATTGAGAAATATCTACACTGTCGAGCAATTCCTGAGATCTTTCGGAGTCATCCATTTTGATATCACAATTAGTTGTTCAACAAAACTTCCTTCTTTGTTTTCTCCTGTAACATCATAAATATCTGATTTGATGATGAAATTTTAAATTATACCTACATGATTGAAAAAAAAATTGGAATAGTTTTAGTTGTTCAGTTTTTAAAGGAGTAAGAGACCCATTCAAATACAATAAATTAAAGAAAACAATGTTCTATTGATACCATAGATTTATTGAAGTTTTTATTACATCACTAAACATATTATTTGTCTTGCATTGGAAACTCAATATTTTATGTTTCAGGGTGGTTTATTAGAGGATAACAAAATATCAAGTAATCATCATGCATTTTATAAAATGAAAAGCAGCAACAAGGGCTGAGGGTACCTGACAATCACAAACACGAATTCTAGGAACAGGGTCAGTTGAACAAAGGACAAAATATTTAGATCGGGAGAGCACTCCTTTGGTAACCAATACAATAGCATTATGCGCTCTTTAATATGGGCATTGGTTTGGTTACATTGTATCAGAAAAGTCAAAAGGAAGCCATCTCAAAGAACAAGTGACAAACGAGTGGAAGTTGCAAGGTCACACTTTGTGTGAAAAGAGTTAACTCTAAAATGCAAAAGTAAGAGTTTGTCCCTGAACAGAACAAAATACATACCTTTCTAACGTATCCCTAAGACAAATATCATGGTTAATTGCAACACTTCAAAGACAAATGTATAATATTTTTAGCATATACACGAGAAGCTTAGAAGCTCCGTAGCAAAATATGACAACAATGCCTCCATTAACCGGAAATAACACCAAGTACGCTACATAGATGGCAGCGCAATCGCCTAGTGAGTTAGACAAATGACGATACTTTGAACTAGTGTCTGGTGTCTGCTTCGAGGTTATTGTGAAGATTAAGAAATATTATAGTGTTGTGTTTAAAATCAATGAATTGGGATCATTGTGCGTGATATAATTGAGGCTATTTTAATTCTTTGCCAAGTGTTTTTATTTGATCTCTGAGTATTGGAAAGTTGACATTTCGTAAGTGATGCTTATTGTTCGATTGATAAGTTGTTACAGAATATCTTTCGCTCTCGTTAATGAAAATAATTGTTCCAGATTATGCCTGATAACGCAAAAGGTGCAATTTCCCTACTTCATAGGGGTGTTCAGTTGGATTCTGAAAAGAGATACACTGAAGCTCTTGTACATTATCAAGAAGGTTTACAGATGTTAATTGACGCGATGAAATGTTGGTATTTTCTCTGTTGAAACAATAAATAATTATTGCTTTTACGTGCATTAAATGCATGCAAAAATTATATTGCATGATTGTTAAGTCCTTTTCATATGTGCTACAGGTATGTCAGATCCAGTAAAGAAGAAACAAGTACATCAAAAAATTGAAGAATATATGTCAAGAGCAGAACGTTTAAAACAATATGTTAATAAGCAGAAGGAGGAAGGAAAGTATCATGAACAAATAAAAATAGAAGATAATTCTACAGGTAATGGTTATCAAAAAGTATTTGGCAGATTTCTTAGTGAGGATGTGGAAGAAATAAGAATTGAAGATCCATATATTCGAGCTTATCATCAGGTATCAGTCATAATCTGAATTAGTTTTGATTAGTATTCATAAATACAAAATTATTTATTTTTCACATTATTTATTTGTTTCAGTGCCAGAATTTTCTGAGATTTTGTGAACTTGCTTGCAAATCATGTCCACAACTTAAAAGAATATTTTTAACAACAACAAGAGAAGGAGATGATAAGAAAGATAAAGAACAAGAAGGTTGGCTTTCAAAACTATTTGCTAGTCTCCTTCAGCAGTCTATCACCCTTACAGTTGTTTACTCTTCTACCCTTCATGACCGGCAAATCATGTAAGTTAAAAATTGTTTTTTGCCATATGTTCCGTTAATTGTAATTGATTAATTACTAATTGTTCTATTTCAGTTTGAGTAATGGATGGATCATTAAAATTGGTCGTGGCCTTGACTATTTCAAAGCTCCTGAAAATAACATGTCTTTGGGAAGCTGTGATGTTGATCTCCGGCGCTGTCATGAGACTGTAGTTGATGTTTTCCATAACAGTGCAGTTCGATCCTCTTGAATCAATTTCACAGGACAAATGACATCTTGGTTAGTATAAATACATGTTTTTACTATTTGTTGTTGTAATAGATACATTCCCTAAACGTAAGGTCGAAATTGGTAAAAAACTACTTATACAAAACATTCAATATTTTAAGGGAAGCTGATTTTAATAGAATATAGTTTTATATAGATAAGTTAGTGTTGACATTTCAGCTATGATCCTTAGGTTAATGATTGGATTAGATTTGACTATGATACAGATTAATGCAATGGCATATCAGAAAGGTTAACATTGTATTGCTCCACAAATTCACTAAGGTGTTTTTGAATATATGATCTTGATTAAAAATTAATTGTTTAGGTTTCCAATTTTTATTGTATTTATAGAATTAATTTGAGATCTTTACCAACTAAAATAAATGCATATTAAATTAAATGGAACTTCACTTTTGTTTTGGGGTTAATGATTTTAGCTGAATCTTTTTTATTGCAAACTAACTGAAGTACTCCCATGTTGTCTGGGTATTTATTTACGTCAACTGTCTGTTAGATATGAAAAGACAAGAGTTCTATTCGTTGTGTATACCTGCTCTATTATTCCTGCCCAACTCTGCCTAACCCTGCACTCTCCCCCCTCCCCCTCCTGCTAACTCTGCTCTGCCGAGCAATGCGCTTTACAGTGATAATTGTTGCTGAGGGTAACTGTAAACATATACAATTTTTCATACCCCCCAGCAATCTTCTGGTGACACTGTTGACACTATTTTGTGCTCTTTCAGAAATTTTAAAATAATTTTGGTAATTGTTGTCCCTGTTTCAGAGATTATTATAAAACTCTTAAGAGTGCTCACTTAAAGTAAGCTTCAAGGAGCAGGATAGGGAGATCTGGGGAGTATTATGAAATTTCATGTAGACAGTAACTTCTATCTTATTTTGAAGGTCATGAGTACTTTGACATTACATTCAGAATATAATTATTGATTTCTGTAAAAGAAACAAACAAATATTCTTCTTGATGTAAAATAATTATCATCTGAAAAATGTAGCGTAAGTTATGCTTGACAATCTACACAACAACAGTTTTTTCTTCTCATTTGTTTAGATGAGTTACTCTTAATTTGTTTAGAACATTTATTATTAGAACTTTTCTGTACATTTACCAATAGTTTCATGTTCAAATATTAAAAAAAAATTCAAAACCATCACCATTTACTGTGGTAGCTCTGTTATCCATTTACATTCAGGTCAGTCCATTAACAAATTACAATCTTATTTTAGCATCTGTCAATGTGGAGAACAGTTGTACAATCAGAGTAAGATAGTGAGTTATAGAACTAGTTGTTCAAAAAAGGACAAGGCTATTTGTGTCTTTATAGAATGGACCACCAGAAAAGAAAATGTTACAATTACAATAAAATCTAAGCCAGAATGCAATAGAACAAAAACAACTGATTTAGGAAGATTTTGGTTTTATGTAGAGTAGTCCACTTGATAACACTTTTGATGTTGATATTTTCATCCTGAAACTTGTAAATTACAGTATTTATTTGGCTATCCAAGAGATGCTGCATCCAGGGCACAGGTGCAAAGGTTTCGGTTGACATTCTGTGACCGTCATCAGGGTGTAGTTATTGCCCTGATTAAACGTTGGCACCTGTGCCCTGAATGTGGCATCTCCCAGATAGCCAAATAAATACTGACTCCAGCTGCGGAATGAAGTTCTCACTTGTAAATTACAATTACACATTATGTAATTACATTAACATATAACATATTTTTGAAAGTATTTACCAATAAATCTATATTAAACATTCTTCATAGACAGCTTCTGGGTTTTACTTGCTTCTATTCTTCTCTTCTTTTTGTCTAAGGTTGGAGTTCTTTGTTTTTTTTCCAACCATTGTTAAACTGGATGTGAAACTCATAAAAATACACACCACCTCACTGCTTAGTGGCTGAAGTCATTCTACTTGCTTACTCTTTTCAGCAGAGTTCTAGGTCTTTGCAATATCCTTGCATGGCCTTGAGCATTGCATTTGTGGCCAAGGGGTTATGATTCTCAACACAGGGAAGGCAGTCGCATGAATAGAAGCCATGCCCGTACTCCTTACTATGATCAGAGAGCCTGGAGGGAGGGAATTCTCCTATGTGCAACATCTTGAGAGACAAGCGACCCCTAAGTTGAATTCTATGCTGACAGCTGAAGCCCCCGTCCTTCACTGTGCTGTTACCATGATTAAATTGTGTATTACATGGACAGAGAATTTGAAACAGACTTGCAGATGCAGTCATTTCATCAAGTTGATACAATCTATACGGATTTTGCTGATTCGTGTGATCAGGTTGATTATATGAGACCATAAACTATCTAAGATGGGTTTGGGTGATCCACTCCTTTCATGGATCAATTCTGATTTGCATAACAGACTGCAGTATGTTTCTCTGAATGTTATCCATTCTGACTCTTACAGTGTTCCATCTGGAGTCCCTCAAGGATCTCACCTGGCCCTTTTTCTTTTCAACTTGTTTATCAATGATCTCCCTACACACTTAAAACTCAGTAATATCATAATAGACAGGTTATTCAAAGCAGTAAATAAAATAAACGGGAAAGAAAATATAGTGATATCTGGAGACCTAAATTACAGAATCAATGCAGACAACCCAGAGACCACTACTGTAGTGCAGTTCCTAATGCAAGAAGGACTGATACTAATAAACAACGGACAAATGAAACATATGTAGCACACAAAGGAGGAAGTGCAATAGATGTTATACTGACAACACTACAGTTCAAGGAATCCAAGAAAACTAGACCAAGAAGAACTGACATGACAGAATGCACTTACAGTCTTGTGGTACACTCGCAAATCAGTTTTTACATTTCTGGCACCTCCATAGTATTTTTTTTTTCTTCCTTTCCCCCCCCCCCTTTCTTTTCCTTTTTTTTCCCTTCTTTTTTCCCCCCCTTCTGTAAGTGCATTAAATTCTGTGGCCACTAGTTGCGTGCAGATCTTGTAGAACCATTTATGGCAATTTCTGTTTTGACAGTACGTATTTTCTTCCTTTATTTATTTATTGAATAAATGGACATACAGTCCTTTCATACAAAATATATTGGCACTTTGACTAGTAAATAGAAATATACTATAATAATGTATTACAAACTCAACTGAATTATGTTACTATTTAAATTCTAAAAATAAATTCTTCGAACACTTTATTATTTGAAAGTATGATTGACTCAATAAATCAATTGTCAACTGATTACATAAATTGCTCAGTCTTGACACTGGATTATTCGCCAAATAAGAGAGATTGTAATGTGTGGTCTCAAACATAGTTAACCCCCTAGTGTTGATAGGGGGAACTCTGAAGTTAATCCTTTTAAAAAGTAAAGGACAATCCATTTTGCCTACAATATTTTTATCAAGAAAAATTGAATTAACAAAGATTTTCAGAGATGTGATGACACATTCAAGTGATGTGTTGTGCAATTAATGATCAATAAATGGAGCAGGTAAATGCATTCTCAACACTACAATTTTAAAAATCTTAATATGTTGTATTGACTCAATCCTTGTTCATTTAATATTTTTATGTGAAGACCATACAACTGATGCAATCATCAGGATATATCTCACAAGGGACATGTAAAGAGATTTAAACACTTTTGTTTTGTTTAAACCCAAGCACTCACAAATCATAAGATTTTATTGGATTTATTGATTATTAGATCAATAGAATCCTTGAATGTTAATTTGGAGTTGAAAATTACACCCAAATCTCATAGAGAATACTTTGGGGATACTTAGCATGACCAATTGTGTATATAAATTCCAATAGTAGTTAGGAGAGAGAAAAGGTTATATTTTTACGTTTGGAGGGATGAATTAATAGTTTATTGTCTTTATGCCATTTTGTAAAAGCATTCTATGCAGTTTGAAGACATAGCTGATCTTCAGGCGTTTCTATTTTGAAAATTATGCAATAATCAGCAAAGAGCAGATATTCAACATCTTTCAGAATAAATTTAATATAATCTATGTGATCCTTGAGGAACACCTGAAAAAATTGTAATTTCATCTCGCTTAACTTCCGTATAATTCACAAATTGTGATCTACCTGTGAAGTAACTGATGCACCATTGCCTAAGAGAGTCTGTAATACCAAAGCATTTCAGTTTTTTAATAAGAATATTATGAGTGAACTATTATAAGTGGCAGAATTAAACACTCTACTAAGTCACTGTATGTACAAGCTACTTGACGTTTCTCACTGAAGGTATTGAGAAGAAGTCAGTGTAGTAAACTAAATTTGTCTCAATCGATCTGTTTTATAAGTCCAAATTGTCTATATGATAGAAAAGGTACAATAAGATTTTTAATTTTATCAGAGATGATAGATTCTAATAATTTGGGGATGGACCTAATTAAAGAGATCGGTCTGTAGTTTGAAAGATCAATTTTATTGCCTGATTTATGAATAGGAATTATGAATGAAGATTTCCAACATTGGCAGAAGTTCAAGTGATTGAAATAGGTACTTTTGGTATCTGTCACATAATGAATTTGCAGTTTTTCGACAAAAATGGAGGAATGCTGTCAGGACCAGAACTTTTGTATGTGTCCAATCTTTCAATCTTTTCATAATGTCAGTATCTGAATTTTCTAAATTTTTCAAGTTGAAGGGACTTTGATCTGGTATTTGTGCATCATCTTCTACCACCAAGGATTAAGCTTCAACCTGTTCCAGTGTCTATTTTTTCTTTGGCTTCCCTACATCTTTTCTTTCTTGTGGAATATATTGAAGAGCTAATGCTGGCTTTTTCATTTGGTATCCTTTCTAAATGTTTGCACCGTTTCTTCTTATTAGTACATATTTTATCTGACACAGGTGTGACATTTAACCCTTCTCTTATATCCAAATTCCTCTTTTTATATCAAGAAGTGTGTATCTTAGAGTACTTCTTAAAAATTTCATTTCCACTGCCTTAATTCTACTTTTCTTTCTTTCGAATATTACTGTGAATGTTTCCACATACA